TGTCCTCTGGACCTCCTATCCTTCCATCCTGTTTTCCTGTAGAAGTATTACCTTGCAGTGGGAACTCTCCAGAGCACTTCCTGCATTCCTCCAGAACTCTCCCATGCTCCTCTGGAAGTCCTCCTGCACTCTCCACCAGAGTAGCCAGCCTCTGGAAGTCCTCTGGACTTCGTTGGACCATCATCAGACTTCTTCTGAAATGAAAGGCACATACTCGGGTAAGGGGCACAGCATATGAGCTAAGGCCAAGCCCCTCTGAGTCAGTCTCTCTCTCCCTTGAGCATGGTTCTTAACACCTTTCCTATCTCAACATCCCACAATCTCACTGTTCCATCATCACTTCTGGTTGCAACAATGTTGCTGTTTGGAGACAATACTATGGTTTTCACTCCTTCCTTGACTCCCTTATCTTGCCAGTCCTCACCTATCTGCATGCCACTCTCCAGGTCCCATAGTCAGAGTGAACTGTCATCTGAACATGTGATGATGCATTGCCCCCCTGGCAAATACTCAACACCTTGTACTTGTGCAGTATGGCCTTGCATCATCCTGCGGGGTGTGATCACTGGCATGTTACTGATGGAGGAAGACATGGCTGCCATTCGACTTCCCAACTATTGCAGATCTTGGACTATTTATGTGAGAGAAGCCCACTGGGATCTTTGAATTAGGAAAAGTTGTCTGGCAATGGCAATTGCTGGTGAGTCGATGTCCTTATCTTCTTTGATTTGAACTCTTGCTAATAAAAGCCCACAAGCCATTGCTCACCACACAGCCTGCTTGTAGGAATTGAGTCCACCAAGAAACCAACTGGGACTGTAGATGCAGGAGTTGCTGTATTTCAAGAATATGCAGAGATCTTAGTAGGTAGCCAAAGTCACTGGTAAGTAGGTAGGTACATTGCAGAGAGCTTAGACAATCACTTACAAGGAGCACTGTTTAGACAAACCAGTATTCAAACCACCAGCATTAATCAGTGGGCATTTGAATTAGAGTTAAGAAAGTTGGGCACCCATTCCTTCATGTCGTTCTTTAAGGTGCATCCTATGTCTTATCTTCATGTTCACTTCACAGCTTACATGCTGTATAGATGAAATGCACAGGTTCTGTGACTAGTGCCAGGTGCATCTTCCTGTATCTGATGGACAACTTCAATGACACAAGAAAGTTTGACAGGAAGCCATGTTCCCTTGACAAGCATAGCCCTATACCCCATGTGTCCCACTTCAAACTGACATTGCCAGACCTTCAGCATGTTTGCAGGCTGCGCAGCATACCAGTGCAGTGGCTTCATTGGCATAATATACACATTCTAAGACAGTCAGTTATTTCAGGAAGAATCATAAGACTGGCATCTGTAGATGGCACTAGCATCAGCAGCTGACAGTTCATCACATTAGATATTCACCCCATCACTTCTTGGACCCATACCAAGTGGCACCCCTGCAAGGAACCTGGGAGATTTTACCCCAACAACACGCTCAACAGTGCCAAGGCTGCCCAACATACCCCACACCCATCAAAACCTCAACACAGAAACCCAACAAGCAACCCAGAAAAAACCATCATGCTGCCAGCATCCATCCCAACCAACCAACTGACTTTAAGCTCCATCACAAGACTCAACCGCAAGACAACGGCTGAAAAACCACTGCTCTCCACAAGCAAGACCATTGAAGAACACACTGGGAATGGGAATAAAAACAGACATCAACAGTTTACCCTCAGCCAGAAAACTGCTTGCAATGCATGGTCTCACCTTGCCCATGGCAGGCAGCATGCTACAGTCAATGTCAATGGCACTCTTCGAATTCAGCATAACTAATCTAGGGGCAACCCACTCAGAAATCCTGCAAGCAATAGCCTTCATCATCCACAAGGTGGACAAAGACATAGACACAGAAAACATCATAGCAAAGATCAAAGCTCTCATAGGAGGACTCATAGTGCTACTGGACGAAAAGGTAGACACTCACAGAAACCCTGGACACCCACAAGACAATGCTGGAGAACACAGTCACAGAGGTACATGCCAATTTACAAACATCTACTGAAGGATTGGGGAAGGTGGTAGAAAATGTAACAACAACCACAGCCAACTGCTTGCAAAGCTCAAACAGCACAGCAGGACCCAACAGACCCAGATCATATGCAACCATGGTAAAAACTAACATCCCTCCCCCACTAACCAAAGCCCTGGTGAGAAATGAGGCACAGTCAAGACAAATCCTCATTGACAGACACTCACTGGTCCATCCCAACTCACTAAGGGAACTAACGGAAGCCTAGCTAGTCAAGAAGGCAGCACTTGTGATTGAACTCATGGAAAAGGAAAGCATCAAGGTCCCAAAGGAGCTGTTGATTACCACATGGAGGAATCCTATATGAACTCAACTTGGCCAAGGCTGCAGCATGGTTCAGCACCCCAGCAAACTGGAGTCAATTCCTCAACCACTTCGGACCCAAAATTGTAATCAAGGAATGCTCCTTCCATGTACTAATCAAAAATGTTCCACTATCATTCATGCCTAACAATCCAGCAGCAATCGCAGACATTGAGAAGAAAGCAGGCCTGCAACCAAGATCAATCAACAGAACCCACTACATCAAACCGGAAGCACAATGTCACCCAAACCAATGAACAGCCCATACTATTTTCACCTTTAGCACAAAGGAAGGAGCAAACCAAGCAATCAAATTTGGCCTATCAGTTGAGGGCAAGAAAGTATACAGAAGAAAGCTAATCCCAGAACCTACCAGATGCCTGAAATGCCACTCACTAGATGGAAACCACATCACTGCAGCTTGTCCCCAAGAGCTCAAGACATGTGGCACATGCAGCAAAGTGCATAGGACCTCCTCATGCACTATCACAGACCAGAACTCCTTCCACTGCAAGAACTGCAATGTTAAAGCGCACACAGCGTGGAGTCATGAATGCCCCACCTTCAAAGCAAAACAGGAAGCCTACAAAGACCAGAATGAAGATGCTAAGTACCGTTTCTACATAACAGAAGATCCACTTACCTGGGAGACAATCCCAAGCTCGAAGTCAGATGGGAACAGATCAGCAAGCTTGAATGACCATCAAGCACAACCACAGCAGACCCAGCAATGGTACCCTCCCCCAAGGGACAGGACAGCAGACAGGTACATCGACAACAGGAGACGCCATGACCCCCCAGCCAGGAACCCCAGGACACGTCGGAATCAAGGGCAACAAGGAGGCAGACGAGCATGCGAAGAGAGCGGCATGAGGAGAGACATCAGAACCCAGAGAACTCCCCAAATCACTCACTGTGAAGAAAGACGAAATCTGCATGCTTCCCTACAGCAAGTCAGCGCTCAAGCAACACTTCTACACCAAGATAAAGCTGGAAGCCACAACCATAATGAAGAAATCCCCATGATACACCCTCCTCAACTCCATAGACCCATCTGCACTGTCAAAGAAATACAAAGGAAAGATAGTGAAACTCCTGAGATGCCACTGCTCCCTACTAGTTCAGCTCCACACAGGTCATATCGCACTCAACAAGTACCTCAAATGCACTGGAAAGTCTTACCGCACGATGCCCAAAATGCGAAGCCCACAACGAATCAGTACACCACTTCCTACTGGTCTGCCCAGCTTATGCAGGAATGTGAGGAGCACTACGAGCGGAAGTTGGACCCCGTCAATGCAACATTGAATACCTGCTGAGTGAAAAGAAGAGAATGAGAGCCACGCTAACATACATCGCATGCACGAGAAGATTGGAGAATACTTTTGGAGATGTGACCCCCCTGGAAGAAGAAGACAAAAGATAAGAACAAGGATTGAAGAACACCTACAACTACCATCAAACCAAGCGCCTGAAGAAGGCCTTCACCGTTCCTGTGCAAGCTGGAACCATTGCATAGAGTACACCGCACAACCTCAGCAGCACAAAGAGTCAGTATAATAGCGTATGTAGTGTCCATCATAGGGCTTCGCCCCAAAGGACAATAAACACGGATCCAAAAAAAAAAAAAGATATTCGCCGGTGGTGACCCATGTCACATTCGATGATCCGGGATAGTGATCTAAGTTGGTCAAGGCACGTCATCAGAAAAGGCTGCGCAGGTCACCTCATGTTCATGATGGAGGGGTAGTCCGACCGGGAGGTTGGTGTCGAGATTCTACAGATACGCTGTTTTATCAGTTGTTGCACTCACAAGGGAGATGGTCATTCTCAAATTCTGATCTGACAAGCAAAAGGCATCACTCCCCCGCGCTTCCGAATTAAATAACACGTCGCAGCCGAGATTCGGTAGCTGACGAATATCTGAGATCTGAGCTCCGTAAAACCATCCCTCAGGATCAGACTCTACTTGCGCGCCCTTTTCTAAATTTAACCATATAACCTTGTAGTATGCAGTGAGCAGCCTCACCTTTACATGTCGCCTGGGTCTGAGTTGACAATGGAATCGCAGCGGGCGTCGAATGTCGTCGCATAATGGTTGCAATCTTCATCTTCGTGTTGATCTTCGTACATTATGTTTTATTGCTCGTTCCAAGTTCGATCACTCGTCCAGCTGATCCAACACAACGTGTGACAACGTCGTACACCACATGTCCTGTCATACCATGCTGCGATTTAGTCTGGTATGGACATCCGACGGAGGTGGCTTGAGGCCTTCAGTGTATGTAGACTTCTATCGGTGGAGGTGCGAATTCTTGACATTTTGCGGCGACACTGAAGTCCCAGCCAGAACACCGTAGCATAATCATGATATTTCGTGCATTGGATACATAAAGTAGTCAAGACACGACTATAAGGTTAACCATCATATCCTATATTGGGTCAGCTACATTCTGGATATTATTATTAGCTAGTATGGTATTATGATGGGGCAAGAAAGTTACAACGGATTATGGTAGAAAATGTCCCATTAGGATCTGCAAGAAATTCGTCCGCATGCAGGTCGTCCTGCGAACATTATACCCCCCTAATAAACGAAAATCACTGGGACGTCTATTACTTCATTGAAGGGAGGGGCGGTGGTGGGTAAAGAAGAGTGGAAATATTAGCTGCTTCTTCATAAGACTTGAGATCTCCACCTCCTAACTGCGAGGGCGTTAGAGAGTCAAAGGTCGGACACAATTGATCCCATGCATCTGTAAAACAGTTCAGCCATAGAACTTCGTGTTCTTTATGTATGACCTACGTGGCATGTGGTTCAGATGTGCGCGGGTACCTGAGGGACTTTCCGCCATTACCACCGCAAGACCGCTAGATGTGAAAGATTAGCAATTTCTTTCGCGAGGACGTTCATCCACATACGCTTCGAGATGCCAGTCAATATGACTTTTTGGTTCAGATTTAGTGCTCTTCTTGATAGTTCAATAAACATGATCACATACCAATGCAAGAACCAAGGGCCAGAATTGTCGGTCACCCATCGTATCACCACTTGCTGCCCAGGGCTGCCAGTACTTACCACATCGCGGCGAACTGGGTTCACGTAATTGAGGGTGCTGTTGCCCGCGCTCTGTATGACATCAAAGGAATGCTAGTGATCATATCAGTACCAGTCGGACATGCCATCAAAGTCATGGCGAACTTACCCCGTGAAGGTGTATGGGATGCTGGTACGATCTATATCAGGCACATAAGTGTACAAGGAATCGAAAAGACGTACGGGTCCACCAAAACCAGTTGTTGACAATGTCAATTCTACCACTTTGTCAGCCTTGAGAACGATGACACTCCCGTTTGGGAGCAACTGAGACGGTTCTTGAGCTCCACTGAGAATTTGGAGTAGAACAGGAACGGTGGGGGGTTTGAATGTCGCATTATTAACGTAGAAGATTCCGTTGTTGACGGAAACCTCGAGGTTGAGGTTGATATCTGCCTTCCTATACTCTGGAATGCCAGGGGCACCAGGATTGATCAGAGCATGCAAGTTGGTCTCTGCCAATGGGATTTTGGATGCAGTATTGATGGTAGCCGGCTCGACCTCGCGCGCGCCATTGTAGCGCAGGATAGCAGAGTTCGTTCCTCCCTCATAGGAAGCATTCGCTGTATTAGGAAGATTGCGTATCCAGTAATTGTCCACCGGTTTGTCGGCCACCAAAACCACAGAGTAGCGCTGACCCGCAAAAATCTGGAGCTGATCTACCACCAGAGGTTCGGTCAGCTCGCCATCCGCTTCGATGACGGTTAGGTTATGGCCATCGACGGAGAACTGGAAGTTGGGATCGCACGACATTGAGATCAGGCGCATGCGATAACGTTTTCCCTGCTCAACGGTGATCACAGCAAGAGCAGACATTGGTCCGCCAGCATATCGACCGAGTCCATTGATGAGCGAAGAGCTGGCGGTATTACCTATGACGTAGCGCAAGACGGTGGCTACAGTATGATACCTAGTGATATTACTTTAGATGGATAAATTATTGACATTCGTAAAACTCACCAGTCGGAAAGTGTGATTACGGTACTTGCTGGCAATACATGATGGTCAGAGGGGGTTAATATGCATGAATTGCTTGCTCACCATCGTCGATGTCGTACATGTGTGCTAAAGGGTCATGAGGATCATAGATGACCAGGGGCCCCCTCAAGCCATCACACTGTTCCACAGGTCAGTCCTCCCCTGCATGCGCAAGGTTCAAGTGATACTTACATATTGGACGGAATAATGACTGTGATACCAGTAAGTGCCCGCCTGATTCGGGGCGGAGAAAGTGTGTAAAAAGGAGTGATTCTGCGCAATGGGGCATTGTGTGACGGAGGACGCCCCGTCGGCATAGTTCGTTCCGTTCTGGTAAAGACCATGCCAGTGCTGCGGTAAACAAGGTCAACTGTTGATAATGTCGGTAATTTGACGTTGCTTACGACACTGGTACTCAAAAACATCGACTCGTCCCGGAGTTCGTTGACCACTTCAATGGCAAAGTCATCTCCCTATTGTGAGGTCAGCACTAGTGCACGACAAGAAGGTCGACAGGAAACAACCTTCTGGGCTGCAATCAAGGGTCCAGGGAATACCCCGTCGACAAGAGTTGCTCTATTAAAAATCAGGAGTGAGCTTTGAGTGCCGTGGCAATAAACTCACGAGCGTTCGAAGCCATCGGGAGCGATGACCTTATTACCTATGGTCAGTCTGGTTTTGGGGCCGAGTACAGTGGGTTGAGATAATGGGTAGGACTGTGAGCGAGATACTATAGCTGCAGCATTAATTGATGAGATAATAGAAGCGATTAGAACAGGAATAAGCATCGTGATTATTCACGATAGGTAGGAGTGCTCTCGCCGGGAGAATACTGGGATGTAGGATAAGATTATGATGAGAGGACACATCTCTTTTCGCAGCTTTTATCTTGCAGCGGTATATAGCCTCGAGTGTTTCCTGATTCAAATCAGTTGTTACCTCGATTGATGATTACTGACGTCGCAAACAGTTGCTCAAGCCCCGGACATCTGAATCTCGATATTGTACAGCTCCGGGATTTAGCAACAATCAGCCGACGCATTGAAGAATGACGGCGTACCACAACACCATGACTCGGACACAACATAAAATCACTTAGGTGGCCAGAATAGTCCACTGAGCCAGGCGTTCCATGGCCGTGCAAGTACTAAGTTGTCACGGTAATTTGAGATAAACTCGGAAAAGTCATTCCTCGTCAAGCATTCCGTGCGAGAGAATCGGACTAGAATTGGTCTGAAAGGAATGATCATACACTGCCACTGTGTAATGCGGAAAGAAGAGTGCGAGTATAGTACCTTGTCAGAGTGTGCAATGATCAAGGAGAATTCCAGAACAAAGTACTTATGCTGTGCCTACTTTGTGGCTTCATTCCTGCTCAACAACAATGCATCAACAATCAGGAGCTTACCGTGCTACGGATCAGTGTACTTCAATGATTTAGAACCACTAAGTTGCCGCTGAGTATGACATAGATGCACACATCAGCTTGCTGCAGACCTGAGATGCTGATAACGGTCATTTCTGGTGTGGCCATCGCAGAGTTGCCGCGGCACGAACTGACATTGACAAAATCAAAAGTATGGGTCAAATTAGCTCGCAACCTAAAAAAGGTACATTTTACAACACAGACCTGAGAAAGACAGTGGTCGGGATGATGATTTTGGCGTTGTGGCACAGGACCGGCATACAGAGTAGGACAACAAGTCAATGTTGTGTCTTCCATTGCAACATCACGCAAGACGGATTACTCCGATTAGTAACATCCGAGATCGTACTGAGCTATGTCATTTGAGTTAAAAAAAGGCATTGCGGTTGCGGTATCCAGAGCGAGGACTCTTCCCCGAGGATTGAAGACCTATATGATGACTCTAAATAGAATTGGCTTGCCTTAAAATGAACTCAAGACAGGAAGTCGTCATCCGACGCATCGCCAATTAATGCCTGTTAGATTAATTAAAGAGGGATAGTTAGTATTGGGGCCTGGTTGCCATGAGATGAGCCTAGGTTGTTGAAATCTTGGCGGTGGCTACCAACCAAGTGTGCACTAGGTATCTCAGCACAGAATTTTAAAAAGGACACTGGACGATGCTTGCGGCGCGACCACAATGATCAAAGGTTGTACCAATATTGAATTATGCAAGTTAAGCTGAAGTAACCATGAAGGACTCATCAGCAATGGAGACTGCCCACCGCCGGCAGGCCATGGCAGTGATGGTAGAATCGTAAGGGCGTGAACAAACAGCCCGCAGTCGAGTGGTTATTAATTTTGGAAGTTGGGCTGCCGCTAAAGTGACCATGCCTGAGGACGTGAGCAATGAAGAACTCGCGCCCTGACTCGGGCTATGTGAGACTTTTACGCTTGCCACCTGTCAGCACCTCAGCTTTTGAGATTCAGATGCAGTGATGCCGCCACCGATGTGGCTGTAGAACAGAGAACCGCGTGCTGGCCTTGTCTGAGATCTGAGAGGGGGAACAAATATTCATGCACATCTATAACGACGTCTGGAAAATATTCCCAATGAAGTAGGCGAACTATATTTCAAACCCCGCAAAGTACTTCGACTTGAAGCTTTGAAGAGTCTCCAAGTCATGCGCGTCGCGTCCTCTCCAAATATTTGTCATGATGCTCCAGAAACAAAATTCAGACCAGCCTATTCTGTGTTCAAGTCCTGTATATCTCAACAGCAAAGCACGATATGCTACACGACTTTCGAGACGATCCCCGAGAGTTCCCCTTGTCCGAATCTTCGATGACATCTAGGCTACTTAAACTGCTCAATCTACTGTAGTGACCGGACGACAACTGAAGACGTCGTTGACAAGCTCCCCGACTGACTACCGTCAGGGATTCCGCGGTCGTGCAGGTTCGCCATGCAAAATGGGTAATTGTGAGATTGGGGAGAAGTTACGAAGTGGTGAGACGTGAATTGTGTCTTGCACGGACGCGGTCGGTATCCTATAGCTACAAGCTTCTCCTCTCAAGTTATGAGATAACAACAGTCTGGCTGTCAATAGGGTTTTGACAGAATGAGTGGTTTTATGGGTCGTGCTACCATAATTTTGTGGCTACCAACGCCCAAAGCCACCTCACCAAGTTCTCTCTTGCATTCCAGCTCGCTCTTGCTCCTTCCTTCTTTGTCCTCTGCCCGCGCTGTCGTCGCGATTGCAACCTCCGATGGACACGTCCTCGAGTTCGACCCACTACAGACACCACTATGCGCACTCGATGTACTTGTAGGCATCTGAGCCGTGTGGAGTTTTCGTTATTTGGTTTCTTGACCGTGTGGTGCTCGTGTTCTGAGATAATGAAGAATTAAACATGTCTGCAGATAGCACTACGGAGACCCCTAAACGCACAATTGAGTTATCACGTTCATCATGAATCGTCACAAAAATATCCTGAAGGTTGAACAGATCAGGATCACATCTATAACTATTGCATAGAAAAGATGAAATAGCTTTATTCGCCCAGATCTGCTTATGGGTAAATACGTCTATCACAACACCGCAGATCCCCTGGGCTGCTATTTAATTTCGGGCCCTTCATCGCAGACGGCTTGTAGATCAAGAACGAGTATCGGAATACAACAATGATATCTAAAGTGCGTACAAGTATTTTGAGTGAGGATTAACCATAAGCCATGAAATCTAAGACAGGAAACATGCAAATAAAAAGAGCGTTTGAAAATGCGGCAAGTACTATTGGAGATAACGAATGAAGTGCGGCTCGTTCGGAAAAAATAATCATGTGCAGAAGATAAGAAAACTGCAAAATAAAGTACAAGGCATTAACCGAGTTACGTTCTGATGCGGCTATAACTGCACAGCGCACAAAATGTCACGGAACAACACCAACAAAAATAGCGACAAGCGTTACGGTGCAAATTAATCCGAGGACGGCGGAGCGAATGACAACTTCCCATTGGGCTCGGATTACCACAGGCGACCGCACACGCGTCATTGGTGCTTGAAAAGCGGGAACACCCGCGGTGAAAGAGGGGATCATGAAGGAGACAAGGGGGGAGCGATTAGAGCTCGGTATCGGAGATGGCGTGGACGAATTGGGTGATTGAATTGAAGAAGTTTGTGAAACGAGTGATAACGGGGGTGCGTATGTGCGCTTGCATTTATACTGCTGGCGTGCGATGGCAGAACTGAGGAGGTTGTTTGAAGGAGCGGGGTTTTCAGTTTGGATAGATAGCGTTGGAATATGGTCTGCGATAGTGACAGTGATAGGGGGTCGGGAAGTGTTGCTTGGCAGGCGAATGTTATCTGCAAGGATTACGTTTCCCCTGATAGACTTTGGAAGAAGATCAAAATCAAAACCCTCTATCTCGTCTCGTCCTGTGTGGGCGCGCTCTTTTAGACCATCTTCCGCATCGAGGTCTATCTCGTGACGAATGAACGCTGCGCTGGGACCGAAGGAACTAGGATCCTCTAGGGTATGCGGCTTGACAGCCGAACTGCTCCTGACATCCCCGCCGGAAGCGCGGCATTCAAGGGGTGAGGGAAACGCAACAAGGTTTGTACTTTGTCGAGTATGTGCTATGGAAGGGAAAGTGATAGATGATGATTGCACGGAACGATAATGAGATCGATGCAAGCCTGTAGCTGTGGCTGGACCCTCCGGTGCAGGCACATCATCGAAGAAGGCGGGAGAAATTTCGATCTCCGGCGACTCGAATGAAGAAGGCGCGTCTTCGTCTTCTGAAGATCCGGACTGTTCGGTGGAAGAATACGCGTCCGAGGCTCGCGAGAATGAGCGTCGTTCTGCAGAAAGGGAGTATGGTGCGGATTGGAAAGACCTAGACGAGTAGAACTCTGGATCATACTGCCTGTCGTGATGCTTGGATATTCGGATGCTAGGCGCCGGCCGGTGAGGCAGTGGCGCAGATATCGACGTGACCGCAGGGGCAGGGGCAGGCAGCGGCCTTGAAATAGCTGGCCTAGCGAGCTCGAATTTTCGAAGTTGCCTCAGATCGCCAAAAACATACACCATGAGACAAATCTATCAAACGGGGAGTTACTTCACGCGCGATTGCTTGGAGGGAGGGAATCCACTCACTCCGTTGAAACTAGAGAACAATAACATCAGACCAAGCCACATGCCGGGGAACGCTGATAGCCTCCACCACCGTCCGTGAGGGGCACCGAGCCAGTCACCAGACGTCAGTGCAAGAGGTAAAATTCCAGCAATGCATAAACATAGTATCCCAGCGGCAATGCCGCAGGCTGCTCTGCGTGAGCCAACATTTGTAGAAGCTGCCCGAACAAAGTGTGAAAGGGACTCTTTAAGCATAGCGCGTGTCTCTAATGCCACCTCTATGAATACTGCAGGATCTGGGTGGGCGTTTGGTGGGTTCGAAATGGCTGTCCCGTGGACTCTGGTGAGAAATGCAGAGTGCTGAGGTGAACAATGAAATGGAGCTAGAATATCTGAAGGGACATCAAGTTCGTACTCGGCGCCAGGGGTGAAGAAGGTCTGCTTTGCTTTCGCATAAAAAAGAGCAAGCGACGGGTCTGACGACGGTGGAGTGCGAAAGGCTTGTCGTGTTGCAGTATCAGGAGCAGTTGGGGCACTTATGGCTTTGGTACGCTGGGCCCAGATGTGGTAACGCGTGGTATACTCCTTCAGCCAAAGCAAAAAATAGAGATTTTCTGGTGATTGCTCGACATAGAGAAGATATTCTTCGAAATCCTTGAGGCCGAGAGGTGGAAGGTGCTTGCGTTCGAGTACATCGTCAAGATGAACTTCCAGAAATGGTGTCACCCCACATGACCGTACTTTGCCAACAGACGGGGGTGGGTTGCAAATCCGGTGCTACATGTATAAGTTGTGAGATACGCTTCTACGCAAGTAGGCGTTCAACACACCGGAAATGTTAGCAAGCCCTTGAAGGAGAGCCTTGACGTTGGCGGCCTTTCCTGCTGTTGCATGGATCATAGACGTGAGCGAGAAAGTAGAGGGCAGAAGTGGGCAGTGACTGTCATCGGTGGACTTAAATGCCACACACGTGACAATGATAATCGGAAATTGGACATTAGCCTGACTGATCAGGCCCGTCAGTGACTTCGATCAATTGTTGCTTCAGCTTGGATCGAATCCACTGGACGGTGGATCACGTAAAGTCTCTGGGATGCCACCATAACGACACGCAAAGCTTCTCGAGAAACGGCCATACGTGAGAACATGATGTTCTTACCAGGTTCTCCTGACAGCCTTGAGGCTAAATGTATGCGAAAGAGCAAGCCGAGAACGTTGTTGATCGTGTCGACGCGAACGTTGACTGTTCTAGAAAGGGTTAATCGACATCAATCAACTGTACTGATCAAAATACCCATCTGGAGTCACTTCTGGAAGTTGAACAATATGCGCGGCTATCTGTTGGTCTTGATCAATATTGATATTGATCACAGACCAACAAATAGCCGCGCAATACCAGGTCGATAACTTCTCTAGTCGATCTATCGCCAATACCACTGAGACTATCAGGACAGGATCATAGTATGTACGTGAAGGTGCAGTGTGGACGGTTCAATTTTATCACAAGCCGTGCGGACTGCGGCCCGTGCCGAAACGGCTGACCCCGTGGATCATTATGTAATAATGTAAATCATTGATCCAATATTTTCTCCCGCCGCATGGAATCTTGCTACAAATCGTCATATCCATCATTTTCCACATGGACCAACAGGAACCAATCAAGATTCATTCCTAACCAGACCATGGACAACGGTTCCTGCTAATGATCACGTTTGGTACTGCGCTCGCCTGAGCCTTGAGTCAACGAACTTAGTTGGGTTCAAAACTTCGAATAGTATCGTGCCATCAACTCTTCACGGCCCAACTTTCGGGTCACCTGTTGAACTACTTGCTCGTTGCACTTGCAGTTACACTAGCTTCGTCTCACTATGTGGGTATCTCATCAGATCGGAGTTCCGCAAAGTTTGTCATGTCTGACAAGGCAACCTTTCACTCAATTTCGTCATTTTTACAGTTTTGCACGATGCTTCCCAGCAGGAAGGTCGCCGTCAAGGCCCGTCTGGATGAGAGTTGCCATTTCTCGTCTTCTGAATTGGTCAAGACTTAAGACTGCGTATGTCTTCCCACAATTTAAAAAGTCTGTTCGCATGCCTGACGCGACAGCGTTAGGTACTTGTTGGAATATTGCAATTAAGCAAACAAGTCGCGTTGCGGATTCCATCCATGACCTTTGGCGGCGGGGGCGCAGTTCATTTGTATGTGATTGCTGCTTTTATTTGATCGTACAACTTAGGCATGCTAACGCTTGTTCTCTTGACAAAGGATTTTAGTATACAGGTGGCAATCTTTTCACTTCCGCTCCCAGTCCTTTGGGATAGAGACAGGTGAAAGACGTGGTTTTTTTAATTAAAAAATCATATTTATTGTCCTTTGGAGTCGTGGACCCTATGTTGTCGGACATAGCCCTTTTCGCGGGGGTGGTTCCTATCAAGTATGTCAAGCAAGGTTTCTGCTGATGCAACTCCGAGCCGGAGTTAACACTTCGCAAGTGCCGAAAGCGCTGCATGACTTCAGCGAGGCCCGACACAAGACCCAATATAAATGTCCGCCAAGAGGTGTATGACGCAGTGGGTCGAGGTACGGCTTCGCTGCCAAGATTACCCCCACACCGCATAACGCTGATGCATGGGAGTTACCTGGATGGGCCAGTCACCAGGTATTTGTTAACCCATTATTTAAAGGTGGACAGTTAATGACAAAAAGTTCTGTCTCTGTGATCTTTCTTGGCGTGTACGCTGGCAATTTTATCGGATAAAATAATAGCCCTCAATCTATTTCATTCTGCATGCTTCTTACGTGCTCCAACGAATACCCAGGCTCTGCGTCACACCGTGAGCTGCCAGCACCGGATCCTCTGATAACCATCACATGACAGATGGCAAAGAGTTACTCGCCCCATGCATTTGGAATATATACAGTTGTTGTAAAGTCGCTTTCGGATTTGATTCGGCTGATGATATTCATGAATGTCCTCGTCAACGCAAGTCCCACCACAGCCATTATATCTTGACCCCAGGAGCACTTACGGAGCATTTTTTATTGGGTCTATTCTTGCAGCAGTGTTAGTCAAAATCATTTGCTCATTACACAGATAAAGCTGAGCACTTCCTGTCGTCGTACGATACCTCACGGAACAGGCTCTTTGGTCTAACCAACATTCAAGCTTTTGTCTATTTTCGGACGCACGTTGGCAGATGGACAGCATATTATAGGTTCATCGTACGTCTGCGCTTGTCTTGTCTTCTTCTCTTCAGTTTTGTTGTTGACGTTATATCAGGTCTTGTTGCTTTGGTAGGTATCCCTTTGGGTTACATTAGCAGGCACCTCAAGATAGTTTAGGGCACTTGATGCCGTGCACCTGGGGTTGACCATCCATTGCGTCTATTATTATTTGGTGACCAATTTTGCGAACTTCGCTGTGCTCTCAGAAGTTATATGGAGTTTTAGAGTGAGTTCTTACGACTTAGGGCTTCCGTACAATACTAACGTGTTGATTGGATTCGTGCAGCTTCAGATAGTTGTCAACGTAAGTCGTTTTCTAAGCTCTACGATCCGTCTCAGACATGTACCCGCAGGTTCTCATCATCTATGTGATCCATCTGTGAGTTTGAGGTGCACTGGTGTATGCAACACTCTACTAAACCATTCTTGGTTTGTAGGCTGTATTCCCACCGCATATGGATAGGTATTTCTTCCCTACCAATGTATTTGGGTCTTGACACGACTGATGCGGCAAATCTAGTTGGCAGGGACCGGTCAATAATTTTCCGTATAATACCGGTGCGTTTGCCATAGAAAGTCGTATTCTAGCCATTTCATTTCATTTTGTCGATCAGGGCATAGTCATTATCCTGGGTTCGGGTAAGTTCAGTCTGTCAACGGGAATATTCTCCGCTCGACTTTTGAAAAATCCTTCAGGTGTTGCCATCGGTGAGTGTTCAACGGTACTTACTCTTGCCGTTGGCTCATCATCTTAACTCAATCAGCCCTGTTTTGGGTAATGTGAGTAAACAGAGTTCTCCTTGACACGGCAAGGTGCTGATAGTGAATAGATATTACCACAATCCAAGCATGGGGTTATTTATGAACCAGTGGATCATATACTTGGCTTTGAGCGCAGCTGTTTTCGTCGATGTACTCATTACAATTTCATTATGGTATCTCCTCGCTAGCTCCCGCACTGGGTTCTCTCAGTAAGTGGTAGTCCGTTCACTCTCTGGATTTGATATGCTACCAGATTATTTTAGGACGGATTGCTTGATCACAAGGCTCATCTGTTACACCATCGATAGTGGTTGCCTGACGAGGTAAGATCCCTCCGGTTCATCCCATACCTTGACTTATCTTTCATCCAGTGTATGTGCATTGACATCTATCATTATGGTGAGATTCCCGTCATTGTAATGTCTATTTAGGCTCTGAGGGCCACCTGCAGTGCGCAATAATGCCACACGACTACATCTTCCTCAGCATTCAATTTATAGTGGCTAAACGTATGAAATATTCCATTCTCCGAGGATCGTGCTGACCAGTGGATCCGTTTCAAGTCTATGTCAACTCGTACATCGCACTTCTGAACGCGGAGTACTACACACAATCTAACACAGACGTCTTTAATTCTTTCGAACTTCGTGAGCCCGAGAGGAGCTCCTTCGACACCGGTACTATGCTGAATGATCTGTCGCACGAGAAATACCCATCATTTCAGAGGAACATGCTTACTCGTCCCGAAGTTGAAGTCATACCTCCCACTCGACCCTTAGGGGTTGTCGTGGTTAGTAGTTATGTTACTAGTGGCAGATGAGGAACTAATGATACGCTCCAGTCACGCAGGTCGATTTTAGTAACGGTGGAGAAGGAGTCTTTCATAGATGTATAGAAGAATTATCAGTCCATCGAGTCCTGATGCTGTATGCGGTTGCACTTGAGACGGAGGGTGGTTCTCGTGTACATCATTCCAAATACTTACATTGAACAAAGAATTTCACTGGATCGCACGCACCATCAAGCTGTCCGAAGACTGCGACTGCGAGCCTTGCTCCACCGGTCCGGGTGAGATTGAACTTGCACTACCGAGGAAAACCCGATTTGAACAACGAAACGTTCTGAACAGAGGCCTAGCTTTGATGCGGGCTATCGACATTGTGATCGCTGTCCAAACTTCTGGGCCACGTAAATCGATTCATCATGGTACACACATTGCGTGAAAATGTTTTTCATCTTCTAGCCACTCTACGAGAGTCATCGCATGCAAGCACCTAACGTTTCAAATCCGCAGTTCCTCGCCCCTCTGGGCAAGACTACGTCGGTTCAAGCCGGGTACTTCGGAATCGTCGTACACCGTGACGCATACATGCAGGAGGGGGGATGTTCATATTCCACTTATCATGGTCATTCTTCTCGATGCCCTTCTTGTCGAGGTAAGCATTCATCGTTACTCTGAAGATATGTTCATAAGGATTGCAAGATGGGAGTCAGGGATAGCATGCGGTCAGGAGTTTTTTTGGTCGAGGAACGGTTCAGGCCTCCAGGACTCCCGCGAGAATATGATCAGGGCGGGCACAGACCATAAAATCTGGAGCGGGTTGGAATAATGCTACCATTGCAATGAGCATCAATTTGGCGCAAGACATGATTACCAGCCTGGATTGTTTCAAACATTGATGTCAAAATTCGAACGTTCGAACGTCGAGTAGTCTCAGGCTGCGAGCGCTTGAGCGCCGAGCGGCTAACTTGTGTGTTTCTGTTTCCGCGGTCCTGTGCTATATAGTTACCACGGCCCAATGCATCACCATAGTAAGTTGGCCACGTCAACTGTGACAGCGCAGATTAGAAACAACAAACTCAGAGTTAGAGCGAAGGGGCCAACCTCAAAGCTACCCGCGAGTCTGATGAAGCAGGGTCCCCCTCTCCTGTGCTCATTCTATTACTTGACGATCGTATCCTAGTTTTCCAATTGTGCTCGCTTCTGCTCGGTGTCTCTGACTCAATTTTACATACTGCCACCGGCTTAAGCTTCATGCACCACAGCAACACGCGTCCAGAACTAGCCTGATGTGGATACTCGATTTCCCTTTGTTCACAAGAACTTCCACCAGATTAATACTATGATAATAGTGCTTGGACATGTCCACTGTCCCCTGTACCACAATTGAGCAAGCAGCTTTCCAAACCGGGTAATCTCCAAAAGGCATAACCCACTGTGGGCGTGGGCTCGAGGCAGTACTTAATATGAAGCGATGTTCAAGGCTGAACTTAACCAACTCACTCGCTTAAGTACATACTGCCTATATTCCCTTAGTTATCTGTCCAGAAGGCTACCTTTCGAGCTATATTTCTTCTCTGATGTCCGACTCTGAGTGCCAGTCTCGCCGTTTGCCCACGTTGGTTACCTATTGTCAGCGTGGTGAGTTGTCTATCAACTGCGTGTGGCTGTATGCTGAAATGATCGTCTTGTGCAGTCCTCTCTACATACACAGATTGTGCGTGCCGAAGATGTCAAACATTATCGTCCAAGACTGATGCAAGTTATTCGTCCAGCTATAAGCAGTTTGGGAGACGATGCTATACGGTATGACGTGATTAAGCCGGTGCTAGAATGTTGCTCTGCAGATACCCTTCTTCGTCTGGAACAATCATCACCCGTTCGTCCCACCTCCTTCCATTATGCTTTGATTCCTGATCCACTTCCTCCAGTATCTTGAGAATGATACCTCTGGTAAGTTCAATAGCTTCAACGATCTCTGCACTGCTCTCTGACATTACCAAAGAAATATGGCAACGATTATGTTGGAAAACGTTCCCCCTCTTAGCTGAACAATATTTGCAAGAAGGCTCTGAGGCTCCCGAATCGTGGCGCGAGCAATTTTTTGTAAGCTTGTTCTTCCATTTTTGAATCCTTATTGACAAAAGGTCGGGACAGTTATTACGAGAGGCAGAGGCCGAACGGCTTGAACTGGCAGGCTCTCGGCTCCGCAGTCAACGCCTGGAAGCGGAAGAACGGAAGAAGGAACGTGAGGTTAAGATCACCGATCGCCTACCTCCCCCGAAACGTGCTCGAGGGTGTATGTTTGTGTTTTTTGAATTCTATTCAGTGGTTAATTGTTTTGTATCAAGGGGGAGCATCGAGTCAACCCAAGACACTCTTTCAGAAGACTAAGAATGAGGCCACCAGACTCCGTAGTTCCATGTACACCGCTCGTCTCATTCCTCCTAAGCGACAGCGTACACTGCATAGTTCACCTAGTCTAACACCTGCAGTACCCCGACCTTCCGAGCCAACCAAGAGCATGGTCACCGTCAAGACAGTCACCTACAAGCGACCGTCTACCTTATCCGCACCACCTCAGTCATCTGGCCGACCTCCTATGCCATCGGTCTCAGCCCCCGCGCCTCCTCCGAAATTGGCTGCCTCTCCTCCTGCTCGCTCATTGAAACCTTTACCAACAGTAAAGCCACCATCCACAGGGGAACAGCGGCCGTCTAAGCCCCCAATAAACAAGAAGGACCCCATGGCTTCTCTGTTCATGCCGAAGCATCGCACCTCTTCCCAACGTCCAGGCCAGCCCAGTAATGCACGTGTCATGCCGACCCGATAACTTCTGATTGAGCTATTCACTCCTCTGCATATGTTGTACTCAATGATTCTATTTAGCACTTGCATCGTGTTTGTTAGATCACCTACTTACTATACTTGATTGTACGATTGTCTCAGTAGTGTATGTCTAGTGCAATTACTATCCACTCTATTCCCGTCGACGATAATACTGTTGACATCACCATCTGCTAGACGCACATCCCTTCAATCTTGCTCCCTACGTAGAAATGCTCTCCTCGAGTTCACACTAGGCAACAGAATCTATTTATCTATCTATCTATGAGACAGGGAATATATTGTAGTTCTACTTGGTGTTTACGGAAGAAAAAGAAACAAGGTAACTGTCAACTAATATTCCAGGTGTTGTGCAATCCAACTGTATCGTCCGTGCTGTTGACCGGACCGCCAGATGCCATCAGGTTCACCCGAGTGTGGAATCCATTGACCCTATTGCCCTCACTTTGGCCTTCCCGCGAGTTCACTGCCACCTTGTTCTTGACGTTGTCCGCACGGAGTGACTCTTCATTGACACCACCGGTGACGTACTCCTGTGAATACGGAACAATCAAACGTCAAAATAGACGGGTTGAACTGTCGCACGGATGCGATGAGGTCGGGAAGAGTCTGAAACACGACAAGATCTACCCCAATGGCCTCGGCTATCTCTTCGGTGTTGCGTCCGTATGCAACGAGCTCTGTCCTTGATGGCTTATCGATACCATAGACATTCGAGTGCCGAAAGTTTCGTCGGCCATCTGGAAAAGTTTATTAGTAGGAGTTACGGATGGGTGGGGCGCAGCTCACGACGATGACCTTTTTGGCGCCCACATATCGATAATCTCTTCTGAGGTGGTGCCGCGAACGATGGAATCTTGAGCATGTGTTACGAGATGTTAGGGTCCAGCTGCTCTAAATCTTACCTTGAACAAGGAGAACATTCTTCCCAGAAAACTCCAAGGCCATGGCGTTCGATTTCCCCTGGCATTCTTCCGTTTGTGAGAAGCCTTGGCATCACCCATTCGCGTGTATAGTAACCCATGCATGTTACCTCATTTCTTGACCTGGCATAATGAATGTCCTGCCAACATAGCGATTCTTGATTACGGCCTCTCGTATACGTAAGGCAAGTTGAGCTTCTGAGCAAGGTTCAAAGCTACAACGCGAGACATATCAGGAACCTGCAAAACATCTTGGACCAAACAATCGTAAAACAGCGGAAACCACTAACTGGGATGACGACATCCATTGTAATGCCACGTTCCTTCAAAGCTCTCTCAACTTCGACAACAAGCACATCGCCCGTAGCCATTCGACTACGGTAGACGCTGATGCCGTCAAGCACAGAAACCAGGGCGAACAAAGTAGACAAATTCAAAATTATCTGGTGCAAGGGTCGCATGAGCTGCAACTCGTTTCTTGGAAACCCCTGAGCGAGTGATGATCACTGCTTCGCCTAGTACCACCAATTACCCATCAATAGCTGCAGCCGACGGTGGGAACAATGACTGACCAAGCTCCACATCCTCCCATTCACTAAAGCCTAAAGCATCAGCGACGATGCTCTCACTTGCAAAGAAGCAGTCTCTTCAATGTTGATCCTTCTGGAAGCCATCCCAACTGGTCTTATAACATTTGAATCTCTGAGTGCAATGATCCCGAAGCCAGCAAGCATTGCAACACATGCATATGCTCCTGTGCACTGCCCCATAAGACCTCTCATAGCAGTGAAAATGTCGTCTTCGTTGATACGGAATTTACCCGTCTTCCGGAGATTGTCGGCGAAAAGGTTGAGTAAAAAGTTCAGAATCAGATGAAGTGTTTATATGTCTATGTGCGATGGCGTCTATATGTTGCAAGAGCGAAGAACTGTTCATGAGCTTCCTATTCTAAAGATCCCCTTCAGTCGACCCCAAAGGAAAAGTCTTAAAGACGGACTTATGTGGGCGAATACAATACTGACATACAGTGAATTAACGTAGAACGGCTGTGCTTCGGCGTGGTCCGAGCTGCCAGCAGTTGGATAACGAACTACAGTGTGGTATGATAACCTTTGGCAGGATCACATTACTGGAGAGGCTTACCATGGCCAATACCCATACCTCCAATTAGTCTTGCGATGGCTTTTTCATCTAAGACATCCCGGACCGTGCCGTTGGCTTTGCATTGAAAGAATCGGCCCTTGGATCCACTGATTACGATGCCACATGCATCCTGTCCTCTGTGCTGGAAAGACCTTCAAAAATCTCTGGTGCTGCATCCACCGATACATTATGGAGCAGTAACCCTAGATTACCACACCAAATCGGAGACCTGTCAGAGGGTCTAACACCGAGATTCAGCACGATAAAAAACGGACGAACTCGCGGACACGGTGGACGAGGAGAGAGCAGGGAGGCAACGAGCCTGGAAATTGCAGTTTAGAACGACGTTGCGATAGAAGTGCAAAAAAGCGAGAAAGGATCCAAGACTGCTCATGCCGTGCGACGGCCCGGTGCACGTGCAACTTCAAAAGTTGGTCAGTCCGAGTCGCGACAACACAAAACCTAGGCTCAAGCGCCCATATAATTCCATTAAACCGGCGGTCTAGTCCACAGCTTATCTGCAAGGTCTCAGCATTTTCTATCTTCTGCATAGCCAGCATCCTTGGATTATCTGGATATGTCCAAGACTCCAATTCATGGAGGAAGGAAACTGCCTTCCTTCAATCTCAACTTCTGCAGTAGTGCCACTAGCCTTTATACAATCACCGTCCGCCGGGCCAATATATGCCTCAAGGGGATACGTTAAAATTGCAATTACATGAAAATATGCCTAGCTACTTACATTGTGTATCACTCAAGCACCCCATGACCATCCCCTAGGGAGACCCTCCGAACTTTCCGGCCAGCCAGCCAATTAATCTTGGTGCGTCAGGTCTCACTATGGCTATCTCCTTCCAGGCTGCGCGCCGAAGGTCTACTACTAAATCCGGGGTGAGTTGGATTCGTCCTGTTTTTCTCATCGTCGGACATGCTCCGAGAACGCAAACAGTCTCTTTCAAGCTCTGTTTTTACTTGATCACACTGGTTTGATAGTACCCCGAATCGTTGAAGCAGTGTTAGACTCCACACAGCTGCTTTGGCTCACTCCCGACGATTGGGGCCATTAGATTAGCCATTCAAACTCCATCGGCGAGTGAGAACTCAGGATCAGCGCGAGAATGATTCACCGCCTTAAATTTAAAGATCGATAGATATTAATTCCAGCTGGGGTCACGTTACTAACAACCTGTGATTATTCATTTTAGATAATCGGAGGGTTCAAGCGGTGTGAGATTTGGCTGGTATGATGGCGATGCGACTTGATGGTATTCAGTTTCTCGGCATGGATGGGTGACGACTAGAGCTGCGTTTTGGAGACAATCATTCAGTAGATCATGATATGGTGAATTATTTAATGCCGTGAGGCCGTGTGATGACATCCGAGTCGGTACAAGGTACGTTTGCTTACAAAGGCACAGTACTCAAGTATCAGGTTATCAGGGTTATGCGACAGACAAGGTTGCAACAGGTACGGATACCTTCATGTCGTCAATCTCATGTCCAAGTGTCTCAGCAGAACTACACAGAATAGTTGGACATTCCCGTTATTCCTACTTGACTATACATGCATACTAGAATGGCGAGTATCAAGGTGTGAGTAAGTGGTAGTAAGTGTTACAAAACAAGAGTACAGTATAATGCAGAACCAAGATAAGTTAAACGTCAAAAGGTTCATAGTATCATATTACCACGCTTATTCGTGTCTGTCATACCAGGGAAGTGTATAACTGAAAATATTACGCCATTGTTGCCTCTGTCCAGCCACCAAGCACAGGAAGTTCGGCGACGCCAAAAACAACGTTTGGGACGCCTTCCTCATCACTAGCCCTCCCTGTGGTTACGCCCAGGTTCGGATCTTTGCCGTCAATTATTTGCGACTTGACCGAATCTTCTGGTGAACGCTTAAAGCGCATTGGGGAATCTGGGTGAGGCATGGAGATCAGGACACAGACGGAGACGGAGTCATCCGGGGGGGTATATTCTCGAATAACCGTAGCTGGATGTGAATCAGGAGATAGAGAATGTCGCTTGAAGCGTGCAAGGAATGAGGGTCGCTGTTGTTGTGGAGACTCATGAGGTAATCGGGATTCCGCAGTAGGTTCGACCCTGTGTGTTAGAAGAGCATTGACAGGCTGTTGAGAGAAAGTATCAGTCAAGCCCTTCAAATGACTTTAATAGCTCGGAACAGACCATGATGGCTTGCCACTGGGATTTCTCACGTGGTGCACCCTGTTCAACCCAGGCTTCATAGACGCTGGGTTTCTCTCCGATGTACCGTGAAGTAAGACCGAATACTGATGGTTGTAGGTCAAGAACGACTCCTTGCGCCAAAGCCTCTTCGACACGCTGACGAAACCGACGGCGAACGAGGAAGGAACGGAATATGATAGAGGCAGATATGAGCAGGAGAACGAAAAGGGTGGCGAGGAACGTGAAGCTGGTTGTAGAATTCATCGTTACAAGGAGCCGTATCAGGGAAATATATGAAAATAGGAATATTGAAACAAAGGATCACGGATGAAAGCAAGAAAAACGTTTTTGGATTGCGAGATGAAACGTTCAAGAAGCAGTGCATGGGATGATGAAGCCTGTGTCAGCCTATGATGGTTATGTGGGATCTGGCAACACATACAGATATAGCGTGGTTGATGTAGATGGCGGTTGGTTACCCCCTGCGCTAGAAGTTTGACTGGCCGTAGGCTGATCACTTGGGCTAGTAAGGGTGGGCGTCGACGACAGTGATGGTGAAGAAGACATTTGATATTAGTCGAGCTCGTCGGATGGAACTTCGTCGGCGTCGGCAAGCTTCGTTACCGTTACGGCCGCTTTACAAATTGCCGTGGGAGGACCCTGTGCACTAGAATCTTGGGATCAGATTTTGCTGACATAATGAGTAGCTGATGGAACTGCCTCCCTTGCGAATAAAATAGCTATTGAGCCATGTAGATCTAGCGCTCATTACTTTTCCTCATTCCCTCCACCCGCCATGTCGAACACGACAAACTCGACTCTCCCTCCTTCATTGAATCTTCCTCCTCATCTGTCTGCACAAAAGTATTTCTTCGTCTGCACACTCACCGTCTTAGCCTGGGATGCCCTCGTTCTCACTCCCAGGTCCTACAGACTGGGACGTCTGCCAAAATGGCCAGCTCTGAAGTTTATGTATTACTTCATGCAATTTTGGGTCCTAGCAGATTTTGTTGTAACAGGTGCATTTCCCTCTCTAAGCCCGTCTTATCGCGAAACCTCGGGCGTTAACCTGAAACGCGATTGCAGGCGTAATGTTCTTTAGTACGACAGTCATACAAGACACAGACTGCGTCGCTTTCTGGCCTTACGAGCCAATTTGTACGGCAGTTCTCCTTGCTGTTGCATCTGCTGTACATGTCATGCGCATATCGGCTATCTACGACCACGTTCAAAATGTTCGCGCAACCATGTGGGGATTGTACGCTGTCCAGATTGTCGTCACCGCCATTTGCTGTGGCTTCTACCGCTCTGTCCATCTAGAAGATGGCCAAGGATGCATTGCTGGTCCCTTGAATAACGCAAGCTGGGTTGGAATTTACTGGCTAGCTCCAACCTTGCTCTACGGTACCAGCTTCGTCCTCGCTGCTCTACGCAGTATTAAAACGCTCGAAACCAGGCGTGTATCTTACTGGCGTCTCATGCTGCGTGATGGCTTGAACCTGTACGGTGCCATTCTCCTTGTAAACCTCGTCAATGTCCTCTTCTACTTCATTATGACACCCACGGGTCCAACCGACCCCATCAAAACAATTGTCACCAGCATGGCAGCTGTTCTTACAACAACAATGTCTATGCGCATCATCCTCTCTGTTAGAGGGGACCTTGCCAACGGTGGCACGTTCTCCATATCTTCCCACGCTGCTTCTTCATCAGGAGCTAATACCAACTCGCTCTCTGGCTCAGGGACTAGACCAAGAGGTGGTAACCACACATTCACCCTCGGTGATATGCGTGATGCTACCGTGGCCGTAGCCGGTCGTAAAGAGGGAGGAGAGTGGGATGCTGACAAAGGCAGTGTCACCCCTCGCGAGGAAACCAAGGCCGTACTTCCAATTATTGTGGAAGACGCTGACAATGGTATTCCTCGTGCGCGTAATGGGTTGGGTGTGCAAATTACGGTTGATCACCAAGTCGAGTATGATGATGGATTTCCCACAAGGAAGTAGTTTTCGGAATCTCAAGACGCAGGTGCGCTTGCTGTCAATACATGCGGTGTGATAACGATATCTATTTGGGACTTGTGACCCCTTGTCTATGACGTTGACATGTTATCTCCTACCCTCGTATATTTTTTTTTGTGTCCGCTCGTATTTATACCGGCTGTTTACTCACAGTATTCCCTACGTACCCCACGCGATGCCGCTATTGCCAAGAGTCTCATGGATACATTGTATACCAGTTGTACTGCTTCAATGAAATTAAAAATTAGCGCCCAGATATTTTCCTCCAATCGCATCTGACACTGACGATCGCCTGTACGCACTGGTCCAAATACAATAACACGCCCTGATGAGATGCGTTGATCAAGACGACTAGGCTGACCATAATGCATGGTTGGTTGATGATATGAGAGAAAGATTTTAAAGATACGTAACGTCCGGTCATCGGACACCGCTTCGAAATTTAAAACTATCTTGCTGGTAATTGAACCTTTTTGTATTTAGCATCTTTCCCAGAATGGATCAGGAAGGCTATATATACAAGGGCGGTGTGTATATAAGATAAGATGTCGACGCATCCTGTATATACTTGAGATAGATGTGTTCATGGGATACGGTCGACGTTGGGCTTCCTGGGTATATCTGTGATCATCGCTTTTATAAAATATCCGCGTCCCTAATGCGTTCGTTCGTTAGTATACCGGTACCAAAACTTACTAACTTCAGACAAACTTCAGATCATGGGTTCCAGTGCTGTTCGAGGTCCCATCTCCTTAATCAATCACCCTCCACACAATCATTTACTTAACAAGGTTGCAGCGCCCGCAAATTTGATAGAGCCACTAGCCTACTCAGGCTTAGTAAATTTGATCCCACCGGCTGACTATGGGCGTATCAATGAATAGTTGTACGTACTTGACTCCAGCTGTGAAAAGCGGAAAGGTTGGATGGGAGTGAACTGATGCCCTCCACACCTGTATGTCGAGTAGTACGCTGCGATAAATTACCAAAAAGTCAAATTTATTGGCTGGTCCCACTAATCTCGCGAATACGGAGACAATGATCCACGCAATTTGTTCATCACGCTGAAGAGAGAGAATTCCTTTCCATCGCCACCTCAATCGGCCGCTGTGGCTAAAGCAAGTCATCAGCTCTATTCCGTCGACAGTGGCGTAACCACTGACCATGACAGCCTGAACAGGTCGAGTGATATGTAACATTCCATCATCGGGATGTGTAAACATGCTCTTCTGGGATGCCTGGAGTTCCTCATCCTGCAACGCTCTAACGTGCAATTTCGGGCGGTAGACATCATGACGTATATGATATTCGGAAGAATACATTCTGTCTGCCTGGGGCTGCGAGTAGTATCGCGCGTTCAGGAGTGCGATGTACGAGTTGACATATACTACGATGATACCAGTTGTCAGCATGATCCTCGTTGAGGAATTCTTTGGCCATACATTTAATCAATAAAAAATCGACAGCTTCGAATATGTAGTTGTTCGGCATCACTGCGCACTGTAGACAGTCAGAGGGCAGATGGCCAGAACAGGAGGTGCGAACTCACTAAAATGATAACTGCCATTGAACACATACTGCACGAAATGAGTCAAGGTATGAGGCAGGCTGGAATGGGGAATACCTCGTCAAACAGCCTGTATTGATGATATAAATCATGAGCTTCGTTACGAATAAATCCAATCTAAGTGCTATGTCAGTATTTTAAACCTGACACTGACTGCAACTTACCTCGAGAACCCAGTACGGGACGTGGCGAGGAGATAACACAGCGATGATGCAATAAGGATATCGACAAAGGCAACAGTGCCCAAATACACGTATGTTATCCACTCGGTTTTGACCATATCGGTGGCTGCACGGATTTCCTGATATCTACAAGCTATCAGCACTTAGTTGGGGAGTCGGGTGTCTCACTTACATGCACCAAATAACGGCTTTATCATGTTAAAATGATAAATCAATAACGATACTAATGAACTCTCACCGATACCAAGACCTGAAAGGATCCTTAGAGATCGTGCGAAGAACACTACCACGTGACGGGACTCACCTGAAATTAGGACGACGAAGATGCCCTAGTAGCGGATCAACAGAATGAAAAATACGGCTTGAAGATGAACATTGATAACAAACCCACCATTGTAATCGGTAGAACTTTTGATCGGCCCTTGCTAACTAGGTTCACCGCATGAGTCATGACAAATCTGTTGATGGGGAGAAATACCTGTCCATATGCGATGAACATATAAGCTGCAGATCAAGAAAGTGTTGAGCGAATATTGCATATAACATGGTACACTGAACTTACAGATGGCCCACAACGATGCTGAGAACCTGTGAAGTGCATGTCTGAGGCGAACCATAGGCTTAGGAAATGGAACTTACGGCCACTACTTGCTGAAGCTGCACAAGCACATCAGTATGATACATAGTAGAGGCTCATGGAGGAAGTAGCGACTCACTTTGGAACTCCATACAACTTCTTTGAGCGCACTAACATTGGCGTAGTTGATCACTAAATAAAAATAGACGCAATGGACGATCAGGGCCAGATGCAGAGCGTCAAGTATCCTAAAAGTCCAGGATATGGTGTCATTTCGACATGCTCGACAATCGCAACTCGAAGAAATGCCTACCAAAGCAATATCACCTGAAATAGGTTCAATAACAGAACTGACAAAGAGGCAGCATAGACGTACAACCAACTTGTAGAATGTGATTCCTGTACCACTATGTGTCTGAAAGTAGATAAAAACTTGAACGATGGTGACACCAAAGAGACTGTTCCGTGAGAAGAAAAGTTCAACATATTACTGACTAGTAAATAAACAGTTTACTTACACCGCTGCAAGGACAACCCCAATAAACAGTGCCCCAAACGTGTTCGCGAGTTGAAGATGTGGGATGAGGTCTTGCGTAGAGGAAGCCATTGCTATTATTGACTAGGCAAATTTCATCAGCAACACAGTAGACCAGGTTATATATCCCGCAGCCCGAGACAATGGGATTAGTATTTTTTCCTGTGATGAATGATGGTGCTGATGGTGAAACACTTCATATTAGCAGGAGTGCGTCATGTGCATGATGCCGGTCTTAAGTTCATCCGGAGGGATTGCTTGAGTAGATGCAGGGTTTGGTACCAGTGCCACAGACGTTAAGCCATCAATTGATATTGAACATTGGTTGAACAGGATTTGAACAGGATAAAACTCTAATACAAAGTTATCACTGATCGATCTGATCCGTGGTCAACCCATTTCTGTCGTACGTCAGCAATATTTGCGATTGTTGATATCGACAAACATTCATTTTCCACCTGGCCTGATGTCCATTGAAAGCTGCTAATGGTGAATTAATGTCTTCGTATCAACTGGAACGGTCTGATGAAGCAACGGAGTGGTGGTAAGAAGAGCAGGTGTGGCACATCATATAGCTAAACCGGATGGTGAGCATTTCGATGGTTGCCAACCACTCACTTCCCCACTATCTAGTTTTACAGAATACTTCTCTTTCAGAAGAAGATGACGATGACGATGGAGACGATTCAGCTGCCTGTATCAATGAATACGGCGCCGTCTTTCCGAAGCTCGAGCCTGTTCCATCGATATCAATTCCGGTTCACATCTAACAGTCGACCGGACCCATCATTGGCGTTACCAGTGTACCACCGCATCCTCACCTCTCATTCATCGAACATTTACATCCCATTGAATCTGTCGTACTACCTGAGCATCGACACGGGTACTATCTTTGATAAATGTCAATTCGATCCCTCAAATCTACCATTCAACAGTCCATGAATGATGACGATTAACAGCTGTAGTCAGCGAAAAATGTTGTTCTTTTTGTTGTCCCTTTGCAATCATGATCTTTGAGTCTATCCTGGAGCCCTGGACGTACACCGCAAACAATGGGAAGACTCGCACTTTCAATTGATGCTGAGTCCTTCCACTGGTCCTTGACCACAGTAACCTTCCCCACATGGATCATTATATACAGCCTGGTGATGTCGAGAGGTACGAATCAATGTTTCAGAGTCCCAATGTCAATGAAGAAAATGATTGTATGAGACTACTTCTCCAAACAAGCTGACCATCATGTATAGCCCACGCGAGCTTTCGTCAGGAAGATATTGCTTGTACATATATTTCACCGTAAATGCGGGACTTGAATGACCTGGTCAACCAGACCCTTCAATCAACGTAACATTGAAGGGAGACATGATATTTGCTCATCTGAACGTGAATTCTGTAAACCTCTCGTTCGCTCTCACCCTCGTGGAGTATTTCGGATCATTCCTCTTGCAATGGTTAACATTATTGAGTCTGAGCAAGTCTTGTGACGAGGAAGCAATAACGATGGAGGAACGAAAGACAGAGGGAAAGAGATAAGAGTACAAAAGAAATGGACGCAAAGGTAACATCTTACATTATCAACGACCATCAGCGCGTGGTGGAGACACAACAGAAAAAAAGAACGAAGCAAGCCCGTAATGGAAGGGGTTGTGACTGCACGCTTGCTGCATTTGGTAGGGTAGCACTAGCAGGAGGGGTAGATGTCGTGGACGTCGAGGTAGCGGCAGGCTGAGTTTGTGGTGATGACGCCTGAACCTGAACCTGGCTGTGCGCTTGGCTTTGCTGTTGTTGCTGTATTTGTGTCGCCTGTCGAGGAGATGCACAGCAGAGAAAGAGTATGGCATGGGCCCACCACGGAACGGGTGGTGACTGGGCAGATGTTGCACCTGGTACAGTAGTACCAGGAGGGCATCTGCGTGAATGTTCTTGTACCTGCCGCAGAGCAACAGCCAATGGTTAGAGAGAAATCATTGAACTACCGTGATTGAAAATAGACGAGAAAAAATACCTTCTTGTCCTGTACTGCGGCAACTTCGACAACACGAGGACTGCGAGAAAATATGGACCAGTTTGAGTGTTGCTGTAGTTCGGTTGCTGTATCGGTATTGGATCGAGAGTGGTGGAAGAAGGACGAAAGGCGTTCGAGAAGAGTATGCGGATTCGCAGAAGAGGGTGCAAGAGCGCGGCGGGAATGGTGCGCGGGAGCATGATGATATGTGCCACGAGCCGTGGAGGACTGAGACAGATGTTAGAACAAGAACTAGTCAAACATGAAGATGACTCACCTGGGGGCCATGTTGCACCCCATCGGGGAAGCCTGGTGATATTCGACGGGCTTGAATAGGTGAACGTCGGGTAGCACCGATCTAGACTGATGAGCTTAAAATGGTTGAAAAGATAAAGAAACTTGGCATATACGTCCTTTAACAAGTATACTTTGAAACACCCAATAACTTCCATAGATACTACGACGTCAATATTATCGTCGAATAAATTTCTTCCCCCTGTGGGTTCAGGGCATGCAACAAGTATTTTCCATGCTATACACTACAGCTGGTTGATACACGCAGGTGCTCCTGGAAGGCAATCGAATGCATATAAGTTCCTTAGCATGATACTCTCTACGGGTCCAGGATATCAATGTGGGAAAGGGTTATGGGACAGGGGCGACGAGATTTACTGTGGAGTGTAGGCCATGCGTCTAAAGCGCTGGGAGCTCAATGCGTCTCGTTGAATGTACTGGAGTGAAATGAAGCCACCGGAGTAGCTGACAAGAAAATATAGGGCAATTCATGCAGTGCTGCAGGATACAATCCAATGACTTGAAGCAGTGGATTTAAGGAAGAGGGTAGGAAGCGACGAGCAAAGAAGACATTTTGAGCATGGGTGTTTTGGACGAAGACTTGGGCTGAGATGTATTGGAAGAATCGAATCAACAGCTCCCATCAAACTGATACCACACCCGCCACTCCCTGCCATGAAAAGTCGTTGATAGTAGGTCAAATTTTTCTACGCAAGATATCTCGAATGACCTAATAGATATAATTCTAAGCTGGTAGTGAGGTGTACTGATGTAGTGTACTAGATCCCTCTTGTTCCCTGCCACTGTACCATTTCCATTTGAGAAGAACGCGCGATATTAATGTCCTATAACTCCTATCTCGTGAGAAGACGGATAGGCAATACCACATGGATGCTCATCCATCACACAGACGAGAAAGAATCCATCTCCGTTATCACTGCAATCGACTGCTGTGGCTAAAGCGTGTCATTCAGTCCTCAACGACGTAAGAACTGGCACCGACCTTGATAAAACGAGAAGGATGCACAGCTTCATCGTCGGGATGTTTAAGCGCGTCCCTCCGGGATGCCTGGAGTTCGTCGTCCGACGGCCTAACGCGCAGCTCCGGGCGGTAGACCCCATGGCGGTTGCGCAATGGGTGAGAGTTACTAGTGTCTGTGTTAACCTGCGTGTAGTATCGTGCATTCAAGAGTGCAAGGAACGAGTTGACATATACTTGAAATAGGACCACTGGTCAGCACGATTCTAGGAAAAGACTTCGGCCATACATTTAGCCAATAAAAATTCAATGGCAAGGAAGGTGAAGTTGGTCGGCATGACTGCGCACTATAGATACTCAGAGAAGAGATGGATAATATAATCTCTGGAAGCTTACTGTAATTATAGCTGCCATCGAACATATGCTGCATGAAATATGAGTCAAGATATGGGATAGTCTTGAAGGAGGAATACCTCGTCAGACAACCGGTATTAATGATATAGGCCATGAGCTTCGTTATCAAGGAATCAGTGCTAAGTATTTTGTGCTAGTAGTATCTCAGAGCCAGGTAATGAATGGACCGCTCTTACCTAGAGAATCCAGTACGGGAGGTAGCCAGGAGGTAGCATAGTGATGATGCGATAACGATGTCGGTAAAAGCAATCGCGCCCAAAGTCATGAATGTCGTCCACTCGACTTTAACCAAATCCGAGAACACATGACACTGATATCTACTCACTATTAGCACTTCGTGTAGCTAGGGAGTACACAGGTTGACTCACATGGCCCAAATAAGGGCTGGCATCGGGTTAAAATAATGAGCCAATAACAAGAGCATCGTTCAAACAATTACCGATGGCAACACCTGAAGGGATCCGAGTCTTCAAGATCGAACAAAGAGCATTTCCAGCTAACAAACTTACCTGAGTTTAAGAATATGATTATACCCTAACAACAAATCAACAGAATGAAAGGCTGTAGAATGTATATCAATTGTAAACCTACTACTGTGATAGGGAGCCTGAGGGTTCTTGATTGGCCCTTGCCGACTAGATATATTACATCAGTCATAGAAATCCATCGATAGGGAGACACATACGTATCCATATGCGATAAGCATACAGGCTATGGTGCAAGAATGTATTAACTATAGGTTGCATGTCACATTCTACTTACAGATTTACCCCATAGACGATGAAAACCTGTAGAAGTGCTTGGCTGAGGTGCACCGCAGAGCTTAGCAATACAACTCACCTCAAATATTATCTGAACCTGCATAAGCCCGTAAACACTACAGTCCTACGAGGCTGGACCAAAGTAAGAACTCACTTTAAAACTCCATACAATTTCCGTGAGCGCGCCGATGTTTGCATAGTTAATCACTAGATAATAATAGATGCAGTGGACAATCAAGGCTAGGTGCAGAGCATCGAGTATCCTAAGGTTTCAGGGTTGAACTCCATAATCTCGACGCTCTCGATAATAACAACGCCCACCAGAGCCAGATGACCTGACATGGCGTTTAGAGCAGAGCTGATAGAAAGTGGTATAAACGTACAGCTAGTTTATACAATGTCATCCCTGTGACACTATGCGTCTGAAAGTAGATGAAAGCTTGACTGCTGCATAAACCAAAAAGACTGTTCCACAAGATAAGTCATGATCAGGACGATAGGAAACACACAGCTTTGGCTGCATGTGAAGCAAATCGTTTACGAACACTGCTGCAATAGCAACCGCAATAAAAAGAGCCCCGAACGTCCTCCCAATGTCAAGTTGTGGAATGAGGTCCTGCACCGAGGAAGACATTGTTGGTTGCAATCTGCAATGCGTCTAGGTGTTAAGTGAGGCTAGTGCATCGCCACCTGGAGTCTTACGGATGCTGGCGAATCCTGCACAGGTGACTAACACAGAGTTATTGACAACTGGATTTATATATTAAAAAAATCCTGTCACGGTGATGCCGCTGATGCGCACTGGTATGGTTCCTTTTAGTGCTGATGACGGAGGCACGCCTATCACATGTTTGGTTGCCGAACCAGCCGCCATCAGGCTAGCATGATACCAGTTTGGCCTGCGACTCCAAATCCGAGACTAGTACTGAAAGGATTCTTAGTTAGAGCTAGCTCGGTAACCCAAGGTAACAACTTGAACTTCTGACATTATGTAATTCACGGATATTGAATTCCGACTGAGTGCGAGGCTAGTAAGGTTGGTAAAGATGGACATCTGTGGTACGAGTCAAAGAACATCATACATTGACAGTAGAATCACATAGGATTAGCGATCATTCATAAGGGAAACGTAATTCACTACGGAGTGCTACAGAGTGCCCTGTAGCACTCTGTAACACAATCCAATCTACTGAAGTTCACCAACATGAAATGAAATAAAAATGGGCTGATATTGATCTTGTAGTACAAGGTAACAAGGTAACTTAGTGAAGTTGATCCCACCGACGCCGACTATATGGGTGCAGCAAGAAATAGTTGTACATACTTGACTCGAGAAACTCCAACTGTTAAAAACGCAAAGGATGGGAGTGAGCCAATACCTCTCCACACCTGTACGGCGAGTAGCACACTACAATAATTTATCAAGAAGTTAAGGTCATTGGCCGGTCCTGCCGATCTCGCAAATACAAAGACAATCATCCACGCAATTGGTCCGTCACACTGAAGAGAGAGAATTCATTTTCATCGTCACCTCAATCGGTTGCTGCAGCAAAAGCAAGTCATCAGTCCTATTCCGTCGACAGTAGTGCATCCACTGACCACAACAGCTTGAACAGGTCGAGTGATATGCAACATTTCATTGGGATGTTTAAACATGCTCCTCCGGGGTGCCTGGGGTTCCTCGTCCTGCGACGCTCTAATGTGGAGTCTCGAGCGGTAGACGTCATGGTGCATATGGTATTCAGAAGAATGCACTGCGTCTGCGTTGGGCTGCGCGTAGTATCGCGCGTTCAGGAGTGCAATGTACGAGTTGACATATACTAAAATGATACCACAAGTCAGCATGATCCTCGTCATCGAGGAATCATTTGGCCATACGTTTGAGCAGTAAGAATCCGACAGCTTTAGATACGTAGTTTTTCGGCATCACTGCACACTAGAGGCGGTCAGAGAGAAGATGGCCAGTACAAAAGGTGCGAGCTCACTGTAATGATAATTGTCATCGAACACATACTGCACGAAATATGAGTGAAGGTATGGATAGACTGAAATGAGAAATACCTGGTCAAACAGCCTGCATTGATCACATAATTCATGAGCTTTGTTATAAATAAATCCATTCTAAGTACTATATGTCAGTATTTCAGACCTAGAAGTGAATGGACTGCAATTTGCCTTGAGAACCCAGTACGGGACGTGGCGAGGAGATAACATAGCGATGATGCGATAAGGACATCGACACATGTAACAGTGCCCAAATATACGTAAAATGCCCACTCAATTTTGGCCCAATCGGGGACTACATGGACTTCCTGATACCTATTCGCCATCAGCGCTTAGAGCACCTAAGGAGTGCGCCGTCTCACTTACATGGTCCAAATACCGGCTTTATCATGTTAAAATGATAAAACAATAACGGTATGAATGAACTCTTACCAATTGCAAAACCTGAAAGGATCGTCAAAGATCATGCGAAGAGCATTACCAGGCGACGGGACTCACCTGGAGTTAGGACAACGGCGATACCCTGGTAGTGGATCAACAGAATGAAACATAAGGCTAGAACGTGAACATTGATGGCAAGCCTACCACTATGATCGTAGGAACTTTTGATCGGCCTTCGCTAACTAGATTCACCGCATAAGTCAAGATAAATCTGTTGGTTGGAGGGAAATACCTGTCCATATGCGATATGCATATAGACTACGGATCAAGAAAGCATTGAGTGAACGTTGCATATAACACAGTACATCGAACTTACAGATGTTCCACGAAGATGCTGAGAGCCTATGGAGTGCATGTCTGAGGCGAACCACAGGGCTTAGGAAATATAACTTACGGTGACTACCAACTGAAGCTGCACAAGCACATCAATAGAGGCTCGTGGAGAAAGCGGTAACTCACTTTGGAACTCCATACAACTTCCTTGAGTGCACCAATGTTCGCGTAGTTGATCACTAAATAAAAATAGACACAATGAACGATCAGGGCCAAATGCAGAGTGTCAAGTATCCTAAAAGTCCAGGGTATGGTGTCATCTCGACGTGCTCGACAATCGCAACTCGAAGAGATACCTACCAAAGCAATATGACCTAAAATAGCTTCAATGACAGAACTGACAAAGAGGCAGCACAGACGTACGATCAGCTTGTAGAATGTTATTCCTGTACCACTATGCGTCTGAAAGTAGATGAAAACTTGAATGATGGTGACACCAAAGAGACTATTCCGTAGCGGAAACATTCAACTTTAACTCAATAATGAATGAACAGCTACTTACACTGCTGCAAGGATAACCCCGATAAACAGTACTCCGAACGTGTTCGTGAGTTGAAGATGTGGGATGAGGTGTTGCGTCGAGGAAGTCATTGGTATCATTGACTAGGCCAATTCCACCAGAAACACAGCAGTTCCACCAAGCTATATATCCCGCAGCTCGGGACAACTTGAATGAATGACGGATTTTGGTGGGGTTCGATGAGGATGAAACAGTGTTTCATATGTATGATGATGCTCTTAAGTTCCTCCAAAGGGATTACTTGAGTAGACAAGGGGTTGGTACCAGTACCACAGGCGTTAGGCCATCAAAAAAGATCGAGTTGAACATTGATTGAACACAGAACAGGATAATTGCAAAGCTCTTTTGAATTTTCGGTGCAGTTTTCAGTGATCCGGAGTCCCAAAGGTGATCAATTGATTTCCGCCTTACGTCAGCATTTGTGATTGATCGGATGAGAGAGCAGTAGAAAGTTCAAAGAATATACATTTTCTAAGCGACGTCCATGGGCGATAAATGATGGTAAAAAGGAAAGAAGAACAGGTGCAGCAGATGTAGACTGGATGGTGGTGGCCAACCATCAACCACAGTCTTGCGGAGAGCTTCTCTTTCGGAAGAAGACTCAGATGCGGAACAATCCAGTTACCTGATGATGATCCTTCTCCTTCCCCGACCGAGACAAGCCATCAAAGAATAGGGCGTCGTCTTTCGGAAGCTCAAGCCCATTCCTGATATGATATATCATTGTCGTTTGGAACAAGCCTTTGATGAAGATTACATGTAACAGCTGACAGGACGCCTCATTGGTGTTACAAGTGTACCACCGGTGACCGGTGACCGCATCCTCATTGTTATTTTTTGTTGTCCCTTTGCAATCATCATAATGCAATCTCTCGCACTTTCAAATGGATGCCGAGTCCTTCCACTGGTCCTCGACCACGGTAACCTGAATCCCTCCCCACACGGACAACTATATCCAGCCCGATGATGCCAAGGGTATGTAATCAATGTTTCAACTTTCGAAGCCCCAATTGCAATAAAGGATATAATTGTATGAGATACTACTTCCCAAAACAAGCCGACCGTCGCATATACATAGCCCACTGCGAGCTTTCGTCCGGAAGGGATTGCTTACATATATCCCATTGTCGAGAACGAAGACACTGCATGGCTTGCTTGCCTGACCGGCCAACCAGACCCTTCGATCCATATTGAAAGAAATGTGAATTCTGCAAACCTCTGACGTGTGTGCGTGAATGTTCTTGCACCTGCCGCGGAACAACAGCCAATGGCTTGAGGACAATCATTGAACCACCGTGATTGGAAATAGACGAGAAGACATACCTTCTTGTTCCGTACTGCAGCAACTTTGACAACACGAGGACCACGAGAGAATATGGATTGGCTTGGGCGTTGTTGCAGTTCGGTTACATCGGCATTGGATCCGAGTGATGGAAGAAGGACGAAAGGCGTTCGAGAAGGGCACGTAGATTCGAAGAAGAGGATGTGAAAGCGTAGAACGGGCGGTATGTGGGGGAACTAGGATGGGTAGCATGAGCCGTGGAGGACTGAGAATACAGATGTTAGAACAAGAGCTAGTCAAACATGAAGACGACTCACCTGGGGGCCATTTTGCATGCCATCGAAAAAGCCTGGCGAAATTCGACGGGCTTGAATAGGTGGACGTCGAGCAGCACCGCTCTAGATTGACAACCTTAAAATGGTTGAAAAGATAAAGAAACTTGACACGTACGTCCTTTAATGACTTTCGAGCTGGGACCTGATTATTAGTATGGTTTAGAGAGCATGGTACTAGACTCACATGAGGAATGGATAGTAGGTGTTCAAGGCTGGCATCCTTGAGGATAGCGTGAATGTCCCATACGTACACATTGTTACCCTTGACCAGCTCGGTTGAAAAGGCTGCGCATTCTACAATATCTTCGTGCTGGAGAGGTGGACCGACTTGGAGGTTGGTATCAAGACTCCATAGACACTCTGTTTTATCATCTGATGCACTTGCAATGAGGCGTTCATTCCGAGACGGTGTTGACAAAGTGTTGTGTGACCCTCAAGGATAGTGGCTGTGTCGAATATCCTAATCGGCCCATACCAATACAACGCGGAGGCAACTTGATCTGATGCCCAGGCCAAGCTCCAAACTGCCCAATCGTGTTTGAGTGTGGTAAGCAGCTCTCCCGTCTTGGCAGTCCCATCCATATCCTGCTGTCGCAATTTCTGTATTGTCGGGCGAATAGATCACAGCCAACACATGCTCGTGCCCAGTCTTGACTGTTTTGCTGGTCTTGACATTCCAGACTCTTGCCGTCCCGTCCTAGGATCCGCTCACATTTCCCGTCTTTTCCATTGTTATTTCCATTGACAACGTTACAAAGCTAGGGTGGAATTTTCAAGACCGTCGGACGTCGTTTGGCAGACTCCGTCCCATATATTTGCAGTCGCAACGCTGCAACTGCACGACTGAGATCAATATATGTGCGCATGTACATCGTGATAGGCGCCTTGCTGATACGGTGTCAGATGCACTTGATGTTCCGTTTCTCTTTCTCTACTGCCCACTCATCTCTATCAAGACTCTTTGTCATGCATATTCGTGATAGATGCTAAGTATCTGTCTGTGTAAAACCACCATGCTCGTTGTCATATTGTTGATTTGTGCTTGAACAGACGTCGATTAACGATATGGTCTCAGTAACTCCCACATCGAGAATTGACCTGTATATCTGATGACGTCCAATCGTAATTGTCCCTCCTTGCAGTCGCCCAATACACTTCGAAACGCCCAATAACCTCAATAAGTATCACGACGATATTATCGTTGAACAAATTTATCGCTCTGCAAATTCAGAGCAGCTGGCAAGCATTTTCCTTGTTACACAGTACAGCTATTTGATACACGCACGCGCTCCTGGAAGATAATCGAATTCATATCGGTTCCTGCGTCGGGTCGGCCACGAGCTTATTGTGGTATTCTTGACGAGATATCGATACTTTCAAAGTTTATGGGAAAGGGGTATGGGACGAAGGCGATTAGATTTATTGTAGTCTAGACCATGCGTCTAGAGCGCCGGGAGTTCCACGCGTTTTGTTGAATGTACTGGGGAAATGAAACCGCCATAGCAGTTGACAAGATTCAAGAAAATGTGGGGCAAACCATACAATGCTGCAGAATCAAATTAATAGCATGAGGCAGCGGATTCGAAGAAGAGGTTAGGAAGCGAAATTGAAATCAAATGTCACAATATTCAGAAGAGGGCATGATCCTTATCGACCATTCGCCACTTCCGACCAACGCCCTCCGTACATTGTACCGTTTCTCCTGCATTCGCAGACTTCTCAGGGAATCAAATTAGTCCGAGCTTCGTTGTCATGAGCCGGAAGAAATCGTCTGATGGGTCATGAAGGAATTTGATCCTTCATCTCAAGTAAAATAATGCACCATCTTCATAAGTGAGTGTCAACGAACTCGATGCAGGAAGACAAGCGATGGCAAAGTGTACATTGTGCATGCAAGTGCACGACGCGAGGCAGTCACGCTAGAAGCCGGGATAAAGCCTTTGAGCTCACCGGGGATTTGAGACCGGAGAGTTATAATAGTCGCGCGTTGGAAGCTGCCGATCAAGACCGACCCGCAGTCATGTTCACAACAGAGCGCCTAGTCCTACGTGGATTTGAAGACAACGACCTAGATGATCTTCTCGCGCTCCGTAACGATGCTCGTGTTATGCGAGGGGTAACTGCCGAACCTATCGCTCCGCGACCAACGAAATACAAAGAGTCCCTCAAAACCCTCGCAGAAAACTCGACCATATGGTTTACCATCGTCCATAGGGAAACGGGGCAATTCATGGGACAATGCAGCATCAAAGTGGCAGAGCCTGTGAAGAACCGGGATGGATTGTTCGGGATATCGATGCTTCCAAAATTTTGGGGAAAGGGCTATGGCACGGAGGCGACGAGGTTTACTGTAGACCAGGCGTTTAGAGCGCTGGGAGTTCAACGCGTCTCGTTGAGTGTATTGGAGGGAAATGAAGCCGCCATTGCAGTATATAAGAAAATGTGGGGCAATTCATGCAATGCTGCAGGATAAGAACTAACGACCTGAGGTAGCGGATTCAAGGAAGAGGGTAGGAAGTGACGAGCAAACTGGATCGATGGACATTGAGAAGACAGTTTGAGCATGGGTGTTTTGGACGAAGAATGGTCTGAGATGTATTGGAAGAATTGAATCAACGACTCCCGTCAAACTAATACCACACGATCCAGACCCGGGCCCCTGCCATGAAAAGTCGCTGACAGTAGATCAATTCTTTCTACGTAGGACATCTCGAATGTCCTAATAGATATAATTCTAAGCTGGTAGTGATGTTTTCAACCTACAAATCCTGATATAGTGGACTAGATCCCTCTCGTTCCGCCGCTGTGTATCATTTGATAAGAGCTTGCAATATTGATGTCCTATGACTCCTATCTCGCGAGAAGACGGATAGACAATACCACATGCATGCTCATCCATCACACAGATAAGAAAGAATTCATCTCCGTTGTCACCGCCATCGGCGGCCGCTGTGGCTGAAGCTGTGTCATCAAGTCTTCAATGACACAGAACTAGCACCGACCTTGACAGATCGAGAAGGATGCACAGCTTCATCGTCAGGATGTTTAAACACGTCCTTCCGAGATGTCTGGAGTTCCTCGTCGTCCAACGCCCTAACGTGCAGCTCTGGGTGGTATCCTCCATGGCGATTGTGAAATGGGTGAGACTTTTTAGTGTCTGTGTTAACCTGCGTGTAGTATCGTGCATTCAAGAGTGCAATGAACGAGTTGACATATACTTGAAATAGGACCGCTGGTCAGCACAATTCTAGGAAACAGCTTTGACCATACATTTAGCCAATAGAAATTCAATAGCAACGAAGATAAAGTTGGTCGGCATGACTGCGCACTGTAGACTCTCAGAGAAGAGATGGACAATACAATCTTTGGAAGCTTACTGTAATTATAGCTGCCATTGAACACATGCTGCATGAAATATGAGTCAAGATATGGGATGGTCTGGTAGGAAGCATACCTCGTCAGACAGCCGGTATTAATGATGTATGCCATGAGCTTCGTTATCAAGGAATCGGTGCTACGTATTTCGTGTTAGTAGTATCTCAGAGCCAAGTAATAAATGGACCGCGCCTTACCTTGAGAATCCAGTACGGGAGGTAGCCAGGAGGTAGCATAGTGATGATGCGATAATGAAATCGGCAAAAGTTATCGACCCCAAAGTCAAGAATGTCGTCCACTCCATTTTAACCAAATCCGAGAACATGCGGCACTGATATCTATCCGCTATCAACACTTCGTGGAGCTATAGAGTACAAGATTCACTCACAAGGCCCAAATAAGGGCTTACATTGGGTTAAAATGATGAGCCAACAATAAGAGGATCGTTTAAAGAATTACCGATGGCAACACCTGAAGAGATCTTAAAGATCGAACAAAGAACATTTCCAGCTAACAGACTTACCTGAGTTTGATATTATGATTATGCCCTAACAACGTATCAACAGAATGAAATGCTGTAGAACTCATATCAATCATAAACCTACTACTGTGAAAGGGAGAATTCTTGATCGGCCTTTGTTGACTGGGTACATTGCATCAGTCGTAGAAATTCATCGACAAAGAAACACAGACCTATCCATACGCGATAAAGATACAGGCTATGGTGTGGTAGTGTATTATTTAGATGTCGCACATCACATTCTGCAAATCAAACATACAAATGTACCCCTTGAATGATTAAAATCTGTAGAGCACGTGACTGAGGTACATCACAGAGCTCAGAAATACAACTCACCTCTAGTAGTATCTGAAGCTGCATAAACTCATCAATATCATAGTAAGGGCTGCACGGAAGACAAAAGCAAGAACTCACCTTGAAACTCCATACAACATCCATGAGCGCACCGATGTTTGCATAGTTGATCACTAGATAATAATAGACACAGTGAACAATGAAGACCAGGTGCAGAGCATCGAGTATCCTAAGATTTCAGAGAACTCCATAATCTGGACGCGCTTGATAATAGCAACTCAAAGAAATGCCTACCAGAGACAGATGACCTGACATGGTGTTAATAACGGGACTACCAGAAGGTTGTATAAACGTACAGCCAACTTATAGAATGTTGTCCCCGTATCCCTATGCGTCTGAAAGTAGACGAAAGCTTGAACGCTGCTTAGACCAAAGAGACTGTTCCGCAAAATAAGTCAGGACGACGAGAAACGTACAGCTTTGACTGCATAACGAGCAAATCATTTACGAACACTGCTGCAATGGTAACCCCAATAAAAAGCGCCCCGAATGTCTTCCCGATGTGAAGTTGTGAGATGAGGTCCTGCGTTGAGGAAGACATTGTTAACTGTAATCTCTATACCCCACAAGGCGTTTAAGTATTAATTGGCCAGCACATTGCAGTGCGGGAGGGTGGACCTGTCACATAATTGAAGCACAGCTCGCAGTGGAGATATAAGGGCATCGCCGTAGTAATGGCTGGGGCGCCACGATGCGGCCATCATGGTATGACCCCGAGACTAGTACTGTAACTGGAATTATTATTAGTACTTAGGCGCCACCCAGACATCAATCAAACCAACCTACAACTGTCCTCTGACCCATTCTAAAATTACGGCCATCAGCAGGCTTCGCGGTCGCGCGCTTGGTCCATACTAACGCATCTCTTTGCTCGTCCAGAGTACCTCCCCCTCCTTACAACAAGACACTCTGACCCATTTGATGGCCACGAACAGGCTTCGCATTTTTACGGAAACCGAGTGATAACAGGGTGCTATAAACCCACTGGAGAGTTATACTAGTCGCGCGTTTGAAGGTGGCGGTGAAGACCGGCCCATAGTCATGTTCGTAACAGAATGCTTAGTCTTACGTGGATTTGAAGACAACGACCTACCTAGATGATCTTTGAGTCTCCGAGAACAATTTCCATAGAAGTTGATATGTCAACTGAGAGCTCATTTTACTCGGGACCTTGTGTCACGTGTGTAGTAAGGAATGCCAAGAGTCAACGTTTCGAAATTTCAACATCCGCGTGGCGTGTTGCTCAATATTGATATCAGTGATAGTGGAGTTGCTGATTGAAGAAATGCGATGTTCACAGCCGCAAGCCAGTAGGCCTCAGCTTGCAAAGGCTGATAATCGACCCCGCTACCACATTTACCTTAAATGACTTACATATGTGGTTCTAAGCTTGTAGTGACATATTTAACTTACAGATACTGATGTTTTGTACAATGGACTCAGATTAGGTTTCTCATTCCCTGCAACTGTGTTTGATAGGAGCTCCAGGCACCTATGACTCATATCCCGTGACAATACTACATGCATGCTCATCCATCACACAGACGAGAAAGAATTCATTTCCGTTGTCACCACAATCGGCCCCTGTGGCTGAAGCGTGTCATCAAGTCCTCAATGACACAAGAACTAACACCGACCTTGACAGATCGAGAAGGATGCGCAGCTTCATCGTCGGGATGTTTAAACACGTCCTTCCGGGATGTCTGGGGTTCCCCATCTTCCGATGCCCTAACGTGCAGCCCCGGGCGGTAGATCCCGTGGCGGTTGTGGAATGCATAGGGATTGTTAGTGTCTGTATTGACCTGTCCATAGTATCGTGCATTCAGGAGTGCGAGGAACGAGTTGACATATACTTGAAATAGGACTGCTGGTCAGCACAATTCTAGGAAAAGACTTTAGCCATACATTTTGCCAATAAAAATTCAATAGCGAGGAAGATGAAGTTGGTCGGCATGACTGCGCACTGTAGATCCTCAGAGAAGAGATGGATAATACAATCTCTGGAAGCTTACTGTAATCATAGCCGTCATCGAACATATGCTATATGAAATATGAGCCAAGATATGGGATGGTCTGGAAGAAGGAATACCTCGTCAGACAGCCGGTATTAATGATGTAAACCATGAGCTTTGTTATCAAGGAATCGGTGCTGTGTATTTCGCGTGAGTAGTATCTCAGAGCTAGGTAACGAATGGACCGCTCTTTACCTAGAGAATCCAGTACGCGAGATAGCCAGGAGGTAGCATAGTGATGATGCGACAACGAAATCGGCAAAAGTTATCGTGCCCAGAGTCAAGAATGTTGACCACTCGATTTTAACCAAATCGGAAAATACATGACACTGATATCTAATCACTATCAGCACTTCGTGTAGCTAGAGAGTACACAGGTTTCACTCACAAGGCCCAAATAAGGGCTTACATTGGGTTAAAATGATGAGCCAATAACAAGAGCATCGTTCAAACAATTACCGATGGCAACACCTGAAGGGATTCGAGTCTTCAGGATCGAGCAAAGAGCATTTCCGGCTAACAGACTTACCTGAGTTTAAGATTGTGACTATCCCCTAACAACGAATCAACAGAATAAAATGCTGTAGAACCCATATCAGTTGTAAACCTACCACCGTGATAGGGAGGGTTCTTGATCGACCCTTGCTCACTAGATATATTACATCAGTCGTAGAAATCAATCAATAGGGAGACACATACTTATCCATATGCGATAAAGATACAGACTATAGTGCAAAAATGTATTGAGCATGGTCGCACATCACATTCTGTACATCAAACTTACAGATGTACCCCAAAGATTATGAAAACCTGTAGAGTGCGTGATTGAGGTCCACCACAGTGCTCAGCAAATATAACTCACCTCGACAACTATCTGAAGCTGTATATGCCCGTCAATATCACAGTGCTACGGGGCTGCACGGAGGACCAAAGTAAGAACTCACCTTAAAACTCCATACAATTTCCGTGAGCGCACCGACGTTTGTATAGTTGATCACTAGATAATAATAGACGCAGTGGACGATTAAGGCTAGGTGCAGAGCATCGAGTATCCTAAGATTTCAGGGAACTCCGTAATCTGGACGGGCTCGATAATAGCAACTTGAAGGAATGCCTACCAGAGACAGATGATCTGACATGGCGTTAAGAACAGGAATAACAGAAGGTGGTATAAACGTACAGCCAGCTTGTAGAATATAGTCCCTGTACCTCTATGCGTCTGGAAGTAGACAAAAGCTTGAACATTACTTAAACCAAAGAGACTGTTCCGCAAAATAAGTCAGGACGACGACAAACGCACAGATTTGACTGCATAACGGGCAAATCGCTTACGAACACTGCTGCAATGGTAACCCCAATAAAAAGCGCCCCGAACGTCTTCCCGATGCTGAGTTTTGGGATGAGGTCTTGCCCCGAGGAAGACATGTTGGTTGTAATCTGCAAGGCGTCTAGGTACTAAGTACAATGGGGCTACGGCGCATTACCACCTGGAGTCTCACGGATGTGGCGAATCCTGCGAGATGTTTACAACATGGATTTATGTAAAGAAACCTGTGATGCCCGGGCCGCTGACAGTGTACTTGGCAATGTTGGCATGGTTCCTTTTAGTGCTGATAACGGGGGCGCACCTTTCACATATTTGGTTGCCGTATCGGCCATCGGGCTAGGGTGACTAGTACTGAAAGATTAGGTCACTTAATATTGCACATGAGGCCTGAGGTCAAGATGGGCAACGAACATCGGAGCAGTCAGCATCACAGTACTTACTATCATTTTGCGCCGCACCACTAGTACTCTGTCAGGCTCCAGCCAGGTTGCAACAGCCACAAGATGTAGCGTAGTCACTGCCAGCTAATTAAAGGTGTTTATCCATCGTTTCATGGTAGCTGACGCAGGTCACTTTGAGAAATATATATAAGTACCACCCGGCACAAACACGGCACGTCCAACTACGCCCTGTTTGACGGAGAGTGAAGGCCCAGTGACTGATTCGATCATTTTCGCGCTCGAGGAGCCCTGCTTGGCTGTGTGATGGCCTGATCGTCATGTTAATACTTGCGGTTGCCTCATGTACGCGTAACACCGGGATGAGTCGGGGTATCTGACGTTACCAGGTACCAAGATAGGGTTAGATTTTCTCGAAAGATAAACCGGGTACTACACCGGCCAAGTTGTCCCGGGGTTGGGTGATCGCAGACTTGGTGATATGCATCGAGAAGACAGAAGAAAAGCTTGAAACATGAAATGAATGAAAGGGCACCGCTGCGGCATGCGCATGGTGATCATATCACACAGTATTTAAAGCTGAATGTTGCCAGTTGACACCGAATAACACCTGACGTCGAGTCAGTGGTCAAAAATTACGAGACGTGGGCTGGCCTCACCTGGAATGGCAAGGTCACTAGAAATGACTTTGGTTCCATATAGTTCTAGTAGGTACTACTTATCATATGAATGAAACCCACCTCACGAGGAACCAGACGGACGATAACTCGTGCATCTCACCGATGGCAACACCTGAAGAAAGAGTGCACTGATGTTCGCGAGGTTGATCACCAAATGATAATACACATAATGGACAGGTGCAGAAGTTCAGGGGACAATGACACAATCTCTACATGTTCGACAATGGCAACTGAAAGGGGTATATGTCAAGGTCAGATAAACTAGTTTAACATCAGCTGCTGAGCTGACAGAAGGAAGCATGGACGTATGACCAATTTATAGAGTGGTATACCCGTGTCCTTGTGCGTCCGAAAGTGCAAGAAAGCTTGGATACTGCTTAGACCAAAAGGCTGTTCCGTAAAATATGTTGGAATCAGGACGATAGGACTCGGTAAAGCACTAAGTTTTGTGGGCAGATGAGATCAAAAATGGCGACCCCAACAAAGAGCGCTTCAAACATTACTTCGAATTGAAGTTCCGGAATAAAGTCTTGCGTTGAGGAAGACATTGATGTTGACCGAGACTTGAGCCGATTTCACCAATAAAACAATGTTTGCGCCGTACTAATATCCCGCAGCCACATAAGGACGCCAGCGAATGGCCCCAATCTAGATCTGTTATGTGGCAGGTTATATGGCTTCTGTGCTGATATATAAGTGGGAGGACATAGCTCTCGAATGTGATGAGAATCATGAGACCCACATAGTGCCGGACTCAAGGAGGCTTCGTATCGGAATACCGAACGTACCACCATGATTCTCCCATCATTAATAGTCAGTCGAGATCGCTTGTATCATACACGTGGTTTCCACTTTTCCAGGTCTATCAAAAGGGTTAGATATAAGTGGATTACCACAGTGAGACCAATGGAAAATTGGGCAACCCACAAAGAGAGCATGAGCTGTATTTTGTGCCGTACACCCATACTTACACACATATTAATGGCCTCCAACATTCATTCATTCAAGGAGGCAATGATGTAATTTGAGGGGGACTGTTGAGTGTGAAAAACAAAATGCACAACTGAATGCAACATCAAATTGAGATTACGCAAACAGGTCAACCACGATGCATTTGATGATGTAGCAATCTAATCACAGCTTCGATCTCAGGCGTACCATGTCACGCGCCCGATCGCGCAGGACACGGCGCAGCAGCTTCCCACTCGGGTTTTTCGGAATTACGTCCACAAACTCCACCCCGCCAGCAAGATGTTTATATGCGACCTTGTTGTCTGCCACATGCTTTAAAAGGGCAACAGTCAGGTCTGGTTCAAGCGACAATAAAGTACGAGTTAACCTTTGTGATGGATGCTTTAACCCTCTCGACTTCAGCAGGATCCAAGGCGATCCTCTTGACTGCGTTAGGATGAAGTACCACAAACGCCATCGGAAGCTCCCCGCTGTAGCTATCAGAAATTGGCACTACACATGTGTCTGAAACATCAGGATGATCGAGAACACAGCCCTCCAGCCCTGCAGGAGCGACCTGGAATCCTTTGACTTTCATGATTTCCTGCCGAAAAAGTTGAATCTTTCGAGGTCGATACAGAACAGGAGGATGATAGCGTACCTTCAGGCGATCAACGATGAACACTTCATGGTCCTCGCGTATAATAACTTCGTCACCAGTACGCAACCAACCATTAACAAAGGTCTCCTTCGTGCTATTGAGCAGCAGCTAAGCTCAAGCCAGCATATGACATATGTAATTACTTACGCTTCTTCATTGTTCAGATATCCTAGCGCTACAGATGGCATTTTCACCTGAAGCTCTCCAGGTTCGTTGAATCCCGCTAGGGTCCCATCGTCTTTGACAACCTTGGCAACGACACCAGGCACGAGGCGCCCAGCACTACCAGGAACACCGAGTTTTTCGTCCACGGAAAACATTGAGATAGTAGCGCCGGACTCGGTCATGCCTTCATAATGATGAAAAACATGCGACAAGATAATCAGAAAACTGCCCCACCATAACCTTGACCTATCTGCGCGTTCGGCAGAATCTTCACTAGCTGATCAACAAGAGAGGCGGAGAGGGGGGCAGCTCCACATATCAGGAACCTGATACCATCTAAATTGTAATTTTTCGCAGCAGGGTGCTGCCAGGAGTATCAGGCCGAGTGATCAGTTACCAGAAGTGTCGGCACTGACCTTGCAAAACAACACGATCTGAGGTGGTACAAGGCTGTGTGCAGATCAGGATTCCCATGATAAGTCATGGTAATGGTGGCAACTCACTGAAGATGATTTATACTATGTCTCACAATACTCTCCAGGAACTCCGTGAAGTTGAACTTGGGTATTACCACAACTGAGATCTGCACGGAGTTGAGAAAGAGACATGGCAAGGAATCAATGGAAGCTCACGCCACAAAATGCCATAAGGTGAATCTAAGGTAACTGTGTTTAAGCAATATGATCGAGTATTGGAGATCCAACTTACCCCTAGCACCAGGCCATAAATATCTAGAAACGTTGCATACTTCAGTTTGTTAGACAATGTGCAATGGAAAGAGATTACATACGGAAGAAAGGTAGAACTTTACAAGAGATGGTTAGCGACGTCACATTATACCTATAAAAGCGCACCTCCTGCGACTACATCCCCTGGCCGAAACCTCTGCTTCTCCCAAGGGGCATAGTTCTTGTTAACCTTCTGCTGCTCAGCCATCTGAATCACGTTCACGATAGGAGCAAAGTGTGATATTGCAACAGCCTATCACGACCACAGGTATGAGGCCCCATTCATCAGTCCAAAGCTTGACACACCTTCGGTTTTCCCGTTGTGCCACTTGAAAAACTGAGGAATGCAACTTTCGTTTTTGCCTCTCCTTTCCGCAGCCTTCGCTCAACGAAATTTGGCTCACTCTGTAATCCTTGCTGAATCAGGGTGCCTACCGTTATCTGATTTGATTCATCAAAGGTGATAACGCGCTCGGATGGCAACCCGGCAGCCTGAGCAGCGCCCAATGCAGTGTGCAAAGAAGAGGAGTGCGTAATAATTAAAGATGCGTGGACCGCATTGAGCTGATACAGCAATTCGTTGATATTATTAGCTGGATTTGCGCATCTATGATAGAAGCCCGGTAATGATCAGACGGGTTCGAAAATATCAGAGGGCGCACAACATACGATACGACACCACCTAGACGATGCGTTGCCCATATGGCCGGCGGATAGTCTACGATAAGCAGTAAGTATATGGCCAGAAGCAATCAGCACTTAAAATACCAATGTGGTTTGGGCTGAAAATGACCACTGAAGCAAAGACAATGAATCTCGATGTTCTATGATATGGGCGCCTACACGCCGAAAGTACACACCTATATCATTCTCCTCTAAAATGGGATTGTCAAAAGGAGCGCTTACGCATCATAGCACTTTAACAGGACTCACTGACACAAAACCGCAGACTCAGGCCGTTTGCAAGTCCATAAGTCCTTGCACGGATCTTGGGCGCACCGTAAGTAAATACTATTGCTGACGTCATCACTGCGCTCAACCCACCTCTTCATGTCCAACCCCTCTTCCACTGGCATCCTCGATGAACCATGGCACATGACTTGGTCGGATGGGTCTCAATGAATGGGACGAGTCGAGGATAAACTGAGGTAAAGTAAGATCGTCTGGAACAAACGCCTCGAGACTCGGACCACAAATTTCAGACATGGAGGGCTTGCGGAATAATGGGTATGCAGAGAGCAGGAAGCAAGGCGGGTGCTGGAGTGCTGACGGTTGATGGCTTACGGGATGCCAAGTTCCTTGTGTGTGACTTGTCCGGAAGGATCTCGGTTTCTCCAGTGGTTGGGTTAGGAACGGTGTCACCAGTTCGGTTCGAGACACACCAGCCAGCTGGCCAGGGATGACTGGTTTGCAATGTATTCAAATCTACGTACATTTGACTCACAATTGTACTATTTTATACCTGTCTCATGAAAAAACAAACAAAGGGAGTACCACCTATTTATGGATAGGCAAAAGTTTTATGCGAGCGAGAAACGAACGTCAGGCGAGCAAGTACAACCGAGGGTAACAGCTATATATACTCTCCCGGAGCTCGTATATTGAGGGTTAGGCTGTCATTACAAAAAACATATCATAGCTTAGCCTTGAACTCTCCTGCTCTCAATTGCCGAGCTCGGTCACGAAGCACCCGCCGTAGTAGCTTTCCACTTGGATTCTTTGGTATGACATCTATGAATTCCACGCCTCCCGCTATGTGCTTATACGCGACCTTGTTGTCTGCGACGTGCTGAATAATGACGTCAGCCTGACTGCCACCGTTTTGGCATGGAATGGCCAGACCTTCATTATAGACGCCTTTACTTTATCTGCTTCGCGGGAGTCTTTTCCCACACGATTCGCAGTCAATGCACGAAGCACGACAAACGCCAACGGAACTTCTCCGCTGTAGTCGTCAGGTATGGGCACGACACACGTGTCTGCGACATCGCGGTGATCTAGAATACAACCTTCTAGTTCGGCAGGAGCTACTTGGAATCCTCTGACTTTCATAATTTCCTGATAGACGGATCAGCCACTGCAACAGGGATCCGGAGCAGTATACCTTCAATCGATCGACGATGAAAACTTCTTTGTCTTCACGTATAATAACTTCGTCTCCGGTGCAAAGCCATCCTTTAACAAATGTGTCTTTTGTTGCTTGTTCATCATTCCAGTATCCTAATGCCAAGGAAGGCGTCTTCACTCTCAATTCGCCTGGCTCATTGAAGCCAGCCAGGGAACCATCAGGCTTGACTACTCGGGCAACCACACCTGGTAGTAACTGTCCAGCGCTACCTGGGATACCTATTTTCTGATCAACCGAGTACATTGTGAGTGATGTAGAGGATTCGGTAAGCCCTGGATTCCAGGTGCGACGAATGTCAGCGTCGAGGGAACAAGAAGTAGCAGGCCTACCATAACCTTGGCCGATTTGGGCGTTGGGGATTACTTTCATGAGCTGGTTTACCAACTCAGCTGAAAGAGGTGCAGCTCCGGAGATCAAGAATCGAATGTCACTCAGGTCAAAGTCATTGACTGCTGGATGCTGAGTTCACGTTTCTCAGCATACGCGAATCAATCAACCATCAAATTTACGATTACTAACCTTGCAAAGCAGTACAATTTGAGGCGGAACGAGTCTGGGTAGCCAATACGTCAATCACCAACGCGTTCCGACGACGGGAAGACCGATTCTCACGTCAGGTGAGTGATACGGTGCTTCTCTATGCTCCTCAAGAAATCTGTGAATCCGAATTTTGGAATGACTACCAGCGACATCTAGTGAATAGCCCTAGTATTAACTCTGGAAATCGCACGACGTGATGGACTTACTCCAAAAAACGGGACCGCGTAAATCTATTTCAGATCTCAACGTCTGATTCTAAGAACGTTGTAGGAAGCTTGCGCTCACAGAGAATACAAGGCCATAGATATCTGCACAAGGTATGTGTTTGACATTATACAATATATGCAATGAACAGACGTACGGAAGAAGGGAAGCACTAAGTAATAGTGAATCAGATGTAACCCCCCAAAAAACTGGATGAGTCCATACCTCCAGCGACTATATCACTTGGTCTGAACCGCTGCTCCTCCCAAGGAGCATAGTTCTCGTTGACCTTTGTGTACTGCGCTATCTGAATGACGTTGACAATGGGTGCATAATGTGCAATGGATACTGCCTATTTATTGTTTCATGCATCTACTCGGTATCGGTGCTCTCAGACAACAACGCACCTTAGGTTTACCTGTTGTACCACTGGAAAAATTTAAGAAAGCGACCTTGGTCTTGCCCTCGCCCTTCTTCAATTTCCGCTCGACAAAGGCGGGTTCGCTCCTGAGTCCAAGCTGAATGATACTCTCTACAGTAGGCTGAGTTGATTCGCCAAAAGTAATAACTCGATCAGAAGGTATCCCGGCCGCGCATGTAGCACTGAGAGCTGTATGGAGGGAGGACGGATGTGCAATTACCAGGGTTGGCTTCACAACCTGGATCTGGTGTAAGAGTTCCTCCGCTGTATACGTTGGATTCGCGCCGCTTTAACGCATTTAGTCGGATCAGAAGGCAAGAATGTCATCATTTGCTGAGCTCACGAAACAATTCCACCCAGTCGGTGCGTAGCCCATATTGCAGGTGGATAATCTACGGAAAACGGTGAACTGACGCTGATGGTAGAGTGGAGATAAAACCTCACCAACATGATTAGGACTAAAAATAAGGACTGTAAACCAATCAGAAAAAAGGATGTATGACCGAGTGTGGATAACACTTACCGACTTCTTCTTCTTCTGCACGTATGCTGTCAGGACACACAGTCACTGCTGAGGATGGTCAAACAGCACGTACTGATACCGTAGCGCAACATAAGTCCATTTGCAAATCCAAAGGTTCGTGCACGGATCTTCAAGTTGCCAGACGGGTAGGCACCTAGTGAGGATCGCTACTTCATCATAACTGACAGTTTTCACGCACCTCCTCAAATCCGATACGCCTCCCGGTCTCGTCCTCAATCAACCATGGTGCATCTGTTCGGATCGGCCTACGTGGATGGTAGGAGTCGAGGAAGAACTGGGAGAGCGTCAAATCGTCGGGGATCGCTGAGTCGAGTGGTTCACCAAATATTTCAGGCATTTTCTGCAGGAGGGCGGAATCTGAAATGTGGGGTATGAGTGGATAAGAGGACTCGAGAGGAAAGTCATCGGTGAACAGCAGACTATTATAATTGCAACAAGTACTGATAGATACCGGTCAACGGACTTCAATGTGGTCACACGGTCTGGAGGGGTCAGGTGAAAGCCGCGTCTCCCGCGGCTGTAACTCGGACAGCATGCTGATGTGGCCACACGTGTATGTTCATACTGGTATCGTGCAATTACAAGGCACCTTAAGTGGAAGGTCCCCGTTATTTCTCGACATACTGAAATTTGAAATTTGAATGGATACAACTTGAACGAGGGACAGATATCGCTCAGTCTCCGTTGGTTCTAATCATTGATGATTGGTTTCCTTCACTACTAGATGCTGTGACACCAATTGACAGTTATTCGTGCATCATGCCTCATCCCTGGCAGTGAGCCCCGTCTAGCCCCATGTCAAACTCCATCAATGCCGCGTCACGACTGCGTCAATGTTTTCAGCATCTTAGTCATATCGCATGACCTTGAACTCGGAGACTCATTCAAGTTGCACTCAAACCCCCCTGTCCATTTCCCTCGGATAACCTTCCCCATCTCGAAGTCCGGGACATGTTGCTGTTTGGAGGCAATGTCATGAGTTTCGCTCCTGCCCCGTCGATGCATCCCCTTCCCCTCATCCAGCCAATCTGCACGCAGCTCTCCAGGTCCCATAGTCGGTGAGTCGTTATCCGAGCATGTGAGGATGGGTCGTCCACCAGGAAGGTGGACAACCTCTCGTACCCGGCTGGTGTGGCCTTGATCGGTGACCGCCAGCGTCTTTGTATTTTTTTGTGTCTCAGCAATGGGGGAAGACTGGTCGACACTCGGGGCCTCAACCATGGCAGATGATGGCTAACATATGTGAGTGCAGCTTGCCAGGATATTTGTATTAAAATAGGTTGTCCGGCAACGACAAAGACTGCTGGTGAGTCAATGGACCTCTCTTATTTTGTTAATACAGGTGCACGACCTATCGAGGTCTGTAAAACAACCCGCTTACTAGAATGAATCCAGTCCCGACACACAAGACGGCTTCTGTGTGCAGACGTTATTGTAGTGTGGTGCGAGAGTGTGCAATAGAACTTTTGAGGACTTAGAAGTTGCTGGTAATCGAACAATTAGCTTTGTCATATAGAAGAGGGTCACTCACGAAAAGCACCGTTCAGATCAACTCAGTGCTCAAATCATCAGCGAGAGGCACGGGTGCCGGGCTCCAAGCTGAGTCAGTGGACGTTTGGATCAAGCAAGTTAGGAACCTGTCCGTTTAAGCTTTGTTTTGTAGCGTCGTACGCGTCCCATGTGTTGTCCTCGTGTTCGCTGTAAGGTTAACTGTTCTCAGGTCTAGCTCACGCCAATTTTGCACTCTACATCTCCAGGCACCCCCACACACCTACCTCTTGTCACCCGTAGGCAGATCCTAATAGACCCATATGTTGAAAACCAATTTGTATTCGTCTAGAAGGCTTGGCACGGACAGTGCACCTACATGAAGTTGAAGGGGGAGCCAGACCTAGAACGGAAAAATGGCGACGTGTTCTGTGGCGATGGAGTAGGGTACCCCTCCACTGTCCAGCGGAGGTATTTGCCACCATAATTAATATTACAAGAGAACCTGAAAGTTCGAAAGCTCTGTAACATTGACATAGCTTAGTCGGTAGGGGTAGAGCCTTCGGGCGTTGTCGCAAGTAACGTTCATCATCAGGTTGAGGCCACGCCAGCTTTGGTTCTACCAGAAATAGGCTGCCGCACCAATTCAGCGACACATCCGAGTCATTACTATTCGCGGCGTTTACGAAGCCCGTGACGACTGCTGATCAATGATCCCGCTTGACCTCCGAGTCTCACGTCAGCCAAAGGACGTGGACATCAGGAGATATCACGGACGCTGGCTTGGGTTGATAGTACAAGATGGAGGATCCATCTGATTGTCGTTTGCTGCTTGCTAACATTGGATGAGTATCGAGTACGGACATACATAGCCTACGAAATCAGTTTGGCAGGACCAGAAGGCCCGGAGATAGCCACTTTTTTCTTTTTCTTTTTTGACCCAAGTTGTGAGCGACATACATGTAACATGATAAAGGACTGACCAAGGTACTAGGCTAAGTATGACCACTGCCTGCTAACTACATCACAATAACGTTCAGATTTCAGACGATCAATACGATGGTACTTCTCGACTTGATGTTGCCAATCGTCTGGGACGATCATATCATGCTCCCCTAGCCCCTCTAGCACCGGTAGGTCGTCAGGCTCGTGATAATAAAGCTCCTCCAACGGACCAGCGAGCGAAAGTCGTTCTAGAACAACGCGCCGCACGATGTATCTTGAAATATCAAAAACGATCAGGGTCCGAAGTCCCGGGAGAGGGAAATCCGCCAGTCCGTGGGTCGTGGGGAGCAGTCCCATTGCAAACGCATCATTTGCGTAGATTGCCCTCGGTCCCAGTGTCAATACCTTGACACTGGTCATTTGTTTGTACAGGCGATGCAGGAGCTGAGGATCTGCACGATGTGCGAAATTGACGAGATGGAGTTCATCTAGCTCTAGAAGAGAGCTAGAAGGGGTTTTCTTGGTAAGCCTGATCAACTCTTGAAGGATACCTTCGAATTCGATCTCGATCAACATGAACTCGCAGGCAACGCCATCCAAGGTCAATATCCGGAGATTGGGCATATGAACATGGTGAAAAAAATCTGCAATCCAACAATCCATCTTCCTCGATTTCATAGCCAGGTAGTGCAAGCGGGGCAGCGCAATGGAAGACACGATGTCTGTCAAAAGCGGATCCATGTCCAATTCGAGTGCGAGGGTCTGCAGATTGACGAGTGCACCAAGGAGTTGCAACAAAGCTTTTGCTGTAGTGGCCGTATTTCTGTTACCGTCATCTGTGCAGTAGTGTATCTGCAAGTTGACAAGATGTGATGAGAACATGGAGGGTGACAGCCAGGACCAACTGGTGCCAAAAAGGATAAGATCATTGATGGGAGATGCTGAACCAGGAAAAATCGACGGTTCATGATGGTCGGGATCTACATTCAACTGGCTGTGTACGAGTTCAAGATGCAATTTTTCTAGCATATGGGCTAGATGAACGGAAGGGCGTGACATGAGTACGAGTGCTTGACGTATGTGGGTCTTTGAGGTCGTCCTCATCGTAAACTCGCGCCAACGGTGTACATGCACATATAACTCCAGGATGATCAAGACGAGGTAAGCGCCAGCCACACTTTCGTCGACCGGTGCGGGGAGATTAAGATTATGGTCATACGAAGGGGAGGCTCGCCTGGGGGCTCCGTTGAACGGGTTGTGGGGGTCGTTCCAAAGTAGGGTAATTTTAAGAGGATGTGTTCCGCTAAGTTGCAGGAAAGTGCGCACTAGTTCAAGAGATGCAACATCGCCGAAGGAAATTTGTAACACAGTCCACAGTGTTGGAGTCTGTGATATGAGACGACGCCAACGTTCGCATACACACATTGCTGCAATGAGTGCCGATGACGGAGGTCCATTGGATTCTTTTTCATCGCCCCAATAATGATAGTAATCTTGGTGCCAGTCGTCCCAATACCTGCCTTTCCGTACTTCATTTTGCATAGAATAATCATGGAAGGTGGCTTGGTCTTCTTCACAGACCGACTCGAAAATCATGCGGAGCGCGTCGTCCGGCAGCTGGTCGATATAGCAGTTATTCATCCCAATTGTTGACTTTTGAAAAAAAAACAAAAGGAAAATGAGGGTAGTAAATACTAGGAATAACGGATAACCTCTGGAGAGACATACTGCTCGACGTGGCCCTCAACCACCGCGGCCGCACCAACTTCGACTCGGAGTTAACGCGAGCCCTCGATTGTGAACTGCGTTCAGAGTACTCGGTTTTAACGAACAATTGTCAACTGTCGCTATCTACAGAGGGGTGCGCGTATTTAATACAGGGAAGGATTTGCCACTCAAACAGCTAAACTCGAACTTTGTCATTGTCATTGAACCATGATGCAAATCAGAAGCGCCCTCCTTCGGCGGAGTCCGGACCTGCTTCGCACCCGCAACTTCAAGGGCCTAATTAAGGATGGAGTCGGGATAGGTGAAAGTCTAGCTGATATGGGCTGCAGATCTGGGCCCTGGGGTGTTGATGCAGATGCTCTTCTTTAGATGTAAATGTAGATGAGTCTAAGTCCCACGCGAGCCGGTCCCGGCCAGCGGCACTGCTTCATATAAGACATGTTTCTTCTAGTACTACTAGTGGTACTATATCATGCCTGTTTTTCCAACACGATTGATGGTAGAATCCTGGCACGTCTCTCAATCTAGCGCGATGGATTAATCATTGGAATTTAGCACTATTCATCGACAGGGGTCATAAACAATGGTGTGTGCATATAGTGGACTCGCGAAGAGGACCACCTTGTTAAAGCTTCGCTTTGGGCTTCGTCCGCATTTCTCGAGCTTTGTCTCTTAGCACCCTCCTCAATAGTTTACCGCTCGGGTTCTTCGGAATAACATCAATAAACTCAACACCCCCAGCGAGCTTTTTATAGCCAACTTTATTATCAACAACGTGCTGTAAAGTTAGAATATGAGCACGACACGTGCCCTGAGGTTTTGAAGTGCCAACCTTCATAATCGACGCCTTGATCTCGTCCGCGGCTTCAGGGCTTTCTTCGACACGTTTGGCGGCTTCAGGGCGGAGAACGACGAACGCCAGTGGTAGTTCACCACTATATTCATCTTGTATTCCAACCACGCACGTATCAGTCACGTCGGAGTGGTCCAGAATACACCCTTCGAGCTCGGCAGGTGCGACCTGGAATCCACGAACCTTCAACATTTCCTGTAGGGTTGTTCAGTCAGGTGAGACCAAGGCCTAAGGCCAATCATCCAACCTTCAAACGGTCAAGGACTACTATTTCTCCCTGGCGGTTCATCTTCACCTCATCACCAGTACGAAGCCATCTGAAAGCAAAACCTCAGTCACCAGCCGATTGAACGCCTACCCGCTCACCCATTTACGAAAGTTTCCTTCGTTCTGAGCACATTTTGGTAAATATGAGAGTGATACAAGGAAGGTGATCTCATACGCTTCAAGGTTGTTTGCATAACCAAGCGCAACCGCCTGCGTCTTCACGACGAGCTCGCCAGGTTCGTCAAAGTCTGCAAGAGTACCATCCGGTTTCTCTACGCGGCCGATAATACCAGGAAGGAGTTGGCCAGCACCACCACTCAAGTCACATCCCTTATCTAGCGCCCAAGTGCTTATAACAGTGCACGATTCGGTAAGCCCTGTGGCCGCTGGGATGAAACCTGGACACGCATTCTCCAGAGATGAACTTACCGTAGCTCTGCCCTAGGTCAGCGTTTGGGAATATCTGAACGAGCTGCTCCATCACCTCACGAGACAGGGGCGCAGCACCCGAGGTGACGTATCGGACATGACTAAAATCGTAACTCTTGACGGCTGGATGCTAAGTGGCAAACGCAGATAGGTGAGAGACCCGGTCATTCCGGAATCACGACTCCCTGACCTTGCACAATAGAACAATGTGTGGAGGGACCAACCTACAGTCTTGTTCGGGTGAGGTCAAATAAAACCGGAGGAGGTCGACGTACATAAGATGAGTAATACGGTGCCCAATTATGTTTTTCAAGAACTCTAGAAAGTTGTATTTCGCTGTTAAAACAACCGTCATCTGGATGCAGTTCAGTCAGCGTGCAACTGCAGATTAGGGATGTGTCGACGCACTCCGCAGAAAAAGGCATAATGGGTCTACAAGATATTCAGCAATGAAATAACTAAAGCCATAGGAACTCGTACATTGAAGACCAGTCCATAAATATCTGGAAATGATCGGTTTCGCAACATAACGGCATCGAAAGAGTGGCAATGGCTCACGATATAAGGGAAGCACTGCACAGTCAATCAAACTGAGCCCTTCGAATAAATAGCAATGCACGCACCAGCACAACATACGTCACCAGGCTTAAATCTTTGTCCGGCATAATCTTCACCGACTTTATGGTGCGTAGCAAGCTGAATGACATTTGCAATCGGCGCGTAGTGGGGTATTGCAACAGCCTGATATATACCATGTGCAAGTTACATCTACACGCATGTCCTTGCGAAACATGCGCTCACCTTCGGGCGACCAGTCGTCCCGCTTGAAAAATTCAGAAAGGCCACCTTAGTTTTCCCTTCACCAGGAGCAAGTTTCCGTTCTGTGAAGTTCGGAACGCTCGCAAGACCTTGCGAAACCAAAACTTGCACAGTCACCCTCTGCCTGGTATCAGCACCCTCGACGTCAAAAAGAATGATGCGATCCGCGGATACACCAGCAGCGTGTGCAGACGCCAATGCCACATTGAGCGAGTCCGGGTGCGTGATGATGACGGCTGCTTTCACTGCATTTATTTGATACACGAGTTCGTCGACTGTGAATAGAGGGTTGGCGCCGCTTGTGAGCGCATTTCAGAATGTTTTAGGCAACTTAGAGAAAGTGAGCATACGACACCGCAGCACCAAGTCTATGAGCCGCCCAAGCAGCCACGAGGTAATCTGCAGAATTCATATTGTCAACACAGACAAACACCGCATGCGACGAAGCCAGCTCACATACCAACATGATTTGGACTGTAGATCAACACTATCAGATATGCAGAACGGGGGGATCATCAATACTTGCAAACCATTAAAACTATAGTTTCATTACCAACATGATCATCCTCTGTGTGGAACCGGAGTCAGTATGTGGCACTCGGTACCATGAAAACGTAGAGAACGCACGGATGTTATAGCGGATACTCAACGCATTAGCCAGACCATATGTCCGAGCTCTAATCTGCGTGGTACACGATCAGCAATTGTAACCATTGACCGGAATAGCAATTTATGTCAACCCCACACCAACATTGCGGATTACTCTAGAGTGTTGCTCAATTCCACTGGCAGGCACACTTACCTCCTCAAGCCCAATCTTTCTCCCACTCTGGTCATCAACAATCCATGCACCACTTTTACGAACAGGCTTTCTGACATGCTCCGCATCTAATATGAACTGTGCAAGCGTGAGATCGTCAGGTATATGAGGGAGGATTCCTGCAGGCGACACGACTTCAGCCATCTCCACCAATTCAAAAGGGCAAGAAGAACGATGGACAAGACAAGGACGGCAAGGAACGCTCTGTAATGTAAACTCTCATGGTTTGTTTTCATACGTCAAATGTAAACTCACACTTCGTCCTTTTCCGTCACTGATTACACCATCGCTCGCCAAAACCCGTTGGGGTGTGGCGAATCCTGGCGAACCTGCCCTGTTGGAATGCCATTCTGATATGGTTTTCTCACTAAGTATGTATGCATGTGAGTTGTTGTCAGGTGCTGATCAATTTAACACCTGCCTATTTGGTCTAACAAGCTATGTCGAAAAAAACGAGTCCGAATTAGTAAGGCTCTGTCTCGAGAGGGGTGCAAAAGGCAAATTCCGGATATGTGGCTCAAATTTACATAAGCATTTAAACCTTAATATACAGCCACCTGAACTTTCGTTAGATATGATTTGAGCTTTGACCTAGCAGTCTCAAAATTGATTATTATTTTTGTTTGTTACTGGGAAGGGAAGGGGGGTGTTTCTTACTGTAGAATACAACTAGGTAGTTTACTTAATAAAAAATGTGTGCATTAGTGTGCTACTCATCAACAATAAAATGTTGGAAGTAACTTTGCAGAACTGTTAAGATTGCGTGCTCAAGGGGTGTTAAGGTTGTACTCAAAGGGTAACTGGATCTGAAGGGCTTCAGCCTCAGCTTGTGCACTGTGCCCCTTACCCGAGTATTGCCCCTTATTTCAGGAAGGCAAGACTAGCGTGTCTGGAAGGTTGGACGAGTAGCATAACGGATCCAGATGACTTCTGGATGAGGGATAAGTATTGTAAGGCTAATCCGGACGAGTCCAGACTAGAAACTAATGGTAATGGACTGTCAGGGACAGAGGCGGATATGGATAGACTATAGGAATCAATCCTAAGTCTCGGAGGGTGACGAGAGTAGAGGTACTCAAGTCTGGAGGACAGGAATGAGTAGAACTAAGATGATATTCGAACTGAGGTACTACAGAAAGTTACAGGAGGTTATATACTATAGGTATCTAATGGAATGATCAATCAGCAGAGTCTGAGGCTATGTACAAAGCATTTGGATAGTCTATTGGTAAGTAGAAACGGATCACAAATCATGAAATGGAAATGAAACATAGGTAGCAGATAAGGGAGCAGGATGGATATACAGATAACCAAAATACCGGAGTTAGGGGGTTACCAAAAAGGAGACAAGCACTGGTTGTGGATTCAGATGAGTTGTGGACTGGACCAGATGAGTGGACAGATTGAATGACGAGATGTTGGAGGGAGATAAGATGTGGATCTGAGATGAGATATGTACTCTCACTCTGTAAATTATTATCATGGGCACATTACAGTGGCATGCACATGCCTTTGGATCATCAAGTTTTGATGATAGTGACTGGGACTCAGACATGACTAATGACTCATATCAGACAGACCTGGACTTTCAATCACACCTTCATAGATCTCCCTCAAATGAATCTTCTGATTCTTCTGGCCAGGTGCAATACCACTTGGATGCCTTCCTAGAATTGGCAATCACACCAGAAGATCTACCAGATGCCTATCAATTAGCTGTAACCCCTGATGACTTTGTCCCATCAGACCCTGAATCAGAAAGTTTGGACCAGCACACAGAATACAGTGACTTGCAAAACTGTTACAATGTTTGGTACTTTTTCAGTGTACACAATATAGTGCCTATGCACATGGGAATCATGCTTAGTGTTGGTGGGGGCGTGTGAACTACAAACCCTTGGCTACAGACTGACACTTGTATCACATGATTTAGCCAAGGGGATGTGAAGATATGCCTATTTTAAGACAGAGATACCATTGTAACAGTTTTGCAGCTGTTGATATAGATGGTGGGATCTCAGTCAAATCAGAGGATGGTTACTGTTATTTGCTTATACAAATAAAAATATACATAAAAATATTATGTCTGAGTTTGAAATTGCTCCCATGCTTCTTTATTTTTAATCATTACCACCATGGGATCTCTCTCTACTACTCAAAAGAGTACCATTCTCTTTTAGCTTAATACTGGTCATTCTATTCACTCTATTGCCTCCACAACTAGTGTCAGCACTACTACTATCTCCAAGTTTCATTAAAAAGAGTGTTCCTACTTGCAAAAGTTGACTGGTGGTCATTCAACCAAGCTTTCCTCAGTCAATATTTGTCATCCTATTTGTTTCATCTTCACTCAGCAGGCAGAAACTGCTATCCAAGTGCTCGAATCTTTTTCAAATATTGTCAATTAGCCCCCCAACCCAAGTACCACTTGCTGCTACCTGAAAAAGCTGGGATGAGGGCTGTAATCAAGTCCAAACACTTTCTACTATCTGCCAAATATTGCAAAGCACACTTGGACTTTGCCTATACTCACAAAAATTGGACTTTGGAGGACTGGAAGTTGGTCATATGGTCTGATGAAACCAAAATTAATCACCTAGGGTCAGATGGTTGCAAATGAGCTTGGAAAAAGTCAGGAGAGAGGCATAGTGACAGATTGGTATAAGCAACTATCAAGTTTAATGGAAGTTCTGTGATGATATGGGGCTGTATGACCTGTGAAGAAGTTGGCTATGCTGCTAAGATTGATGGTAGAATGGGTGGAGATCTTCACCTTCAAATTTTGAAGGATAAACTTCAGAATTTCCTGGAGTTTTATAATCTTTATGCTTCTGATGTCATTTTTCAGCAAGACAATGACTCTAAGCATACCTGCAAAAAGGTCAAGAAGTGACTAGATGGGCAGGAATTTAGGACTATGGTATGGTCTGCACAATCTCCTGACCTTAACCCATTGGAATATCCCTGGGACCTTGTCAAAAGGAGACTTGCAGAGTATGAGCATTCCCCTAAGGAAATAGTAGCAGTGGTTGGGAATAAAGAAGCATGGGAGCAATTTCAAACTCAGACATAATATTTTTATGTATATTTTTATTTGTATAAGCAAATAACAGTAACCATCCTCTGATTTGACTGAGATCCCACCATCTATATCAACAGCTGCAAAACTGTTACAATGGTATCTCTGTCTTAAAATAGGCATATCTTCACATCCCCTTGGCCAAATCATGTGATACAAGTGTCAGTCTGTAGCCAAGGGTTTGTAGTTCACACGCCCCCACCAACACTAAGCATGATTCCCATGTGCATAGGCACTATATTGTGTACACTGAAAAAGTACCAAACATTGTAACAGTTTTGCAAGTCACTGTATGAAAGGAACAGGTACAATAAGCAATCTCCTCACATTTACAGCACTACTGTTAAGGTCATGTGCTCAAGGGGGTCAGATCACAAGGGCTTGGCCTCAGCCCGTACACTGTGCCCCTTTCCCAAGTATGTGCCCTTAATTTCCAGGGGGCTAGAACAGTTGTCTGGAGTTTCCAGGATTTGACTAGGGCGGTGAAGGTTCAACTACCCTGCTGGGCTGCAGAGCAAAAGAAAGAAAGAGGGCTCTACCTCTGGGGTGAGAGGAAGGCTACTGACTCTCTAGATGTTGGTCGAAGTGTGCCAGGCAATATGTTTGACCCTTAAGGGAAGCAAAGAAAGCAAGTATCCATGAAGTGACACCAGGTCAACTCTGGTGAAGCACACTGAAAGCGCGTGCACAGGAATGTCGAGCACGTAGGTGCACAAAGCGTGGGAATAGGGCGCACACAGTGCGCGAATGTGTAAGAGATGATGATTGGCTGCTGCTGAAGACCAGGGCGACAACTATAGCATGCTGGCTGAAGATGATAGATTCTGACTACTAGATGCTACTAGACATGGTGGTGGTGGGTGTATCAAAAACTTCCTAGGCAACAGGTAAGCTGTGCCTAGGTGTGCTCCCAGGGCTCAGAAGCGAATAGGGAGTGCTCTAAGTATGTAAATGATGTAAATAAAGGGTCCATGATGAAATAATGTATGGTACGATGCTAAATATGAGAATAAACGAAAAGGAACTCACTAGGGGACTGGTTGGATGATGGATGGATGCTCAAGGACACTGCACAACAAAGGGTGATTGAGTGTGGGAAGAGCGCGCTAAGCGCATGCATGGGAATGCATTGCATAATGTGGGAAAGTGTCGCGCCTCTGGCGTGTTTCACTGGAAAGTCATAGATAGTGAGTTGCACACTATACCAGTCGTTGTGAGTTGTGATATGGGCGATCTAAGCCTGAAGGAATCTTGTTCCCTACAGTGGACAATGGACATCTGGATCTGAAACATGAGATAAATCCAGCAGACACCTGGATGTTACTTGGACAAGTGGATAAGACTAATCCAGATGAAGTCCAGACTAGAAACTAACAGGGGATAGACTACCCTAAGGTAGAGTTGGAGATGTAGTCTAGGATGCAATCCTAAGACTTGGAATATGACAAGAGACTTGGCTCAAGTCTAGAGGACACAGGAATGAGCAGGAACTAAGATGATACAGTGGCTCAAAAAACTGTCCACATGTTTTGACATTTTTCACTATCTATGATATTGTGTGAGAACGAACAAATGCCTCAAGGACATGCTTATACCACATTGTAGTATGGCTTCAGGGCTTTCATTTGAGTCCTACACCGTGTGAATCTGTGGAGATATGGTGGAGATACAAGGCTTACAAAATCATGACTCATGCGGACAGTTTTTTGAGCACATATTAAAACTATATAAATCATCATTTATGACACCATAACAATCATGCCACCATTAAATAAATTATAAAGTGGTGTCATTATGTCATTTTAAAACCATATCTAACTATACAAACCAAAAATTTCCATATGTCATGGTTATATTCACCATGAAAGCCACCTCCCCTGCTCAAAGGAATAATATCCTCTCTCTTTCCTATTCTGGCCTCTCTGCTTGTCAAATTTCCTCTAGAACTGGAGTATCCAAGTCCACTGTGGCCAAGTTCATCAAAGAAAGTCACACAGACAAGGAAAACTTCTGTGAAGGGCATCCATCCAAGCTCACCTCTACTGATAGGAGGGCTATTATTCAACATATCACTACAGGAAAGGCTGATAATGCTGTCCAGGTCACCTATTACATCAATTCCATCATCACATTCCCTGTCTCTTCACACACTGTGAGAAACATTCTCAAGACAGCTCATCTCAAGTCAGTAACAAGGAAGAAAAGGCTCTCTTCTCTATCACATATATGCAGAGAGGACTAGCACCCTTCTTGTTTCACATATATACCTTGCCATCTGACCCAATCCTATTTATTGTGGTCTTATATGATCATATAGCATGCTTCCAGTCTGTGTAATCCAATTCTGATGGGCTAAGGCAAAGGTTAGTCATCTCTGCATATGTGTGATAGAGAAGAGAGCCTTTTCTTCCTTGTTACTGACTTGAGATGAGCTGTCTTGAGAATGTTTCTCACAGTGTGTGAAGAGACAGGGAATGTGATGATGGAATTGATGTAATAGGTGACCTGGACAGCATTATCAGCCTTTCCTGTAGTGATATGATGAATAATAGCCCTCCTATCAGTAGAAGTGAGCTTGGATGGACGCCCTTCACAGAAGTTTTCCTTGTCTGTGTGACTTTCTTTGATGAACTTGGCCACAGTGGACTTGGATACTCCAGTTCTAGAGGAAATTTGACAAGCAGAGAGGCCAGAATAGGAAAGAGAGAGGATATTATTCCTTTGAGCAGGGGAGGTGGCTTTCATGGTGAATATAACCATGACATATGGAAATTTTTGGTTTGTATAGTTAGATATGGTTTTAAAATGACATAATGACACCACTTTATAATTTATTTAATGGTGGCATGATTGTTATGGTGTCATAAATGATGATTTATATAGTTTTAATATGTGCTCAAAAAACTGTCCGCATGAGTCATGATTTTGTAAGCCTTGTATCTCCACCATATCTCCACAGATTCACACGGTGTAGGACTCAAATGAAAGCCCTGAAGCCATACTACAATGTGGTATAAGCATGTCCTTGAGGCATTTGTTCGTTCTCACACAATATCATAGATAGTGAAAAATGTCAAAACATGTGGACAGTTTTTTGAGCCACTGTATTTGAACTGAAGTATTTCCAAGAGCTACAGGAGGTCTATATACTGTAGGTATCATATAGGAATCAGTCAGCAAACACAAAGGCTATGTATGAAGCATATGCAAAGTCTATTAGTAAGTAGGATGGATCACCAATAATGCATATTGGAAATGAAATATATGTAATGGATCAATAATCAGAAGGGAAACATAGTTAACTGGAGTCCAGAGACAGGGGAAGTCTAAATGGGGTTGGGCACTGATATAGGGTTTGGATTCCAGAAGGAAGATAAAGATAGATCAGATCATTGGAGATCTGGATCTCAGATCTGGATATCTGGAGAAGCAGATTTAGAGTTGAGGGTCCGGAATGGCATATGACAACTACCTTGTGAGTAGTCACAAGGGCTTTGACAAAAGAATAATGTGCTTCAGTATGTGCACTCATAGCATAGATCTCTATCACCCAGTCATTGCTAGCAGTAAAGAAGACCTTCATCAAGATACCCAAGTCATCTGCTGGCAGATCAGTGACCTCTGTTTGCATCATGTGTATGACATGCTCAAAGGCAGATAAATCCCTGATTTTCAAGATAACTGGAGGAGAAATAGGGATAGGGACTGGGGGAAAGGCAGCACCTTGAGCACCACTAACTACCTTCTCCAAGATGTTGCCAATATCATTAATATATCCTTGCATCCCCACTATAGCAGTGGCAGGGGTGAGCTTGGAGGCATATGCAGTGCTGGTCATTGGCAAGTTTCTACTGCTAGTAACATGGCTACTAGTACTAGCAATATGTGCAGATTGTGTTTTCTTTGTGGATGGGGCTGATGTTAGTGTGCTGGATGCAATGGAGGATGAGTATGATCAAGACCTTGAAAGATATGATGCTATTTCAGTCTCAAGTGATGCATTGTCACAAGTGCATTTGCCATTCCTGAGGCTAGATCCTACTGCTGTTGTGGGAGTGCCAGGGAGATAGGGAACCATGAAACTGATATTCACAGACCCTATGGTTGTAGAAGAGCTAACAATGATGAAGGAGTTGGAGTCCAGCATTAACACATCATACAGTGTGATGGCCCTGAGTACTATGACCATTTGACAAAATGGCATACACCTGTGAATAGAATGGCCAGCCAGTATTGTAGTATTGGCATATCATATCATAGGATTGCTGCCAGTGTATCAAAATATCAGTTCTAATATTAAAACTCATGTGATGCAAGTGTACTTATGCTCAATTGGAGAAATGAATTCCATACTACCCATGCAGGATTTCCTTCAATTCCAGCTCCCCTCTCATTGTCCCAGTGTATGCCTGAGAGATTACAGTAGGCCTTGATATTACCATACATTTGCTTGAGCCACATTAAGTCTTGATCAGTACAGATCAGTAGATATGAGGTGTGATTCCTTACCAATATCCATTTAGTCTTGCAACATTTTGCAATCTTAGGGGGGCCCACAGTGAGTAGATTAGTCTGGGCAAGGACCATTGCTGCTACATTAAATGTCAGGGCCTTGAAATTGTTGCCATTGCCAGCCTCAGAAATCTTGCTGAATAGAAAAGTAAGTAGCACATTGGTCTCCTGTGCATTTCCTTGAGCCTTAGGTTCAGGAGATGCTTCTGTAGCCATGAGTAGAGTAGTCAAGTGAGCACAGATTGAAATAGTGGTGACCACCAATGAGTAGATCACCCAATGGATGTGAGGATTGAAGCACTCCATACTTTACAGTGGTGCTGGGCAGTAGGTAGGGAAGGTTTGGGCCCCACCCACTAGAAGGAGTATGATGGCAAACCAACACACAGCCCCTACATCAAATATTGCAAATATTTGCCAACTTTGAAGTTTCCAAACTGACTCTTAAGATGGTACTTATGTACTGTCCTCATGCAAGCTGGGACCAGGATTACAGTAACATATTGATATAACAATCACACATACACACACAGTTTACAATACCATATGTACAGTCTACCATAAGGCTTCACTGCAACAGATAATAAACAAGGATTCAAAAAAGACTGTCATGATTGTGCTTCTGGCAGTTTCCATCCAATTTACTCCAGGTATATACATATACATAATTTTTTCTAGTGAACTACCATTTTGATGAATATTATACAAATTCTAAGCAGGTAAAGCTTGACAAAAATTTACCATTTCCATGTCAGTTGTCTGATGCTGCAGGTGCAAGCCAAAATTTATTGTATACAGGAGTCAGACAGGCCATTTGTGGGGATGAGTTGCACTGGAGGATAAGTCTACCTCATTTGTGCCAATAGGTTGTTAACAGTACTTGAAAATTACCGGCCCGGAACATCCGCTAGGTGAGGTTTCGAACTCCGTCAGGACCTAATTACTGTACGGTACACCTAATAGGTTGGACCGCCTAACAAATTAAATGAATAACTGTTGCTATGCAGTCAGTGTGGCGCGTTGGAACCCTCGATTCCATGCGTAAGACTTGACAGGACTGCCAGAGTGACATGTTATGTACAACGACCCCCTTGAAGCATTTTTCATTTGAGTAATTCGTACGCAAAAACATCAGGAGAGCACATCACGATTCACAGTCGTGGAGTCAATGTCACTTCAGTGTCCAAACCATGATCCCCCTGGATTTCCTCACGACCAGGCACAGTATGAGCCCACTTCATCCGCAGCTCTCCCCACCACCGAATAATATATTCTTTCTCTCTATCGCCGACGCGCACTTTGATCTCCGCAAAGAGCGCGTCGATAAGTTCCTGCCTCTTCTTCTCGTCCTGAGCTGCATCCATAAATGAACGGATGGGATCCAGCAAGCGAGGGAGCAAGGCCAACGGCACCGATGGCACACACGAGATAAGAGTCAGGTGAAGTCGATGCTTACGCTCGTTATCATGCTTGGAGACAGACGCAACAGCCGCCAAAAGGCAGTCGATGCAAAACCACGCAAGAGACAAATCGGCAGCAGACGCCGCACTCCGAACGAGAGCAGCAAATGCTAACCGGAGTTGCAGCGTGCTGAGCCTGCCCTGCACTGAATTCTGTGAACGACCAGCATGGTCAAAGATACTCGAGAATTAAGACGTAGCCGCTTACGTCTATTAGACAGTTGGCATAAAACGGCACGATTTTCCTTGTGAAGCCCCCCCCCTGTTGTGACGTCGACTCCCTCGCCTTCTGCGCATGCGAAGCGAAGATGGCAAGGACGACACTATGCGCGGATTCGAACGTCTCGCGGTGACTAGCGTCAGACAGGTGCCTACCACGTGTTAAGGGTGAATCACTGTATATGTGGAGGATGAAACTTACGGAAGGCACGTAGGAAATACAAGCTCCTGAATAGTCATTTCGTTAAGCACAGGAATAAGTTGTTCGATTGCTGAAAGCGCAAAGGCCCTTTTCGCTTGATAGAAAGGGTGAGCCGGATGTGGCTCCAAGCCCGATTCAACGACACATAGATGTCGGGCGTATTCGTTGCTCTTTGTTACATCACTTCCGAGAATGTCGAGTGCAAGGTAAAACAACCTCTTGAGCTCATCGAAAGCACCGTAACCTGCACCACCAAACTGCGTGATAACAAATGACAGGTGTGAGAGCGCTTGCAGAACAATTGCTGCGAGCGTCGAAGTCGATGGTAGAACAGCGGAAGTGGAGGGGATGTATACCAGAGCAGAGAGACCTGCTTCTGTGATCATAATCACGCTGAAAAGGAGTGTTTTCAAAGTCGCCCATATGACGGTTGTAACTTCCCTGGCGTCTGGTGCTAAATATGGATGAGCGCTGTACGGCTATTAATCCAACGAGGCTCTCACACAACAAGCTCTGGCCTGTAGCCCCAGAAAGTGAGGTCGGAAACCAGTCGGTTTCAACGTGGGCAGTGATAGAGTTGAGTTTCTGATATGCTTCCGAGATTAGAGGCAGTGCGATGTTTGGCCTATGATCTACAAAGAGCGACATGGTTCTAGCGCACAACTTCGATATTGAACCAATGTAAGCCATCGAATTCGAATTCGATACGTTCTTGATGGATTTTGAAATTGGGCTGTCTGACTGTATGAATGTTAGTTTAGGGAGATATATATGCGCGCGCTACTGACAGGTATATGAATTTTGAATTCTGCCTTAGAGCATAACGAAGACTGGAGGGAAGATAGGAATCTTCCACCGTCAAACGCATCCTCGATGGTGCGCATAATTAGCCCTAATAGATGCTGATGATACATTAGTATAAGCGAACTGTTCATGTGAGCAGACCCACAGAAAGGGGGAGCGCAGTGAATTTCTGGGAGGGTGCCAACAGAAGAGATTGAGAACATATGATGAGTGACAATGCAAGAGCATCGGCTATAGGAGCAGGGCTCACGTTAACAGAATAGTTGCCGATGCTCTGAGCACGCACCTGATTCAGCAGCAGAATGAAATTCTTTTCTCCATGTATCAGACGTTGAGAACTGGTCAATAACGTCTGCAAATGTCATTACCAGTTCATCTTCAGCTATACCCTTCACGCCTCGCATCTTTGCTGGTAAATGCTGCAGGATATCCTCAAGGCCAAGAAGAAGTCCGCTGCAACAGGCTAATCGTATAATGGCGTGTCCACCCTCGAGACCTTGAAAGATAGCAAGGGACCAGACGTTGAGCTGAGTATCTAAGCTTGGAGAAAACAGTCCACTCGAATCTGCTTTCAGCACCTGTAGTTTCGAATGTACCGCATGTCGGAAGGATGTACTGAGAACTTCTAGTTTTGAAAGTGAAAATTGAATGAAGATAGGGCTGCTGACAATAGTGGCAGCGAGAGGTGTTGGAGAAGGATAAATATTCGCGAGGTAGTGGACGATGAGGGCCTGGATAGTCGACAATGGAGTCTCGGTGGTGTTTGACCTCCCCAAGCTGCTGAGTAGAAGGGTGTGACCTCGGTCTGGTACTGCCATGTCACACGAAATAATAAATCTGTAAGACTGTAAAGCTAGCAACCAGCTGGCTGCTGGACATCAACTCCAATGCTCGCACTCTGGTGAATGATCTAATAGTGAATGTCTTCTCCTAGGACATGCTCACCTCTACGCACGTGAAGCCTTCGTCTTACGACAACAACTATGCACGTTGATCCTAAGGCCGCCTTCCCGTTTGACTAGCTGACCGCCTATCACAAGCACTGGTCTTCTTGTTCAGTTTAAACTGTTTTGGTCAGGGTCTTTGCAATGTTTTGAATTCTGATTTGAATCAATAATATTATGTAATCTCCAAGTCTTTTGTGGGGAATGCCACTGGTGCGATATCCTGCCTCGACCCACATTCATATCCACCAGATCCTAGCTGGGTATGCCAACGTAATTTTCCCCTCTTGTTCTCCCGTGCTTCTAGACTCAGAACCTTTTTATCGGTGCTAGCCAGAGTTTCACTGATAATCGCATGATCACGATCAAGCTTATCCAACACTATCTATCGGCCCTGTCCATTCTTCAATCAAAAGGTTGTTCTGGGGTCGGTATCTGCCTCCGTGGATGCAAACGGAAAACGGGGACCAAGTTACTGTTATCCTCGACTTCTTCTCCGACATGTCTGCGGAGTTACTGTTGAGGACAAGTTCTTCCGAATCTCAAAGTTTAGCCCGCATCGTTTTTCCGATGAGCCTGACAGCTTCGTTCAAATTTTGGATTGCACGACCCTGGATTGTTGGTAATCTGAACATCTTTGAACTCAGCGTGAAAATCTGTATTTTGCAGTATCTGTGAACCCACAAGATGGGTGTTTCTCCGGTGGCATCGCAGAATCAGATGGCAGTGAGTGGTAACTCTAGTGAAGCTTCGCCGTGTGTCAAATTAATCCATGTGAACCAAACTTCATACATCATGATGTCTGTAAGCTGAGGAATTTCGTACCGTGTTATACTTTTAGCAGCCAATTATAGCCGCATGTGCGAACCACATCGCATGATTTGCGTTGCAAGCTACCTCTCTCTGAGCTGTGCTGGTCCCCAGGGGATACCCATTTATTTCTATCATGTGATGATCATGATGACCGACGCTATGCTCACCTGACATATATCAGCACGCGCTTAACATATCCTGTTGCCTACGGCGAGCTTTCAAATCTTCCGCATGAATGAAATGATGATATCTTGATGAACCAAGTAGCAGATGGCGGCAGTGTAATAAATGGCAGCTACACCGAGGGAATCAGATTTTATGAATGAAGCGAGGCAGATTAGAGCAGATTTCCCAAAACGCGCGGACAAGTAGAGCCGCGCGCGAACAAAGGGGAGGGGGGTAATTATGTAAGCGGGGGTATTCAGGGTCTTTGAGAATTCAAGACACTCACCTTTTGCAACCTAACCTAGTGCTCGCTCTGTTCACTCCCTGCTCGACGTTCCCTGCGTCATTCCCGTCGCTGCTGCCGTCGCCGAACTAGTCGCCGTCGCTGCGCTTGACGTTGACAGGACGTTAATTCCCGCTTCCTTGTTCGTTGGTCTATTCTGCCCAAGATTCAAGGTCGTAAAGCAACCAATAACATATCCCACCTCCTCCCAGCCATACCAGTACTTACTTTCTGCCCTTTCTTGAAGAAACGGGCGAACCGTTATTCATTCAACATCGGCTACCATACTTCCTCTTGATAACGAATTCCTGCCATGTCTCCCAACCCATCCCAGAATTCACCTTGGCCAGCTCAGACAGCTCCACCATCGTCATCATATTCATCATCGAAGCGAAAGAGCCCTGACATGGGATCTTCTTGGTCCTCATCACTGGGAAGGAGACAGGGAACTATCATCTCGAATCAGAGTGCGCTCGGTGCGTGTACAATGTAGTTGTGCGAGGTTCTGGACGCGAGCAGTCGCGTCTCCCTCATTACTCGTATCCTGTGCTAACGTCTTGTGTTTGTTCGCCAGCGGCAGCCGAGACTCAATGTGAAATATACGCTGATAATAGTCAGGTGACTTGCTATCCAGGCGCAGGTGATCTTGTGATTCAACACCAGTGGGCACCGGTTGTCTGTGAGCATCTCCATGTCTCATTTTCTCTGTTGAAATTGACGCGATAACAGGGAACAGTAGACGGCCGCAACTTTCCCAGTTCAATGTCGTCCAGCTGTACTTGATTGATGCTGATACAAACCTCCCCATTCTCAATTTCACACAAACAAATCCAACTAATAATGCCGGTGAAATGAATGCACCTGTGAATGATACGTGGTTCGGAACCAAAGGCAATTCATGGACGCCAGGGCAGAACTTCTCATACCCATTTTATTGGGTAGTGACCAATCAGGATGGTCTGGATGGCTCTCAAACCACAAATCCAACGTTCACGGCTATTCGTACGTTTGTGTCGCGCAGCCTATTATACCCCAACTAACATATTGTAAAGAAACTACATATGCAGATGCTGTCGTTTCGTCTATGCAGTCCTCGTCATCCGCTGCCGCCGCATCGTCATCCGCCGCTGCCGCCTCGTCATCTGCTGCTGCTCTGTCATCAGCATCATCTAGCTTACATGCATCTGGGACATCGTCACTTCCATCGGGAAATGTTCAGTCAAACAACTCAAATGCACCTTTTCCTCATTGGGCAATAGCAGTCATCGTGGTACTCGGATTTCTCGCTATCGTAGCTGGTGGTGTCTTGATTTGGTTAATCGCGCGCCGTTTACGAAGACGTGAACAGCTATCGAATCGAGGGTCCATGGGTTCCTCGTCTCCGATGATGGCCAATGCCCAGAACTCCAACTCTCCTCAGCTACCGTTGTTGGGGGCTGGGTTGGTGGGTGCGACGGCTGGCCGGACATCATCAGAACATCATCGGCCTGCATCGATCATATCTCCGGATGGTGCATCCGATATCTCACGGGCCCACTCTGCAGGCGATACCGGTCCATTTTCAGGAGCCGATGCAGCCATCATGGCGGATGCATTTAGGAAAGCATTGCGCAAACCTGATTTTGCAGGGCCCCCTGTTGAGGAGGCCGAGGACCACAGGGATGATGCGATCATGAATCGTGAATTGGCAGAAGAAGGACGGGACCTACGGAGCGTCAGGTTCATCACGGGGAGTTAAAGTGGAAACTCTAAGTGAGACTGGTGATACAGTGCAAGATCACTAGGATTTCTTGTGCGCTTTACTTTATTTTATTTCACTTTCGACTTCTCAACGTTGGTTGTATATTTTCTCGGATACCTTTCGTAGTCCTCACGTTGTTGTCCCACCTTCGTCGCCGTGTAGTTCTCACCTCTACTTGCCCTTCTAACCCGCATAACTCCACTTCTCTTGTCTCCGCTTTTCCACCCCACACCGCACCTTTTTCCTGCATTGCAAGGCTGGCTTTTTACCATACATCCGCTATCATCGTGGTTCTCGGTAATTTCTAGTAGTTGCATTAGACTTTTCGTTCGGACTCCTACCCCCACCCTGCGCCTACTCCCGACACTTGCCTTGTATTTCCCCACGGACGCCGTCCTGCCACTCCTTACACCCATATATTGCACCCACCACTGTGGTTGCATATACTTGTCGGATCACGCCTTCCCACCCCTGCCCGTATGCCGCCCACGAATCACATGCCCTCTCATCTCCAAACTGCTTACGTTCTTTCCAATAACCAAATTTCGGCATGCATGTGGACCATGCCAGCTGGGACGGACGCTCCCCTTACCTAGGGAGGACGGACGCGTACTTGGATTTCTCACTCCCCGAACGCTTTTTCATACATCTTTACAGTCTTCGTTTCCCTTTTTTTTGCTCGTGCCAAAACCTTGTTGACCATATATGCCACCTGGGTTACTATATGACTAGGCAGATTCTCCTTTAATAATGACGATGATGAAACGATCGCAAACATCGCGTACATAGGCTGCAAACCGACCTGGATCTTGTATGGAAGGGAAATGGACGTTTCCTCGATTGCTGAATCGGGATGTGGCTTTAATTTCTTTGGTAGTGATGCTACAAGTTCTTTTTTTCGGGAAATACCCGGTTGACAGCGAGGTGTTCGAGGGTGCACGCTCTCCTCTTCACAATATAGACGCCGGGCAAAGGGTGCATTTGAAATAGAACGTCGGGACCCGCTTGCAGCTACTTTGATATCGATGGACCTGATTTCATTTTTTATCGTCTTAGGAGGGAGGGGGCGCATCAATCCATTTTATTATAGAACTTGAACTTAATCGAACACGCGATCCATCCGCTGGCAAAGAATGACATATGGCCACACTTTCAAATTGGAGGACGCCAAGGCTATGTAGCCCCAGCTAATTATGATGTCAATTATAGCACAGGTATTACTGCAGGAGGAACACAGCAAAGGAGGACGAATGATACGCGGGGGGAAAAAGAATGTGACCATAATGATTATAAATCTATACATGAAAAGGTCTTTCTAAATGCAGTGTTGAACTCATCAGATTCAAAAAAAGTACTTTCCTCTTAGGTTGAGAATGTCAATATACAATTGCGCGATGGGTACAATTATATCTCATTGTTGAGCCATGAGGTGACGCATAAGCAGTTCATATCTGGCAATTATGTCAACGGAGAATGAGGTTGAGCTACGGTCTTTAACACACGTTAAAAGTGTCACGGCGCTGTTTGGCACCGTTCGGAACAGGTTGACAGAAAGACCTTTATAGAGACCCGTCCAGCCCTCTTTCTGAATGATCTTGCGTGTTATGTAAATGATTCCGCGGCGCGCATGTGTTTTGACCATGCCGTCCGAGGACGCATCTTCAGCTATTGGTAATCGGAGTGTCTGCAGCCGTGTGCGTACAACCTCGTGTGGATACGTTGCAATGGATGCAGCCATCTTCGCTATACCAGAACATACCAATATCGTATCGCTCCGTAGCGGCGCATCGGAGTCACCCTCTACGATTATTTCAAAATTGCGATGCAGAATAGGTAGCTGCTACTCACGGGCCCACATCTTGAGCTTTTCGTATAGGGGAAACTGGACGGCTACATGAAATATTCCCAAGAGGCTGGGTAGGAGTCCGCGATAAAACGCGCGGATGCCCTCTGTGCGGTATATTGCCAAGGCTGCATCGAAGGTATGTCGATATCTAACTTCTCGTCTTGATTGTGTCTGTCGCATGGATGAGCCAGGGATAGCAAGTTCGTGAATGGTGTTGCAGGTAATTGATATTGAAACAAAACTCCTACCATGAAACGTGTTTTGATGACCCACAGTGGGTTGGTACAGGTTGTGCTCGCCGCACCGGCAATCATCGCAGAAAGGATGTGGAGGGTCCATGGGTGGTCACGCATAGCGGGCTGGTAGCCCTTGGGTTGTGCGGCAGGGTATATTCGGTCATGCTTCGGCACTTGGCCCAGTGGAGGTTCTCCGAAACGCGTCTTAATCCCGTCATACACCGCAAAGTAGATGGCCATTGTTGGAAGGTACCCCAAGATTGTGGGGCCAAGACCACGGTACATGCCGCGTATTCCATCATATTTGAGGGTCGTTTTAACGATGTCTGTGGAGTAGTGTCAAGGATGATAAGGGAGATGAGAACGGAGATGAAGGGGCCGGAGAACATACCAAGAACTCCTTGATAACCCTGCTGCCCTTGGATTGTACGTTGAGCTTGTAACTTGGTCTTGACGACGTCGAGCGGACAGGTCGCAATGCTGGCAACTAGACCACCTCCAGCACCAGCTGTATGTGGGAAACCGAATATTGTTCAGAAAATGGAGTCTCATGCAGTAGTAATAGCGCACCGATCATGCTGTTTGCGGTCCATTTTCCTTTTCGCGTCTGCATATCTCTTCCCCGCGAAGGGGGTCGCTCGAGCGCTATGGCTTTATGCTGGCGTGATCCTAAATATATATGTACCGAAGGCAGGAATCTGACCAACCCAATATTTATCGTCCCAACTATGAGCTGACACCTGCTCACCCGGGTTTTGCCGAGCCATCTACTAGCCTAGCCGCTTGTCCAAACTGACTTTGATCTTACTACTACATAGTACGGCAGCCCCTTACAACCTAGGTAAGCTAGTCCGGATCCTGCATACTGATAAGTATAAGGCTGAAACTACCTGACATGTAAGTGTGCCTGCGCCAAAATTGACACAGCGAGTATATCATGATAACTTCGACACCTCCTAGAGGCCCAACACCACCTAACACTGCCTAATTATATAGCGCCCATAAACGTTGAAGAACTTTGTATCATGGTCAAAGTAACTTACAGTGACGAAACACTTGCTGAGGACTCTAGCCCGGTTGTGGTGGAAGGCAACTATTACTTCCCCCCCGAGTCCGTCGATAGGTCATTCTTCGTTCCCTCAGACACAACGTAAGGGTTCTTATTGTTCATGTAATGTCAATGTGCACTAAACTTTGAGCGCTCAGCACTGAGTGTCCTTGGAAAGGGTGAGCGCCCTGGGTCCGTTGCTCAGCGCTGAGCCTTTTGTGACGGAATTCCCCCTGAAGGACAGCGTCGTACTATTCTGCACAGATTCATGGTGAGACTGTAAAAGATATCGCATGGTAAGTCGAAGTGACTGTATCTGCCAGGCCAAGCTGGTATACTGAGTTATCATTCAAGGTACTATGCGAATCCAAAACCCAAAGCATTACATATCAAAGATCATGTCGCGTTCTACAAGGCAAGGTTATCTTCGTGGAGTTCTTCCGCTCTAACATTGTGACTTTACTTCAGAACAAAGTTACTATCGAGTGAAAGGAAAAAAAATCGGTACAGTAGTGTATTCACAGAAAGTGCCGCATATTCGTATCCATGTAATTTTACAGACCTGAAGAATCGAAAATCTACCCCTTGACGAGTATCAGAACCTATGGGTGCACCAGCTGTGTTATCGAGATGGGACTTTGGCATAAAAATGAAGCTTTGAATCTCGCGATTCATTCCAGCACATGATTCAGATTCGTGAAGGTCCCTGGAGAACTCTTCAGTACCATTCACCTGAATCGTCGTCGTCGTCGTCATAATTCTCTTCACCAGGATCGACCTCCATCCTTTGCTCGCGTTGATGCTGTAATCGCTTCTGGCGTTCCGCTTCCTCCTCTGGGGTATAGATAGCCAGTTCGGTCCTTCGAGTACAAGACATCAGCTTGCCCTCACAATAGAGTTGGAAATTCTCCCGTATGAGAATGCGATCAGAGACCGTCTTATCGTTGGCGTCTTCTTCCTAAATTTCTGTTAGGAAGGTCCAAGATCTTGTGTGATCAAGAAGAAAACTTACCCCGGGGACAAAGTCCGGAGCATGTTCAATAGGAGGCTATTGCGCGATGGAATTAATGAGAACGACTAGCAAAGCTGACATCGAGCCACGCACCGCCCCCTGGGCTTGTTTGACGATAGGAAAATTAATTGGCGTCCTACTATTGAAGAACAATTCCTTTGGGTCGCATGAGATATGCACAGTCCAAGAGTCTGCTCCGATGTCAGCAGATTTTGATACAGTCCTAGGAACGATCATACCTCCAAGGTCATACTCGTAGATAATGCCAATCTCATCGTTCGGAGACTCCCCGAGTGATGCATTATTCATAAAATCCCTGGTCCAGATTTCACCCAACTTCAGATGAGAGTCCTTGATCGCCTTCGCGTAGTCCTCGCCAAAACCTTCGGGGCGCACGCCATATGGGTCGACATTATATATAGGGTTATCGTCCCTTTCAAACTTCCACGATATCCTGTCCCCGAAGTCCTCCTCCTCACCTCCCAAAAACTCCCCTAACATTGGCTTGCGACCCCATCTCTTCATCGTGCCAGCCAGCTCACCGTTCGGGTCATGCATGACGACATACGAAACGACCTCTGCGCGGTGCAAGTGCGAGTTGCTCCAGCCGAACATGTACTGGATGAGTGTGTGCAGATTGGCGAAGGTGAAGGTGGCTGGGAGTTGAACGATGCGATATACATTTTTGAAGTTCATAAGCTGGAATCGTAGCTGGATGTAGGAAGTGGTCGTCGCTGGGAGTGTGGTATATGGATCTGGGCGAGAGGATTTGGAACGTCTCATCTTGTCTGAGCTCTTGACTACTTGAGGGACAGGCTCGTCACTGACTCACGATTTGTGAGTTCTTCGAGGCAACCAAGAGTCGGAAGACTTACGAAACATCCATCGTGTGTGTGCAACTTTCTGCAGTTGTTTCCGCTCTTGGCGTTGGCGTTGTTCCGGTACTTTTAGTTTTCTTTTGAGGTGGAGCCGCCTGCAGAACAGTGAGTGGTAAATGAAACTGCTCCATAGCCAAGGCAAGATCGCGCACATCTACACTATCTACAGAACTGCCATTTTCAACCCTGTTCATAGCCTTAATTACCACCAGAAGGGAACATGGTGGAAGAGAGTGCGCACGAGGGTCCAGCATTGACAATGCTTGTTGTGGCGTTTTTGCCTTTACATTGCATTTCAATTTACCTGAATGGAATTCCTGGCATTACAGTGGGTGCCTACTAGTCTGCTTCGAACGAGCCGGAGCCTTTCGAGCATTCTGTTTTCGCTGATGAAGGGAGGGCTGCGTCAAGGACAGATATTGGAGTTTGCAAGCGAACAACACTTGCTTTGGGTGGCATATTCAAGCGAGAATACCAGACTGGACAGTGGAGAACAATAGGGGAGAGCTCAGAGCACGTATAATTAGTCGTTGAAAGGGCGTATGGTAAAGAGAATGTTGCGAAAAGACTTGTGGCGAGACTCGAGAGGGGTTTCCGTTAAATAACTTAATTAGCCAAGTCACGAGACCGCGTGTGACCCACTCCAGCTACTTTGCTAAGTAGATGCTTGTAGGCAACAAAGATGTGATAGAATATGCAAGACATAAGCATGGTACATGATATATACGATGTACTGTAGTAAGTCTGAAACGGAGAGTCGGCGGGGGCAGGTGTTCTACAACGCTAGGCACATACACCCACTCTTCGAAGCCCTTCAAGTTCCGGGTCCCATGGCACTCATCAGACTCTTATAAGGTTCTTCATACTGCTTTTCACCACATTCGAGGGCGTATACGTCTTGTTGTGTTGACTCGTCTACCTTGCTGAGTAAATCGGATATGGACTTCCATGCTCATATCTGGATTACATTGAGGAAGCGAACAAGGATCGAATCTCGGACGCCTTTGCATGCTCCTGAGTCTCACATATCAGGAAGACAACCGATCGAGAAGGACATATGCCCCTCGCAAAGCTCCTCGTTATTGAAATCTTTGATGGACATGGACACTACCGCGACGAGGTTGACGTGCTCGAGTAACTGATCTGCATGCAACCGGACCTATAGCTAAATATTTTTTGATGTCTCTGTTCCCTGAGTGAACTCGAGTCGGAATATGATTCACTAGAGGGGTCTCAATAACAAAAATTTCTAATAATGTACCACCCACCACAGTTCCCTCTGTATTTGCTCCCCCATCAGTCTCGGGGCTGAGTTCCGCAGCAACAGTCATGAACCTAAGTATACATGATAGGCCTCATAAATCAGATGTGCAACTCAAAATCAGGACTTACTGTGCAGCATGTGTGCCAGCCAGAACTCTCATGGCGTCCAAGTCTGTCTGAAGTTGTTCAAAGAGGTCTGCTGTCTGCCCAACAGCGCGTGACATGTTCCTCAGACTAGCTGCGAGTTGGCTATATAGCCTGTCTTTTGCCTGAGTGGCATTCATGGACGCAAGCGAGATCTGACAATCTCCAGCGGTAGTGGTCTAAAGCAGACTCAAAGGGCTCACGTGACACGGTGAACACTAGAACCCGTCGTGCAGAATTCGAACAGATTCACGCAAGTATGTACAGCTCCTTGCAAGTTTAGATTTTTTTCTTCTAAGGTTTGAACATGAGAAAGAAACTGACAGTTGCCAGTGTTGAAACGTTGAAGCAGTCTGCTGGCAATTGAAAGCCACTAACGCAACTAGAGCAATTTCCAAAGCGCAATTGCATTGGCTGGGTAAGAACGAAAGTACTCGACTAAGCTTTCTCTCTCCTTCGTGAGGTTGGGGAATCCTGGCCACTGGCAATCTCCTCTATGACATGCGTGTATCTATACGGATTCTGTACAAGGGATCAGCCATCAAACTATCCAAAAACAAGGAAAACTCACGCTGCAAGACATTGTTAAGCTTGTTGACACGCGACGAGACACTGAGGTCAATGCTCTTATCGCCGAAGTCCACCACAATACCACCAAGAACTGAAGGGTTGACCTAAAACTCGTTAGAACCGACTTAGAAGGGTTGTGAACGAGATTAAAGTACCTTGTTCGAAATTTTCAGCGACTTTGCCTGCTGAGCTGTCTGAGACTGCTTGAGGATAGTCTCCAACCGGGAGGACAAATCTCTGGGCAGAGGAGTAGCAGACGTGACAACTACTTCTAGTTCTCCCTTGTACTTTGCAACCAACTCGTTGAACCCCTCGATAACACCTTCCGTCTCTCCAAGTCTACCATTCTCCGACAGGACACCGAATAGGTTTTTGGTTATGTCAGAGACAGGCTCCTTCTTGGAGCCTTCTGCACGAGAATATATGACAGCGAGGCCCGCAGAGCGATCCTTAGCAGATAGCGTTGGGTTGCTGACGAACGCTTTGAGGTCGGGCACCTCCTTGATAACATTAGAGATGGCGTTCAATTCTGACTGGACCTTGGTAAGTGTTTGCGGTGATTTCGAAAGAGCAGCCGAATAAACAGCTTTGGAGTACTTTTGAGCAATGGTAGAAGCTGCTCGCCGTCCCAGACCCAGGGAGGCGGTTGCTGAGCGGAACGAGGAGCACAACATTGTAGGTGTTGGTGATGTGTTGTCTCCGAGGTTGTAAGTATCGGGAAAGTGCGGGCTTTGAAATGAAAAGCTCAACCCGGCGTCTCCGCGACCAAACGGCATGTTCAAGTTCAGAGAAAATACTTGAGGTATCGAGCTCGAGAACATATAGCCTAATTATTCTTATTCTCAAGCTAACTTATATTCGTAAGTTCGAATTGGTTGAGAGTGAGTGGCATGGTGGGAATACACGAAGTCGATGACATAGTGCAGGCCACAAGCCCAGTGATCTTGGGCAATACACCCACAACTCCGATGCAAAATCACAAATAATGCACTACTATCCAGCACATACGAATTATGGTACGAGGGAATACCAAATGTAGTCCAGCATGGATCACTACCCAAAGGGTGCATATCATGAAGCTGCTGCCCCCGACGAACCAACCGCTTTCGCATTGGGCAACTTCTTATCACCAGTAGTCAGCTGCTCCAGGTCTGCAGCCTTGAAGTAATGAGGAGCGACTAAAAGATGCCCTTAACATTGCGGAGAGATAACTTGAATGATAGTACTTGCCTTCCATTAGCCATGACGGCTTGATTTCCATGATTTGTCTGATGGGAAGTAAAGCGAATTAGACGCATGTAGTTTGCTGGGGAAAAAACTTGCCTCATATATGATTTCGAGGTCATGACGAGCTCGTAATATAGCAAGGTTTTGACGGGCGGTTGATGTTGGAAAAGACTTGATGAGGGGTGGATATATACAGTATGATGCGTCTTCAGCGTCCGGTAAGAATCGCCACTCTTCTGGAGTTGGGCCTGATAATGTTGCATGAGCATACCTGCACACATCGACTCCGAATTGTTCGACTTACAGTATTGTAAAAGTACCCCGACGTGATAGCTTTCTGCACAGCGCTGATATCGTTTGCGTTCGGATTGCTCTGAATAACGACTTCAACACGCTCGCAAAGCCCAGCAAGTTGATCCCGAATATCCCGCGCCCGACTGAGACTTTTGAACTGCAAGAATTGCTCGTAGCAGAACTGTTGCGAATAATTTGTATCGGCCCATTGCTCCCAAACGTTGAGCAACGTAAAGTGATCTCCTCCTGTGCGAACGAAGTTTTGACGTGCTTGGTCTGCATGCATCTTTTTGTCTTTGGGACGATAGAACAGCGATGAAGACTCGGAGAGCATTGCTATGATGGTCAGTACCTGGTGACAGGATAGCGTCAGCATCGACAAGGTATTTCAAGATATGAAAGCCCGTACCTCGTCAGTACACGAGTACTTCTCACTGGAGATGATGGCCTTGGACAACATGGGATCAACAGGGAACTCTGCCATCCGTCGACCCAGTTTTGTCAGCTCCCCACGGTCGTTCAATGCCCCGAGAGCATAGAGCAGCTCTAGCGCCCTGATAAGCGTCTCTCCCGGAGGTGGGTCCATAAATTCAAAGTCCATAAAGTTGTTAATGCCAAGTGATTTCAGCATCAGGACAGTCATCCCAAGGTTCGTCCGCTGGATTTCAGGTACGGTATTCTCTTCGAGCTCGTTTGAAAACGCCCATTTCGTGTATAGCCGGAAAGCTTTGCCAGGCCCCACACGACCTGCACGGCCTGCTCTTTGGTTGGCTGATGCACGAGAACACTGTTGAACGCACAGTGAAATGAGTTGTAAGCGCAGAGATAATGCAGCGTCGTTGCTTACCGGAACCACGATCAAGGAAGACATGCCAGTACGAGGATTATACGAGTTTTGCTTGACGAACCCGGGGTCGATAACGAAAACCACACCCTCGATAGTGATCGACGTCTCCGCGATGTTTGTAGCGAGCACGACCTTTCTTGCACCCTCTGGCGTCGGTTCAAAGATCTTGGCTTGCATATCGCTGGGCAAGTTGGCGTAGATTGGACAAACGATTAACTCAGCGATCTTGTTCCCGAGCGCTCGGGCGGTCTCCTGTAGGTTTTCTTGCGCTGCTTCGATTTCGTCTTGGCCCTGCAGAAGAGTGAGCATATGGACGATACAGCAATGAGGATCTGTCACGTACCGTAAAGAACACAAGGATGTCGCCTTTGGGCTGTGTTGTATGGATCTGGAAGACGGTTGTGATGGCTGCGTGCAGGTAATTGGCCTCTGGCTGTGGTGTATAGTGAATGTCGACTGGGTATCGACGCCCGGGAACTGTGGAAAACATTAGCATCACATTTGTCATCTGCAGACCGTAGCTACTCACCATAAAACACCGGCGCGTTGTCAAAGTACTCGCTGAACTTCTCAGCATCCATGGTCGCGCTTGAAATCAATAACCTCAGCTCAGGCCTGAATCTCGCAATATCCTAATAAATGAAGCCCTCAGAACCTAAAGCAAACCGTGAGAAGTAGCACCACACACCTTGACGAGAGCAAAAAGAATGTCCGTACTCAGAGTCCGCTCGTGTGCCTCGTCAATAATCAGCGCTGAGTATCCAGCCTAAATCTGGTTCAGTCAGAAACTCTCGAAGGAGCATTCCGTCCGTCATGTACTTAAGCACTGTCTTGTCGCTCGTGCAGTCCTCGAATCGGATAGAATAGCCTACTTCGTACCCCACTTTGGTACCCATCTCCTCAGCAACGCGCGCCGCTACGGACATGGCAGCCACACGACGAGGTTGCGTGCAGCCCACTTTTTGTCCGTTGGCTGTGTACCCGGCTTCGTGCAGGTACTGCGGAAGTTGAGTTGTCTTGCCTGAGCCGGTCTCGGCAACGACAATAAGCACCTGGTGCTCCTTAATGGCCTCCAGTAGTTGCTCTCGGTATGTGTATATTGGCAGGGATTTGCGAGTTTCATCAATACTTTGTGCTGGATTAAGGTCGTTAGATGACATTAAATAGAGAGTGGACTTAGATACTGACCTCGTTTTTCAGCCTCCTGAATTTGTTGGTGCAAGAGTTTGTCCTTGGCACTCATCATTCCCTCCCCCTTGAGCGTCTGGTCCATGACGAACTTAATGGTCTGGCTCTCGTCAAATACGTACTCGTAGTCGTCGGGGACCTCCATTTTGTCCATAGCGCCCGTCCGGAATGTGCTGTGCAGCGTTTGACTAGCCTCCCACTGGTCGACGTCCGTGACGAACTGGTCATCCTTGGGCTTGGCCTCTTCGTACCGCTTGTAGAGTGCATTCTGCTTCTTCTCCTTGTCGATTTTGCCCTGCTCTGTAATGTAGTCTTCAGGTAGCATGTAGCCATCCCACTTGTCGTTGATCTTGAGACGCTCTTCAACAAGCCGCAGAATCTCTTTCTTGCGCTCCAAGTCCTCCTGCTCCTGCTTCGTGAGCTTCATTCCATGGAAATAGGCCTCCTCGTCCGCGATCTCCTTCCTCAGGAGCTCAATCTGCTGCACCTCACGTTTGGTCAGGTATTCCTGCCGGGAGTGCAACCGCAGTGAAGGGAGTGCATGCGTCCGTGCTTCAGTGTCGTCTGCTAGCTGTCGACGTTGTGCAGCCTCGGCCGCTGCACCTGCATTACGAGAGGAGTGATCTTCGACGACTTTTTTTGTCTTTTCCCGATCTTTTTCACGTACCCGCTCAGCAAACGCGTCTCGTTCCTTCATGTCCTGCAACCGGTCTCGTTCTCTTCTTTCATCCTCATCCTCCGGAATGTCCATTGCCTCCTCATCCGCATTGGTTTCAATATCATCTGGCTTCCGTCGTTTCCGATGTTTCTCTTCCTCATCGCTTTCCCACTCTCTGCTATCATGCTCTCTCTTCCTGAGATGACGTTCGCGCTTCTCCTTACCACTTCCTCGGTCATCCTTGCGCTTCTCCTTGCTGCTACTTCCCTCCTTGCGCTTCCCCTTCAGCTCCGAAACATCAGGGGTAGCCTGATCTTCAAGCAAAAACTCAAACCTGCGGGCATTCAGCGCCTTTGCCTCCTTCTCCGCTTGCTTCCGTGTGCTGTCTGCTGAAGACTTGTGTTTGCTCTTCCTGGGAACACGAGAGAAGAGTTCATTTATGAATACATGTGCGTCGGGTGTATTTGGAAGGCCAGAAGCGGTAAGAGAGGAGAAGAGAGCGTCTGGTGTTTTTGATGTCGATGCTAGAAGACAACATTTGAATGATGACAAGTGGAAACATATGGAATGGTCGTACCTGAAGCCTGTACGAAGTCAATAATACTCCGGTCTGCAAGACCAAAAAGCTGTAAACTGAGATCAGGTGAGGTGTATGAAGCAGGAGGAACGGACGTTACCCTAACACAGTTGTCGCTGATGAAACGGTGAAGGTCGCTCGACATAAAGCTCTAGGTGTGACAAGGTTTGTCTGTGACATACGTGAAGTCACGATAATATCACACTACTAAAGATGGTAATTCGTGCTCAAACGCTTTCACCACAAAATGCCAAATTTGGTATTTCGTTCGTTGCTCGTCACCGTGCTCGACGATGGGAGAAGACCGCGAGCGACATTCAACATCCAAGCATAAACGCAGCAGAGACAAGGACGAGCACAAAAGCAAGAAAAAACGCAAGTCCGAGCACAAATTTCACAAACGCAAGCCTCAAACAGAAGCGGTCAACATTACGGACGATGACGCCAACGACGACGATATGTGGGTGGAGAAGAATATCGACAACGACGGAGAACGGGTTCGTATGTATTTGTCTTGCTTACGTGGTGCTAACATGTTTTGCTCACTAGCTTCTTGCAACGGATATTCCAACCGCAGAGAGCTTGAAGATCACAACTCATGCAACTGCCGGAGAGACAGACCCACTGCTGCCACCTAACTTGACAACGGAAACGAGACTACAACGCGACGAGTGGATGCTCATGCCATCTGGCGGTGTTGCAGAACCTTTGAATTCGTCGAGGCCATCGACCCGAGGATTATCTACAGGAGACGAGACTTTTACAGAGGACTACGGCGAATCCTCCTTAAGCCAACGCACATCTGCCGGAGGCGTCGACTTCTTTTCTTCTCTCGGCACCGAACGCAAGCGACCACCGCGACCTGACAAACCTGATCATGACAAGGTACAGTACCACTCCTGTCTTCATACATACATTAGCTGGAGGTATACTTCCAGATCAAAATCAGTTCTAAAGAAATCAGCCAAGACATCCGTGCTGGACATTCAATCGATAATGATGTACCTCCCCTACCTCCAAAAGCCACAACCCCTGGTGGCCCAGGCTCTAATTGGCGCATGATGCGTCTCCGGCGCGTATACGAGACCGCAGAAGAGGAAAACAAACCCATCGAAGAAGTTGCTCTCGAGCGTTTTGGTACGCTTCAAGCATTCGAAGAGGCCAAAGACGAACGGCGCATTCTTGATGAACGTCAAGGTAAACGCTCAGAACGGAAGGACGAGAGAGGTCGAGGGCGAGAGACCGGCGGAGAGAAACGATTCATGTTTACTGATGTTGGTGCGAGCGGCGCTTCGTCCCGTAGCTCATCCTTCAGACGCCCTGGTTCGGGTCCAACAGGAAGTACCCCGTCCTCGCCATCCCCCACCAATCCGCCTGCGAACAAGCGCCTTGATTCTTTACGTTTGCCTTCACAGGCCGCATCGCCACTCGCGCAGTCACATACGCCAATACCGAGCGTCATGACGCCGTCTATGGTATCGACGAGCACACGCCGGGCTATGTCGCCTTCATCGCTGAACAAGTTACAAGCTCAGGTTCTCCGTGCAAAATTGATGAACGCGCCGAACGCTGAGAAGCTTGAGGATGAGTACGAAGCAGAGGTGAGGCGGGCGAACAGTGAGGGAGGAGTCAGGACGCGTGTGGAAGTGCTACCGACATTAGATGCCAGGGGACAAATGTATGATGTTGGTCATGGCAAGGATGACGCAGAGAAGGGGCCCGGTAATAAGCGGAAGAAAGAGAAGGTAAATTTTCATCCTTCAACACGAGTCCGCTGACTATATCCTGGTTAGTTTGAAACTCGTGACGCGAAGACGGGAGAGCTTCTCAGGTATAACGCTGATGATGATGAGATCACGCTGGGAGAGATGGTTAGGCAGGAGCGGTTTGGAGCGGGAATGGCGGACCAGAAGAATTTGGATGCACAATTCGCGAAGGCTATCATGGGAGATGGCAAGTTTCAGGTGCGGAAGTTTTATGAGCTTCCCTCTTTCTGACACTCATAATACTATCTACAGAATGATCTCGACTACATGGATGATAATGCGGAACGACTTGGGCGGCAGAAGATGCGAACCGACGCAATGAAACGGCAGTTTGCTGTTCACTGGTGGGTTTGCATACTCTATCTTAGTTTTTGACTCTGAACAATTCTCTTGATCAGACTACAAACGCACTCAAAAAGCCCTTGCAACATGCCAGTTCTGCTACGGTGAAGACGATTCCCCTCCAAAAGCACCTGTTGTGGCGATGGGCACACAAGTCTACCTCTCTTGCACCCTGAATGAGGAACTTCTAGATGGCCATTGTCTCATTGTACCTATACAACATCACCTTACAATGCTGGAGGCTGATGACGACGTCTGGGACGAAGTGCGGGTGCGTAACCACCACCTTCCACGTACAAGCCTACTGACACATCTCACAGAACTTCATGAAAAGCGTCATGCGCATGTTCGCCGAAGAAGATAAAGGAGTCATCTTCTATGAAACTGTTATCTCCCTCAAGCCGCAAAAACATACCTGCATCGAGTGTGTACCGCTTCCATGGGACAAGTACGACGATATCCCGGCGTACTTCAAAGAGAGCATCCTCGCATCTGAAGCAGAGTGGTCGACACATAAGAAGCTTATCGATTTCTCCGCACGGCCTGGGGGGTTCAGACGTGCGATGGTGCCGAACCTTCCGTATTTCATGGTGCAGTTTGACTATAAAGGGGACAAGGGGTACGGGCATGTTATTGAGGGCACGGGAGAGTCTGCGGCGACTGGTGAGGAGGATGGGGCATTAGATGAAGGGGATAAAGGTGGTGGGGATTTTCCGAGGTGTGTCTTGTTGTTTTTTACATACTGGATGATTGGGTGCTGAAGGTACTTAATTGCAGATATTTTGCGGGAGAGATTATTGGGAATGTGCTGGATCTTGATCCACGTCGGTGGATGCGACCACGGAGGGTTGATTATCGGCATAACAAGGATCGGATACAAAGGTTGAAGAAGATGTATGACAAGTTTGATTGGACAGGGTTGATCGGGAAGTCATGATGCATTTGTTCGCTGTTCTGTTGTGTTGCCTTGATGTCGTATACATATGTACGAACGCTTGTAATTTTTTCTGCTAGCCTGTCACCTCCTGTCACATGAGTCGGAACCGTTGCACTCCCTGATGCTGACATTAAATCCCAACTTCGCTCAAGCGGAGACTCCAACATCAAATAGGCGGTTGTGGTAGGCCTCAGAACGCGGCGATGCCGATGCTGTTAACGCGACTGGCATCACCTACGCGGAGCAGGAGCCTGAGATATGGCTCTATGTGTATGCGTACGCTAAGTACTGCTGGCAATGGCAAAACTGACCAAGCGCTTCGTCGGTCATATCTCTACGGTATGCTACAGACATGCACACTTGGATTTCAAACTGAGTAATGACCAGTACCCTCGTCGTCCGACCGGATGCTGGACAAGTCTTTGAGTACGCCATCCGATGTCATCATATACGACCTCGAGGACAGCGTACCGCCTTCTCCCCACGACAAAGACAGCGCGAGACAACGGCTTTGTACATTCCTGAGCGTATGTGGGCACGTTCGTATTCTTCGTATCTCGAGCCTGAAATTTCGCCCGCTGGATAGCGCACACCAGAGCACAAGCTTCCGCACCCCGAGCGTATCGCTGTCCGCCTAAATGACATTACTACACCTTTTTTCGAGAACGATATATTCGAAATCGTAGGTGTTCGTTATTCCCATAATTTGTACTCCCCACCTGAGTTTTGCCTGTCTTCCAGCTTAAGTCACCCTTCGTCCGAACACTCGTGCTGCCCAAGATCCACTCCGTCCGCGACCTTCATCACGTCTCGCGAGCCATTCGAACTTCACGGGACAGCACCTCCACGTCATTTCCTATACGCATCGTTGCAAGTGTCGAAAGCGCCCGCAGTGCTTGGAATCTCGGGGAGATTGCTTCTTGGACTTCGGAGTACGGCCCAGATGCTGGTGGGAAGTTAGGTGCTCTACTTGTATGTTTCCTCTATCGGCCTTCCTAGTTAATTACTGACACATGTTTGTAGTTTGCAGCAGAAGACTGTATAGTACTTTTCTACTCGAGCACAAGTAGAAAGCTTATTCGGATACAGATTGTGCTGATACTTCGGTGGTGCGGACGCCTTCGAGGCTTGAGCTTCTCTATGTACGCTCCCAGATTGCAATTGCTGCCAAGGCTTTCGGACTAGATGCCATAGACATGGTCCGTGGTTTTTGCTACTATATGATCCCCTAAAGTCGAGCATCACAGGTCTGTGTCAACTACAAAGACCTCAATTATCTAAAAGACGAATGTGAAGATGGCCGGAGGCTTGGTTTCAACGGCAAGGTAAATCTTATCTTGATTCGACTCGGAACACATACTGAATGCTACTATCGTTTCTAGCAAGCCATTCACCCCACACAGGTTGATATCATCCATTCGACATTTGTTCCTACGGAGAAGGGTGTGTCATCTTCATACAAATTTAACTCTGGCCAACGTCCTCCCATAGAAATTCTGCGCGCCGCGAAGATTCTCCACCAGATGGAAGTTGCGCATTCCTCTCAAAAGGGTGCCTTTGGCCTAGAGATGGAGGGGGGCGGTAAAGAGATGATTGACGCTCCAATGTTGAAGCAGGCGAGTCCGTACGATTTCTTGTATAGTGAAGCGTCTTATACATCGGCCAGGCTGAGAATATCATTCGAGCAGCCAAAGCAGCTAGCTTAGAAATTCCTGGTGTAGGTTAATTGGGAAAGAGTGTATTATGTTCAGGTGTGAATGGCAAGTTCTGGACGGTCTTGCTCAATCGGCCAGTAAGCACCCTGAAAACATATATCCTGCAGTGGTCTTTGGAAAAATTGTCGCACAAATTGGCAAGCTTTCTCGCCTCCTGCAAATCTTCACCCTCTTCTTCGTCATCAGTTCATTGCATCCTTCGGGTAATCCGCTTACGGTTTAACTAAGCTCAACGACAGCACTGATGACTCACGAGTAACAGACAACATTGTAATTTGCAGAGAATGTTGCTTTCCCCTCTCTCACTTATGCTAGACTACGAGGTTGTCTTGGAAGACGACCTGGACAAACGTTTTCTCAAGTTTAACCTTTTCACTCGAATCTAATTGATTCGGCGAACGGTCGACCCTTACCGATGGACCTCTCTCGTCGAGAGCTCGTCATTCGCAGGAGTCTCGACGACATCCTTCAAAACCAGACTCTAGTCACTCTACTCGTCTTCCTTCAGCTGCTTTGCGTCAGGGAATTATGATTCAACGAACACTGAATCCACAAAGTACTGTTTTTCCGTTGCCCATAATTCACTCTTACTTGGGTGATAACCTTATCAACCATGCTCCCAAACTGTGACTTGTGACCAAAGATTTGATAAAGAAAGAACGGCCTTCCGATGGTTAGTAAACAAGATCAAATGCGAGCAGACCTTTTGATCTGTATATTTAATTCCTACCTAGGAACTCTTATCTCGCAATGGCCAATTATAACCCATGTCATGTGTCCTCGACTCCGATTATAATGAGAACGCGGCCCTCGAGCACTCGCTTTACAGGACGTCCTGCTCGATTGTACCATATAACCTGAGCAACCGCCAGCACCATGTCAGACCTTCCCTCCGCCATCCACCCCGACATTCTTCCCCGCCTCGACCCTGAATACGTCGCGATCCACAATGCCCATATAGCACACCGCGTGCCCCCGCACACGATCCCTTGGCATCCAGATATCAGGAAGGCACCTCCCATCCCCGGTAGCTCGCCTGTCAGGACTGTCGGGGCTGTCAAGGATATCAGTTTGCAGAACTGCAAGATTCGGGCATTCATTCCAGAGGGAATACCTCCTCCAGAAGGGTGGCCGGTGTTGCTGTATATCCACGGGGGTAAGAATCCGTATGTATTCGGGTGAATGTTTGACTGAGAGTTTTCAGGCGGATGGACGCTTGGAAATATTGACACTCTGAACTCGTTCATCTCGCGTCAATGCAAGGGTGGGGATGGTGAATATTATTGTCGGACTAGAGCTTAACTGTGTTTAAGAGAACAATTGCGTGTCGGTGGCCTTGGACTATCGCTTGGCTCCTGAGAACCCATATCCTGCAGCAGTTGAGGACACAGTTGATGCATTGAAATTCATCTACTACAACGGGAAGGCAGAATTCAATGCGAACGTGAACAAGATCGCGGTCGGAGGGTCGTCCAGGTGCGTATCGTCTCATCCCGTACGATGAAGCATCAACTTTTGTCAGTGGCGGCAACTTAGCTGCAATCGCATGTCTCAAAGCGCAAGAACTAACGCCTCCGATCCCCATCATCTTCCAGCTATTGATTGTGCCTGGTAAGTCAGAACCATACGAAATGATTATCTCTCACTTGTTTCCAGTGACCGACAACACGGCATCCGTGGCTGACGGGCGCTATCCGTCCTGGAAAGAGTGCCAGAACACAGTTTGGCTGAGTGAAGGGCGGATGATGTGGTTCCGCAACATGTACCTTCCTGATCCTGCGACCTGGACAGAACCGGACAACTCGCCCATCTTCGCGTCGGATGCTTTGCTTTCCAAAGTCCCGCCTGCATTCATCGGCGTCTGTGAACTTGATCTCCTTCGGGATGAAGGAATCGCGTATGGCGAGAAGTTAAAGTCGCTTGGGGTGAAGGTAGAAGTCAAGCTATATCCAAGAGCACCACATTTGATTCTTGGGTTGGACGCTGCACTGATGGTTGGGAAGCAGCAAGCTGATGACTCCGTCAAGGCAGTGGGTGATGCTTTCAAAGCGGCATAGGGGATTGGTGTGAGCGTGCCAGAGAAGAGTAATAATTTGTGTACAATCATCTTGAATGCGAAGTCATGTGAGGGCCACTTCCAACTGTACGGATTGTGACGCCTTGATATTAACTTGGAAATCCATCCCTGCTGGAGGTTGAACGTTGAACCGCACTAAAGCTGTAAAGCATATCTGCTGACATCGAGTTCCACGCGTGGCAGTGAAGTTACTGAGTGCATTACACAGGATTAGGCGCTGAGAATGACCCTGACCTTCTGAATGGTCTGTCGTCTCGTCTAAGAAGGAACCTTGCCGATCCATACAATGAACTAATGTACTGTAATCTAATACAAAGTGATCTGATACACAGCAATCCAAAAGGCGTCCATGAAATGACTTCAGTTGGCCAACATCCGCGTTACTCGTGCGACCACTGGATGTCCGAACATGAACTGCTGCTGATTATAAGTGCCGACCTCGGCGTTCGTCAAGTTTCAACTATAGTTGGTCCAAAGTCTTTACCAGCAAGCATGCGAGTATCAGATGGAACTTCCACGTTACGTAGAATCGGGCCAGTGCAACATACAACAGGACCATAATCACGAAAATGTCGTTTGGTTCGATTGAAAGGAATATGCGGAGTGAAGGAGGTGAGATACACTATATCTCTGTCAAGATGCACATGACGCTGGCATGCAGACCTGAGTGCTTCGTTTACACACCGTTTGTACAGCATGAGGAAAATACATGGAACGAACTTCTTGAAGAACGGGTGCCCAGCTTCCTCGATTTCGATCCAAACGTACTCCTGTGCTTCTCGTTGGTGATTGGAGCACTGAGTTGGTCTGAACGCCACTTTTATAGGGCAAACCTGACCGTTCGTTTATCAGCAACTTTGGTATCCCGCAAAGATCTCCCGGACGTTCTCAAATCACGGCATAATAGCACCTGCATACAGTCTCAAAGCCGTACTGTGTATCAGGACTAAATTCCTGTAAGTAGATTGTCTGGTCAGAAATGCATCGTGCAATCCTAGTGACAATAGTGAAGCAGGCCCGTCGGCTCTAAAGGATTTTTTTGAAGATCCCAGCAAACTTCTTTCGCATACATAGTCCATGATCTGCTGTGGCGGAGACCCAAAACGTGGACCACATTTTTTTCTACCGCAGAGATACTAGATATGCCAGTGATCACACCTCACCAGACGATGCGAGGTCATTCAGCCGAGTACGAGGTGTTATGCCCCGCTGCGGCGGACGACGCATTATAGCATGTTCGGAAGACGGCTCACTCCGACCATGGGACCCGGAGAGCGGCGCACAAATTGGTGATGACTGGCAAGATTTGGGGAACAAGGTACTCGTAATAACCATAGCTTTGTAAGTTTGTCTCCAAACGGCACGGTGGCTGCAAGCGGAAGCAGTAATGGAAAAGTGATGTTGTGGGATGTTGATACGGGTAAGGCCATCGCCAAATAAGCTATGTTAGTGCGGCCAGTGGGCTGGAGCGCAGATGGTAAACGAGTTTAAGTGGATCCATTGACGGGAAGGTAATGTCAAAATGACCTTGGACTAGTCCGGACCGGGCATGCGGAAGTGTATGCGGTTATTTATTCGCCCGACTCATCAGGCCTAGGAGTCGCGACGGATGGAGACAACGAGCCTGCATGCAGTAAAAATCTGGGATGCGAAGACGTGCAAGCTGATCTCCTCACGTGACTCAAATGGACTTTCGGATGGATAGAGGCTTATCTCCGTGTCAATTAACTCAATATAGATATTCAACGCACCCACGCAGCTCTTGCCACTTGGTCACATGTACGCGTATTCGGATTGTGCCATCACTTTGTCTGGAAATATTGCCTACTTGCAAGTGCGTTTTATGACTGCACAGCGCGTCTGTGGAATATCGACACGAACCTCCCTGTCGGACCTCCCATCCATCACAAAAATGATGTGGAATGTGTCCTGTCCACTGATGGGAAGCTGCTAGTCACCAGGTGTCACGACAAAATTGCGTATCTGTGGGACATTCAGGCCATCCTCAAGGAAGCTGGCCTTGAAACCCTACTGCCCAGTACTGATATCGTGAGTGCCAACATATTACCCACTCTCTTTCGCTGACAATATCTACTCTTAGCCACTAAAAGATGGACTTGAACGCACAGCATATGCAGCGTATCAGGACGCTTCAGCAATGAGACTCACTTCCTCTTCCTTGCAGGACATAGATGGCATATCATTCTTGGAAGTGCGTGAAGTGTTTGGAAACCTTTGCGATGATTATAACAGCAGCATTCCAGGTTGATGCTACGCAGTTCGGGGATATTGATGAACTCTCACCAACGTTTTTTGACGGCATGGCAGCCGATCTTGATGTGCGTAATCAGTGTTTTTATCAACTATTTCGTGTTCAGACTCCTGTGCTCAGTCCACCCCGACATGCGACGCCCGCCCTCATTCCTCCGCAAGTACACTTCTCGGTCGCCTTTTCTCGTTGCTCCATCACTCTCGACCTGACAGTAATAAGGCGACCGATCTTCCGCTCACGGCCTTCTAGGTTCCATCCATATGCATTCCTTACTCATCTGTCCTCACTCATTCACCGATCTCCACCTCAAGATAAGGTACCAAACAAACTTCAGCAGTCCTCCGCGCTTTTTGGATTACATTCGCATACGCTCCTCGCCCGCCCGCCCGCCCTCACTTTTGCGATCTCGACTCGATGCTGACAAAGAAATTAAAAATCATCCCTCAGTGCCTTCGAGTTTACGTTCAGATCCAGATGCGCTCATCAGCCGGCTTTCCTCACTCTTCTACTCACAACCCCACACCAACTACGCTCAAGGTGTCCCCATGTTGTCGAAGTGCTTTCAATGTGGGGCGGGGAGGTATGTGTTTCTCCGATGTGTCACTTTCTGGTGTCTGATGATCTCCATGCAGGTATCATTTATTGCTCCGCGGCCGCAACCAATAAGTCGTCTATACACTCAACCTGATGGTACTACCATGCCATGTTCAATACCAGCGCATTCACGACTGATCCGATTGTTGGCTCATCTCGTGCTATTTCTTTGGTGTGAATCTCCTCAACCCACCGATGGCAATGAACAATCAACACAATGAGGTCACTCGCAATGTCAAGTGCAGACCCATGCGACATCGTCGCAGACACAACAACAGCAAGATCAACCGCAGGGTCAAGTTCAGGCCCAATCATCATCATCGCAGACTCAGCCTGCCGCCACCTCGACGTCCGCGACTGCTCCTGATCGATCGATCCTCGCCCTACCGCGCCAGGTGCAGCAAACGTGCAGTCACGTCCCCTTCTATTGCAGACTCGTATCGTTCTTTTTCTTTGCTGTGCAGCTCCCCCATACGCCGATGGGCACTAACACTGTAGCATGTGGATACTTGAATCTTCGCATCTAGTTTTTGTGCAATCATTGTCAATGTATTTTGCTAGTCCATCACATTCGTCCACCATTTCCTGAGCCCCGGGTTGTGTGTCGTCTTGGAAGCCCCAGCGTTTTTCCGAGTTTAATTCTTTTCACTCGACTTGAATCAATTGGACGAACAGTGAACGTCCCCTGGCAAATCTCTCACCGAGAACCTATCTCGTTGGCCTAATAATTCGCACGTATTTCCAGGCAACAACATCCATAGAAGGAACGGTCTTCCTTCTATGAATGGTCTGCCTACAAGACATATTACCCTTGAATGTAGTCTTCTGACGTGTGCAACTAATTACTACCTAGGAACTCTTATCTTCGCCAATTATAACTCACGTCATGTGTCCTCCACTCTTTATAACGAGAATGCGACCTTCAAGTATTGGCTTTACGGGACTATCTCGCTTGATTGCACCTTATAATCCTGAGCCCCACCAGCACCATGTCAGACCTTCCCTCCGCTATCCACCCCGACATTCTTCCCCGCCTTGACCCTGAATATGTCGCGATCCACAATGCCCATCTAGCACACCGCGTGCCCCCACATATGATTCCCTGGCATCCAGATATCAGGAAGGCGCCCTACATCCCCGGTGGCTCGCATGTCAGAACGGTGGGGGCTGTCAAGGATATCAGTCTGCAGAACTGCAAGATTCGGGCTTTCATACCCGAAGGAACCCCTCCTCCAGAAGGGTGGCCGGTGTTATTATATATTCATGGAGGTAACAGTTGGCAATAATCATTCGGCGAAAGTTAGCTGAGAATCCTAAGGTGGATGGACGCTTGGGAGTATCGACACTTTGAACTCGTTCATATCACGTCAATGCAAAGGTGAGGTCGGACAGTTAAGGTCGTTGTCGGACTGGAACTTAACTGCGTTTAAGAGAACAACTGCGTATCGGTGGCCTTGGACTACCGCTTGGCCCCTGAGAACCCATATCCTGCAGCAGTCGAGGACACGATTGATGCATTGAAATTCATCTATTACAACGGGAAGGCAGAATTCAATGCGAACGTGAACAAGATCGCGGTCGGAGGGTCGTCCAGGTGCGTATCATCTCATTCCGTATGATGAAGCATCAACTTGTGTCAGCGGCGGCAACTTAGCTGCAATCGCATGTCTCAAAGCGCAAGAACTAACGCCTCCGATCCCCATCATCTTCCAGCTATTGATTGTGCCTGGTAAGCCAGAACCATACGAAACGATTATCTCTCACTTGTTTCCAGTGACCGACAACACGGCATCCGTGGCTGACGGGCGCTATCCGTCCTGGAAAGAGTGCCAGAACACCGTTTGGCTGAGCGAAGGGCGGATGATGTGGTTCCGCAACATGTACCTTCCTGATCCTGCGACCTGGACAGAACCAGACAACTCGCCCATCTTCGCGTCGGATGCTTTACTTGCCAAAGTCCCGCCTGCATACATTAGCGTCTGCGAACTCGATATTCTGCGGGATGAAGGAATCGCGTATGGCGAGAAGTTAAAGTCGCTTGGGGTGAAGGTAGAGGCAAATGTTTACCCAGGAGCACCGCATCAAATTCTTGGGATGGATGCTGCACTGAAGGCTGGGAAGCAGCAAGCTGACGACGCCATCAAGGCAGTGGGTGATGCTTTCAAAGCAGCATAGGTATCGATATGAACGTCACAGAGAAGAGTGATGAATTATGTCCCCGACTCCCAACGTTAGTGGAGGAGGGTTCTTGTCGAATGTTTGTCGAGAATCTACGTACCTCTCGGATATACCTTATGTTTCTGCAAAGAAGGTTTTGGCGCAATCACTGGGCCTAGGTAAGATGGTCATCGGAAGATCTATACGATGCAAAAATGTTCTCAGCAGGTTTCGAATCAACTCCAAGAGCAACAGATTTGGACTCTGTTGTGTTAACCACTTGGTTAAGACCAGTTAGATGGACCCCCGAGGAGACCACCCATGAGTCAATGTGAAGGTGTGTTCTGATAGATGAAAAAACCTGCCATTCAGCAGGTTTCGAACCTGCACAGTCCAAGCGAAACAGATTTCAATTCTGTTCAGTGTTGTAGTAACAACTTTGCTAAGACTAGTCAGGATGAAGAACCAATAAATCCATCCGTGAGCGAATGTTAAGGTCTGGTTTGATAGGGAAATAAAACCTTGTTGCTACTATGCTAGCAGGTGCCAGGTGCAACGGATTTCGAATCTGGTGTGGACCGTGTGGTATTGAGGTTGGACGTTGGACCTCCAAGGAAACCATCCATGGGAAACTCTTAGCTAAGCCACAAAGCGGTGCTTTTACCATTGCCTGTGCCAAATCCAATATCATCATGTGTCGTTGTATGTAGTCACTGGGCTTTTACTGGAGTAACACTCATTCTCCTGCCCACTCAGGACTACTTATTGTTTCTACCTTCTTGCCCACCACCGGGAAAAGTTCCCTAGTTTCTGTACCTGGCTTGAATTATTCTCCACAATGATCATGAATGGACGATACATTCGTATGTTCATCTCTTGGTTGAGGCACATTGTCAAGACAGCCGCGTTTCACTCGTACAGGAATCTCCTCTCTGTCCTGCTGCGACTTATCCCACACTTTCAATCTGTCTTTAATGGAAATGAGCGGGATTTTCAACAACGGCCCGGGGCCGGTTTAGCATCAAGCTCTCAACCAGTGGTCGAGCCAACGCCTTCGGTAACCCTCGCTGTGCCGTTGCTCGAAGCACATCTACAAAGTCAAGGGTGCCAACCCGGAACGAGCCTTCCGTCACCGACTGGCGGCCAGTTTAATGCAAGCCCGAATAGCGTAGCTTATAGTACACAGTCTTCTGCGCCATTGATACTTTCTATGCCCGTGCCCAACGCTTGCAACCCCGTGGGTGCCCCCACACTACCACCACCACCACCACCACCACCTGCGGCGCCAGTACACGTTATCACTCTGGTTCCCATTGTACCCGAAAAACAAGTCAAGCGATACGACAGGGATGTTATAGTGTAGGGAAATTATATTTCGAGTGAGTTGCCGTTCTAATTCATGCTCACAGTAAAGATGTGTATGCAGCGTTTAAGGTTGAGAAAGGTTCTTTCGACTGTTCTGAGTAAGTATGCTGGTGACACAGCCAGCAATGTGATTGAAATGTACTTGTAGGGAGCTTGCCACTGTAGCAGGGTGGGAGCCTCTCACGCACCCGGAAGGGGCTTTGTTCTTCTATCATCCAAAAGAAGTGCGTCTACTGTCCACTTCTTCATGGCTTGAAGCACTCATACTGCGCACTAGAGAGTTTTCACTGATGCCGATGTCCGAGACCATGTAACTGCTGCCAAATTATGCGAAGTCGTCAAGGAAGCGCACAGAAAAGTGAATGAAGCAAACATCCCCATGCCTGAACTCGTCGAGCTAGTGTTGGAGCGTATCATGACTGATGGCGTAGAGAAGTGGGGCTACTATTTTGCCGACCACGACAAACGCGTTGTTTTCTGGTTCGAAGACCACACATCTGATCCCCTTATGAACAAAATTCGAGGTGTAGAACGTAAAAGCCACGTCAGTGAGTTCTTTTCGTGGATCACTTTCTACTCGAACCTGTGTAATTGCGTCGCTCCCAGGGCATGCACTGGAATCGCAATACTGGTCCGCATGGTTCCTAGCAGTATGCCTATTTCCTCACGACTGAAATACACGCACTTACATTTTTTACAGTCCTTCCCTCCCCCGATTTACACATCGTATTACTGACAGGAAACATATCGAACTATTCCCAAACAAACGCTCCCTCCCAGAAGATGTCGTCGTGAAACTCAAAGAAATTGTCATGCTCGCTCAGGCAGGTGAGTAATGAAGAACCTTGAGTGTTTCAAGCCTGCAAGATTGAGTTGCGACAGAAAATATTACTTCTGAAACATGCCTAGCACCTTTTGCTTCGAATGAGGTTGATAGTATGCTCGGCCTTGTGGATTCGCTCATGAGTCAATGATTTCCTGATGTGGAGGGTGCGTTGTTGATTTTTTTTTCAGGTAGTGCTAACAAAGAGCGTGAACACTCCGTGTGGATTGCTGGTAAGTCTATCACGGAAGGTCAGTTGATTGCTTCTGATATGTTTGACGATTTCAGCCCGATTCACGAGACTTTTCTGTGAGCTTAGGCCACCAGTCTGCGCAGCCCATTTCCTAACTGTTTTACTAGGCAATGCCAAGTTTGTGAATTTTTGTGGACAACCAGGCGCCCGACTTGGTGTAGACCAATCGTTATACGGAAAACCCAACGTCCACTCGAAAAGGATCCTTCGCGTCATGAATGTTTTTCTGTTTGGATCATTTGATGCTCAGAGCAAGGCTGTTCACAGGATTTGGGTCGATGAAACCATGGTTCAGCCGCGGTGGAAGAATTTTATCGATAGGCTTACCACTGAATGGAATGGATACACAATATATGTGAGTTGTGCCTTGTTCCATATTGTCACGCATTCAATAACCATTTCAGTCTACTGTGATGCTTGCGGTTGATATCAGCTTTCTCGCGGTCCAATCTGTTCAGACCCAAATGGCCGCAACTCTTCTAACATATCTGTCTACCCTCTGCGTCATGGGTTCGTTAGTAGTCTCGCTGGTTTTGGCCGGACAAGTTAATGACAGCCGACGAAGGTCTGCTGAAGAGGTGGTACGCTCCCCTTCTATCTTACTACTTGTATTCTCCATGTCCACAGGCCTCTTTCATGGTAGGGATGTCGCGTTCTATGCTTGGCCTCGAGAGCCTTGCCCTCATGTTGAGTCTGCCGTTTTCACTCCTGATTTGGGCGTGCGTTTCCGGTTACATTCCATAGATCATTGGCTCATCCTTTGACAGAATGGCATTCTTTGCTGCAGCATTGTCTGTTCTGATTTTCCGCACTGCTGGCGTTGTCGTCGTCTCGATTGCATCTCCAATTTGGTTCGCTATATTTTGCCTAGCGATGTGGCTCATGCTGGCGGCCAATGATTTTCACATCTCTCACCTGAGGTCTTGGATCATAGAACGAGTGTCACAGGTTACCAGTCCCGTCTAGTTTGGATAGACTGTGATTGCAGGGATATTATATTCTGTGTCAGGAGGAGAAAATGAAGATGATGAGGCTATTTGCCATCCATCGACGGTTTGCCTCATTACGGGGTCGGCTATACTGCTTAGTATTTCAACGGTTCTGAATGGAAGCATGATACATGAAAAATTATCTCATCTTTACATCGCGTTCTTGTGTATTGTAATCTCTTTGTTGGTGTTCCTCGCTAGTCTATTTAAAGATCTGAGAGCTCTCGCACCAACACCAATGAGAGTCACATGCGCGTCACTCTAGTATCACAACCGTGCAACGTCCCGTCCCGGGTAGTGTTGGGCCCTCTTCGTGATCGTTAGTGACGAAGCGCCCAGCAACGTTTAACGCGTCGAGGCACTTGTTTCTATTATGTCCTCAACGCATACCTCCATTCATTGTCGCGATAAGACGCACGCTTCCAGTCCTTGCTCGCCGTGCCAATAGTTCTGCTGCCAATGAACGAACACTCAACCAGAGTGCGGTGTTACTTGACTCTATCATGAAGTCTTCATTAGTCCTCGACTTGAAGACTTCATCGCTATCAGATATATCGTCTCCCCCCACTCCTCCAACCCTGATTTCAACTCTAGACGCTTCACAAGTATTTATTCTGCCAGTATTTGACCCCCTTCTCCAGTTTCCTCGCATCTTCCCTGCTCAACCATGGAAAGCGTGCAAGGGCAGTGCGCATCGTCTCCCGTACCCTGCTTTATACTCACGCTCTTGCCCGCGTGCCGCCGCTACCTATCCTCCGCCATGCTCTCAACACCGCTTCCCCCGCTGTCAAGTGCATATCACAGAAGCGCTCGGGAAGGGATGTTGTGAGGCCCGCTGCATTTACAGAAAAACAAAACATGAGGGCAGGTGCTCATGCAGTATTAGCTGCCAGTAAAAACAACAGTGGGAAGACAGTGGAGGAGCGTTTAGCACGAGAGATTATTGCTATTGTTAACGGAGACAACAAAGCTATTGCTGACAAAGAGCTGGCACACAAACAGGCTATGGTTAATAGGTATGTGCAACATTGACGTGGGGTAACTCTCATTGACATATCACGCATGGGCAGTGCGCTCGTGAAGTGAGGATCTCATATGTTTACCGTATTTTCCCCCTCCCTGTAATGGACCGCCGAATTCACTACAATCTAATGGCATAGCCCACCAGCTTCTTTAATGTGATGCAGCGAATACTACACCATTTTCAGCACTTCTGGCTTGGTGCCGGGCAGGAGTGCTCTCTGGTGTGGTTCCTTATGCGCTTTGTTGGTAATCTTGATGGCCCGGGCAAAATTGTGGAGCTCTTCGCACACTTGTTGATGAACAGAAGTTTCACAATGGATCGAGGTTCGTTAAATGATCAATGCTGCTAAAAGTCGACGCAGCTTCCACAGGGCTTTCTCCAACAACGGAGGTCGCATACATTCAGCTTCCCGACATTGGCAACCACCGTCATCAGCAGTCACCAACGTATCGTGCGATGTTCGTGGAGGAAAGCGAGATCGATAAGAGATGAGCGTGTCGGGGAACCCTGTACTAGCTGAGCTCATTGAATGCCAGTAGTCGTCCTACGTGATTGTGCGGACCATCCAAACAAGGGTTGACTAACACCAATTTATCATGCCCGGGATGCGTCAATTGATCAACTTGACGTTCTCATGAAGGTGAGCATCTTTGAGGTCGCATTGAAGTCACATTTGCGCAATTTACGCATGTGCAGTCTATTTATACCAGATATCACTGCTACTTTCCGATGATTCACACCTACAAAATTATCTGATTTCTGATCCTGTTTATCACTGCCCTTACCTAATTGACAGACAACGGCTGGTCTGTGCATCTTGCACGGATATGTGTGCAGTACAAGTGGGTTCGGCTTGATTCGCTTTCAATGATCACCATGCTAAGATGTGCACTTTTAGTATCATCGCAGTGCGATGCGATGTAAATCAACGGTGCACTGGATATACATAAATACTGCGTCTCACGACCGCTTTTTCATCACGAAGCCACATGCACCAGAGACTATGGTCATATTTAATCTGCGTGTCCATAATGCGCTGGCCTTCATGTCTCTGCCTCCCATGACAGGTTCTTCCAACTTGACAGATGAAAGTCCGCATCCGTCCAGTCTTCTTGCATATGACGCACCCCCGAATTACCAGGACTTTGACTCGATAATATCTGATACAAAGTTCACCGCTGATACTAGAACCGATTTCTATGACCGCAGTCTAACAACTCGCATATATGCCCTTGTCGGAGTGGCATGCTCGAGTATCATCAGCTGCTCATGCATCGTTATAGGCATTGTCATTCTAGCCAATCACGGAGTCTATGGTGTAGCCGCGCCCAACCTGGTCAATGTTGAGACGGAGTCTCAGTTGTCTCGGTTGTCCCTGCAGGCGGAAATATTGACCCTGGCACTTAACCTAATCGTCACGTTATGCACCGAGTCCATAGGCTTCGTACACAGCATCTCATTGCGCTCTGCGCTAGCCTCGGAATCTCGGCTTCGTTTCAACACTAATCTGCGCCTTCTTACCGCAGCTCGTAGATGGTATAACCCTAACGGCGTCCTCCTTAACGGTATCTCGGCTGTCCTCCTCATTATATCCTACAGCTCGGCCTCACTCGTTGTATGCTTCGACTATCAATTCACGTCCTCAACACCACCTGAGCAGGGTGTTGCCTTCGCAGGGTTACCTCTCCTCATTTTGGGCATTGCACTCCTGTTCCAGGTGATGGTTGCATTGTCAGGGATACGGGCTGTCAAAATATTGACGTGGAGCTCCTCGCCTTTCGACCTGACCGCTGCACTGGTCCACCACACGCAATTGACCCCTGCTACTTTCCGGTGCATGCGTCGCGTGTCTGACCCAGACACGGATGGAGGTCCAGCAAAGCCGCCAGGGACACAGCCCTCAGCGTGGCATGCTCACTCTAGCATCCGGAAAGTTATCATTTCTCTTTGCGTGATCATTGTAGCATGCGCTGGATGGGCCGCACTTGTCATGTACATTTGGGGCAAGCACGCCGGCAAGGGTTTAGTGTCCCCTGATGCGCTGACCATACAAACATGGTCGTTCCTGCCCAGCGAGTCGTTTAATTTCATCGGTATTTTATGCCGGGTGTCAATCTTAAAACGTGGATTCTGCTCTATGTCAATATGGCAGCTGTCCAGGGACCGTTGACGCTTGGGCTGCATTGCTCAGAGCTCATCGCAAATGTCATTCGAGACGAAAGACAGTGGAGATGTGCTACTGGATGGAAGGGACTTAGAACGGCGACGAACCCGTTGAAGATGATTTTCACTCATCCGATTTGTCTCGTACTTTTCGTCGCGAAGCCTTTCCTGCGTGAGCCATTCCTGTCTAGTATCTTTTATTGGTGTTGTTGAACGACCATCCTCGATGATCGCAGATTGGATGTTTGGGCTTTCGTTCACCGTATCTCCCCAGGTAAATGAGGGGCAACTAGTAGGGTTGGCGGTAGTCATGTTGACTGCCCAGGTTCGCACTGACTGTCCATGTAAAACTGCTATGACATCCTCACACCCTTTGCAGATCTGGAACTTATGCATAGCGTTATTTATATTTACCTGTTTCTTCACTTTCGTTGCACTGCGCCGACCGCGCGGTCCCCAGCCGGCTGCATACGGTCACGTCCAAACGCTCGCCAACCTCGTGGACGAGTGGTCGCCTGTGATGTGGTGGGGACACAAGGAGGATGGAATTCCGTACTGTCATGCTGGTAGGGTATTTATGTGCTCACAATGCTACTGCTCTGACACTTTTGAAAAGGGACGAGCGATCATCCGCTCCCGGATGTGAAGATGGACTGTGTTTATGCTGGTTCTGGTGCTAGGTCCCTGGTACCTGTCTCGTGAGAGGCACTTGGTTTACTTTTTAGTGGGAGTTCCTTGATTCCTCTGTTTAAATGGAGGAGCTACTATATCCACGTCGGACTGGAAATACATTGACGGGCACACAACCAGCCATGCCGTTGAACGATACACGTAGAATTCACTGTGGATAGTAGTTCCAATAAAAATCACTGGAAAATGCACTGGTGCTGAATGTTTCAGAGTGACTTTCACTGAAACTGCATGCAGTTAATTCCATTGGAGTGTTTCAGCTGATCATCCTCGATTCAGCACCACCCTTTCAATAGAAAATTTACTGAATCAGATTCAGCTTCGTGTGGGTCGGGGTTCGTGTTCTGACCAGTACGGCGGTACCCCGCGCCTTCCTAATATGGTTAGGGTACTGCAGGGGTAAACCCCCGGGTATCAGAGGTGATACCCCTACCCCTACCCGCTCATATACCCACACCCACCAGCGGGGTACGGGTTCGGTCACGGGTAACAGTGTGAAAGACCCGGGGTAAAACCCGCAAGGGGTATACCCGTGGGTAAAGCTATTGTCGAACTAAGTATGCGACACAAAAAAATGATATGATTAATCTATCATGATCCTGTCCCATCCATGCTCCAGTTCCTGCTCCTCTCCCTCGACATCTGGTAGGATTGTGACTTTGTGAATATCCTCAGGCTTGACAAGATTCAGTGTACTCCAGGATCCGAGGCACAGAAATGCCTGTGTGGACTGCGCCAAGAGACAGGACCTAACATGGGAGAGGAGTAAGCATCCACAGCTGAATACCTGCTCAACATTGATGGATGTTGCTATGAGTCCTATAAGCACCTTGTCATGCAAAGTAATATACCATGTACCAGGGATACTCAAGTAATCTGTCATATCTGTTATGGACTAGGATAGTCATAACAATCAGCAGCTCGATAAGAGTGATGGCTGAAGTTATAGTCAAGACTTTGCAAAAGCAAAGGTCGTAAGACAAGGCAAAGAGAGTGTCTTTGACTTGAATATTGATTCAGACAACTTAGGATTGGAGGTCCTAAGCGAGAGAAGTTTCTGGGTGAAAACCTAGTAAGATTAAAGTAAAGATCTACTAGGTACATGACCAGGTTTATATAGGATGCAAGTACTTTAGGGCAAGTACTATGAGTCATCTAACGACAGCTGCGGCGATCGCAATGTAATACAGGTATGGAAATGAGTCTAGTGATGGCACAATGTAGTGCAGTCATGACATAATACAAATGTAAGTGGGAAAATGAATAGGGGCAAGCATGACTGTAACAATATCCCATATGCCAGACATAGATCCCATCATATTCCCACGCCTTCCGGACCTATTTCTGGACCCCATATCCAACTCATTCCTGAATCCCCTATCCTGTTAAGGTCATACTCAAAGGGTAACTGGATCTGAAGGGCTTCGGCCTCAGCTCGTGCGCTGTGCCCCTTACCTGAGTATTGCCCCTTATTTCAGGAAGGCAAGACTAGCATGTCTGGAAGGTCAGATGAGTAGTGTAATGGATCCGGATGACTTCTGGATGAGGGATAAGTATTGTATGGCTAATCCGGACAAGTCCAGACTAGAAACTAATGGTAGTGGACTGTCAGGGACAGAGGCGGATACAGATAGACTATAGGAATCAATCCTAAGTCTCAGAGGACAGGAATGAGCAGAACTAAGATGATGTTTGAACTGAGGTACTACAGAAAGTTACAGGAGGTTATATACTATAGGTATCTAACAGAATGATCAATCAGCAGAGTCCAAGGCTATGTATGAAGCATGTGGATAGTCTATTGGTAAGTAGAAACAGATCACAAATCATGAAACGGAAATGAAACATAGGTAGCGGATAAGGGAGCAGGATGGATATACAGATAACCGAAATACCAGAGTTAGGGGGTTACTGAAAAGAGACGAGCACTGGTTGTGGATTTGGATGAGTTGTGGACCGGACTGGATGAGTGGACAGATTGAATGACGAGATGTTGGAGGGGGATAAGATGTGGATAGCATTGGAGATAAGATGTGGATCTGAGATGAGATAAGGGTCGGATCTGAGATCTGGATATGCGGATATGACAGTATCCCCCCTTTAGGGCTGATGTCATATCCCACGATCCGGACCCACGTTCATCATATTCCCACGCCTTCTGAGCCTACATCCAGACCACACTTCATATCCAACTCATTCCCAGATCCCCTTCCACTGTGTGCTCCACACCTCAGCAGGATCGACTATGCTCCGGATTTACCCCTGAGCTCCAGACCATCGGATCTCCACTGCTAGCCTGAACCATAACCCCCTGTCCCATCCACCCTATGTACACTCCATCCAGCAAGACATTCAGACTTCACCTCATCTCGGATTCTGGACTCTATCCACCTTCTCATATCCTGGTCCTGTATCCACCTTGTCTTCTGGATCCCCAGGTCTCCGGACCTCCGGATATTAACTCCGGACCTATTCCCACCCTCTGTCCGATATCCTGCGCCTATCCCCATTTAGGCATTCTCTGCCTTCCAGCTTTTGGTTACCTCTTGTTCTGTCTTGCTTATTGATCCTTGTACAAGTCCTCATCTCTGAGTTCATTTAGTCATGTTCCGACTTACTTACTAATGTGTTTCCACATGCTTGTACATAGCCTTGCTCCTTTGCTTACTGATCCCCTCAGATATTGTTCAGTATATAACCCCTGTAGATACTCCTGTAATTCCCCACCTTTCCAGCACTTACCCTCTTTCCGGACTTAGGTCCAATCCCTGTCCCTCTGACTCTACCTTAGGGTAGTCTACCCCTGCTTGTTTCTACATCAGACTTTGTCCGATGTAGCCCCTATTCCTTCTGGACCTCTAGATGTCCTGTCCTTTGGACGTTCCGCCCTACTGTCTCCCTGTACCTTGGACAGATCCTGTCCTTCTATCCTCCATCATCCTGCCCTCCTGCCCTCCTGCCCTCCTATCTTTCCATCCTGTTTCCTGTAGAAGTATTACCTTGTAGTGGGAACTCTCCTGAGCACTTCCTGTATTCCTCCGGAACTCTCCCATGCTCTTCCAGACATTTCCCGTGCTCCTCCAGAAGTCCTCTAGCGCTCTCCAGCAGAGTAGCCAGCCTCCAGAAGTCCTCCAGACTTTGTCGGACCATCATTGGACCTCATATGAAATGAAGGGCACATACTCGGGTAAGGGGCACAGCATACGAGCTGAGGCCAAGCCCCTCTGAGTCAGTCTCTCTCTCCCTTGAGCAACATGGTTCTTAACAGCCGATCCCTAGAGGCACAAGATCTGATGATCCGGACTGGACAATATGAGGGCAAGAATCGATGGAGAAGCTGATGGATGGAGTTTGTGAGTTCTGGTTTCCACAGATATACGGATGTCAAAGCATCCTAGGTCTTCCTTCCTTCCCTCACTTTACCCACTCATACTAGCTTTTGAATATCATGTCTGGCAACAAATCCAGTGGTCAGAAATCTGCTAGGGAGACCCTTGTGGAACTTCAGCGTCAGATGGCACTCACAGAGGCTGCAGCTCAGAGAGAGGAAGAGGAAGAGGAGCGGAAATGTCAGGAAGCGGAGTGGATGCATCAGGAAGCAGAACGGAAACATGAGGAGGAGAGGAAGCAGATTGAGCAGTCTGAGCTCTGGGTAGTGCAGGAAGAGGAGAGGCGGAGGGCTGAGGTGGCTAGGAGGGTGAGTGATACTAACTTTATCAGATCTGGAGCTGAGGGGTATGCTAGTCCCAGTCCGCTTCTATGTCCAGAGCTCAGGATGCTCCCTGCACTTGTTGTGTCAGTAAGAAGAAGATGTGCTCCTGGGAGGATGCCAAGTCTAATGCACTGGTGAGATAATCCTTGCCTTGGATGTCCAGAACTGGGTGTACTGATATCTGGATAGATCAAGTCTTGCGACATCTGCAGGATTGATAGGGTCTCCTGTCCCGGAAGTGCAGACAAGCCCAGGGAACCAAGGTGGAAGAGGCAGCGCACTGTGGTGACTCTGTCTCCAAAATCCAAGGGTAAGAGACGTCAGAGGAGCCCTACCCCTGAGGAACTGGAAGTGGAGGAAGCTTCCAATCTGTGGACCAGAATAGAGACGGATGAGGGGAGTGTGGAGTATGATGACCAGGCCTGGGTTGCTGCTGCCAACAGCATAGTAGCGGAACTGGCCCGGACCAATGGGCTTCTCCAGGAGAGTATTGGAGCTGTGGAAGGGAGTAGGTTGGTGATGGAGCGGATGAATACTAACATGGAGGACTTCATCCAGCAGCAGAGGGACTTCCAGTCCATCCTCCTGGAGGGGATCTGGAATGGATTCTGGATTGCGGACACCTCTACTCCGGATGATGTTGACAAGGATGTTGAGGAGGAGGCTGGAGGATCCAGAGGGGACATGGAGACTGATGGGTGAGGAGCTCCAGATTTCTGCTTCTGCCCCTAATGTACTTGTATCTGATTTTGTACTCATTGTAATGCAATTGGACTGGGTTTGTCTGGATATGAAGAGTGAAATACTGAAACTAGGTCTGATGTGTTTCCAAGTTCCATGGCTAGTAACCAGGATGTCTCTTCATCCGTCCCTTCATATCCGGACCACTGGACAAGGTAGAGAAGCTGACATTGTCATCTCCAGTGGTCCAACTTAGAGTCTAGGATTTCGTATATCTCATATTCTGGTTCTCTGTCAACTTCTATTGGAGGTGGGGGTGGTTGGATACAACTAGGGATGGTGTTTGGAACTGCAGGTTCCAGTTGGGAGACATGGAAGACTGGATGTACTGGACGCATGGAATCCAGGAGTCGGATGGTAAAGGAATGCGATCCAGGACGGGATATAATGTCAAAAGGACCTAAGTTCTTTTCTGAGAGCTTCTTGGAAGGGCGAGTGGAATGGAAGTACTTTGCTTTGATGAAGACTTGATCTCCAACCTTGAAGTCTGGGGCTGGTATCTGCCTTGCGTCTGCAGGTCCTTGATAACGTTCTTGTACATGGGTCATTTCTTCTCAGAGGAATTGGTGAAGCTCAATGAGGTCTATGGCATATTCCTGTGCACAGACAGAGGAAAGGTCGCGTTCTGGGTGGATGGATATGTTTGGATGGTATCCCTTGTTGGCAAAGAAGGGCAAGACTCCAGTGGTAGCACTCAGAGCATTGTTGTATGCAAATTCAGCCAAGGGAAGTAGTTCCGACCAGTTATCCTGCTGATAGTTACAGTAGATCCAGAGGTATTGTTCTAGGGTTTGGTTGGCATGCTCAGTTTGTCTGTCCCCTTCCAGATGATATCCGGACATGAAGTGGAGGATCATATCTAATGCGTTTCCTAAGGACCAGAAGAAGTGGGATACAAACTCTGTTCCCTGGTCCGAGGTTACATGGGATGGAACACCGTGCTTGGAGAACACATGGAGTAGGAACAAGCGAGCAAGGTCTGGAGAGGTGATAGTGTCGTGGGTTGGAACGAATATTGCTTGCTTGGATAGACAATCTATGATGATGAGGATGGCTGTGAAGCCAGAGGAGTCCGGAAGTTGCTCAATGAAATCCATGGAGATGGAGTTCCAAGGCTTTTCTGGAACAGGAAGTTGCTTGAGCAATCCATATGGCTTATGTCTTGGAACCTTGGCTCAGGTGCAGGTGGTGCACGATTTAACAGTCTTTGACATAGGTGCGTATTCCAGGCCAGGTATATTCGTGTTGGATGAGTTCTAGTGTCTGGTTCTGGCCAAAGTGTCCAGACAGGGGATGGTCATGGGTGTTCTGGAGGATGCAAAGTCGGAGGTCATTGGAATCCAGGACATATATACGATTGTCACAATGGA